ATAAAAAAGTTGGCACTGCGCATGCGCAAAGCCAAATTTTGAAACTGGCGTTTGATTTTCCTTTATCCCAAGTGCCTATGTATCAAATTTCGTTTAAATTCTTCCATAAATAAAAAAGTTGGAACTGCGCATGCGCAAAACCAAATTTTGAAATTGGCGTTTGATTTTCCTTTATTCCAAGTGCCTATGTATCAAATTTCATTCAATTACTTTTATAAGTAAAAAAGTTTGCAATTCGGTTTATAAATGGTCGAGATGCGAAAAGGGCACTGTGAATTTTGAATCGATTCGATTCAACTTTTGGCATTGCGTATTATATGGCTAAATCTATGCCCATATTAAATTTCATGCAATTCAGTTCATAACTAACGGAGATGTAAAAGCGATCGAACATTTCTAAACAAAGTTATCGTTCACACGGACAGATACCTAGATGGACAGACAGACAAAGGAACAGACGGAGAGACCAACCGGCAGGCGACAGATAGCAATGCAAAATTATAAACGATCTCTAGGATCGTTAATAAACGGCAAAAGTGTAAAATTATGGAACATGTAAAAACGGTTTTTTGTTTTTTTTACAATAACTTTTTTTGTAAGCGGTACAGAAAAAATTCCTTCCTTGGTACAAGACTCGACACCATAACGAACCAAATAGCGAAAAAAGTAGAACAATAACTCTTAAGATAAAAAACTAGTAGCGTCGCAAAGTTAGCGGACGGACGGACGGACGGACGGACAAAGTGGCCACAATAGCGCATTTTTTTTTATTTTTGTGGAAATGCACTAAAAATGAAAATAGGGGAGTGATGAACTCCCAAACCACTATTTTAAATGCTCCTAATTTCCGCAAGTACTTTGGATGCATTTCATTAGTATTGATTCCAAGTATAGCGACGCTTCAATGAAATAATAAATGTCATTCTCGATCAATTGGTGCATGTCAACAAATTGAATCAAAAATTACAATGCTGACAAAAATTAAATGTACCCTGGAGTTGAATTATGAATTACGACGCATGAGGCTTTGAGTAATTATTGTCGTTGCATCACGATATGGCGTTTGCATAAACACATTTTATAAAATGACTGACAAAGGGGACAAATGCTCGAAATTCCACAACATCAAATGAATAGCAATCCCGCGTTGTTAATGGCGTACAGAAGTTTAGTGTCAAAATAGGTCACACGATCCACATTCCATAATTTCAATAGGTTTTCAATTTCAATAGGTTTTCACGTTAGAAGTGCCTAGTCGTCGTAGTAGGGCATATGATGAGATGTGTCGAAGTGATGCTTTCGTGTTACACCGATCGATTCTGATTTTACAAATTTATTTTATGACTTTACCTATAGTTCCTTAGCTTTCTCAATAACATAACAAAAGTACAAAACAAATTTCTTTTAACGGTAAAAAATAGCGAAAATATATCGCTAATGCGGCACTATTGACTATGCTGCATAATAAACTTCCGCTGCGCTGAACACGTTTGCTTCAAATTTGTGGAAATTATAACACGAAACGAAAAAACTCTTTGTAAATTTATGAAAGTTGCAAGCTAAGGACGTACAGGAGAAAATTAAAAAGGTCGTTTTCTCAAGCGCTAACATAACGCTTTTCTTTGTTTAAAATGTTGTGTTCAAGGTTTACTAAAGTATTGATTACCTCGCAAGGGTAAATATCAGTGTGACTGAATATTCAGGAGGTTTATTTAATATTAGTGCAATGTCTTACATCTTAAGAATACCCCTTAACAATTCAGGGAAATAAAGTACACTTTTTTATTAAAAACACTAATGTTTCCACATTTGGAGGTAATAATTTTTAATTGGAAAAGCTCCCTGTACAAACAAATCCATTCTTTGATATTAATTGAATTTTAAGAGTTTAAATTTGTTTTTAAAACATTGCAAGTCAGTTTAAGTGCACTTTTTTTTTAAAATAATGTATCTATATGTTTTCATTTCAGAGATTTTTGGCGATATGTTGTATTGTATTTTTAATGTTTCCTATCCTGGGATTCAAGTTGATTTTAAAAAATCAAATGCACAATCGCGTTATATTTTCGATGTAACTAATTATGTGGTCGCCCTTTTTAAGCTCTAAGTCAATTTTTAAAGAATCTATTTCATTTTATAACTACACATATAATACGATGTCAGGCTATTAATAACGAGACTGCTTATGAAAAAGAGTTACATTTTAAAAATTGTTCTATGATCGAATGCTCCCATTCAATATAACAATAATAATATTTATTGATAATACAACTCAAAAAGTCTAATAAGACTGGTTGCAAACTCAGAAATTTCTCCCAATGAAAATACAAAACAAAACATACCTACAAACAAACAAAAGTTGTCGGGAAAAAATACCTGCGCGCGAGCAGAAAAGTAAAAGAAGGGATAGAATTAAGTGCAGAAATTTACAAAGCGTAAACTCTAGCAACAATACAAAGAAGTATCGTAAAAGAGACCTATTAAAGTCACTAAATATAGAAAGTACCGCAATCCATTGGGCTCGTGTGTTAGAGAGAGAACGCATGATTTTTGCCCAAAAATGGCGGATTCTAGTAACTTTAATGTTAGGGATTGTTCCACCTGTTTGGAGATATCTGTATATATTTTTATAAAACGTGACAGTACTATGAAGTTAGGTCATAAAAAATTACAGCTATTCAGATTTTATTTGTCAATTTTTTTAAGTTGACAGCAAATTTGCCCAAAAATGGCGGATGATTGCGGTACTTTCTATATTTAGTGACTTTAAGACCTATAACACTAGAATGACCTCTATCGGCAAATTAAAAAACTATTGTAATAATAAATCTATAGTAAGGTAATAACAAATTTACTACAGGAATAACTTACATCTAAACTAGTTGATTACAAACGAAATACTCAGAAGGCATAAGAATTTTGAATTTAAATTACGAGCGAAAAGTATTTAAAGAATACTAAATAAGAGTACGAATTAAAGGTTACTTAAACGATAGTTAAATGATGAAAATCAATCGGTAAAAAAATAACTTTATATCATTTTCGAAAGCTATTTTGTTCTTTCGGCGTTTTTCTTGCTAGAGCTTTTGTTGCGTAGATCATCGATTACACTTCGTCTACGTCTGCATGTTAAAATGTATTATAAAAAATTATATTCCCCCATCGATCTGAGACAAGGTGTTATTGAGTCCATTTTTGTTCGGGCAGAAATTCGTTTTCTCGCGATATGGAAATCGGCAAGTTTCCAATTATTTTTAACGAGATTAATCAATTCACTATTACAGCTTGATTTTTGTCTTTTGTTAAATTCAAAGTGGTTTGTGATCTTTTCAATGCTTATTTATTTACTTGCTTTCAAAGTGAAGTTGCTACCACTTCAGTGATTTTATTTCCAGTATGGATTTTATTTGCTTTTATTTAAATATGTTTATGCGAAACGAATTTTTGAATTGCGTTCCAAGTGTTTTACCGGTTCATGCTAAATTATTCACCTCTTTCTATTACTGTCAGCATCTACACTGAAAGCCAATTTGGCTCTGACAGTCAATATAATAAAGTTATTGTTCTTTCTATTTTTGTACTGAAATGTTTTGTCTTTGTCCGGTGTTTATGTTTCGAAACTTTTGCTCCATTTAGTGACGAAACCAGTCCTTTTATGCGTGTATTGTCTTATTTTAGAATCAGGCTATGAGAAACGAAAATATTATCTTTCGCAAAGAATTTCATTAGCGGCACAGAAAAGTGGAAACGCAATTAGTATTCTGGGCACGTTTCCTAGATCAAATTCCACGAGCCAAATTTTTAATCTATGAATTTGACTTTAATTTATTTTATGAAACTGCAATTTTGTTTAAATTTATATCGCACATCAATAAGAAGAACCTTTTTTAGTATAGGTACCAGGATTTTCTGTTAAACCGATGAATTTTTTAGTTACATAGGTACCACTTTCAGTTGTATAAGTTTGGGCCGGGGGGTGGATAAATAGAGCAGTCTATACGCGTTAATGTGGTGTGGTATAATATAATAGTAATGCGGGTGATTTGCTGTTGTTTATGCCAACGTATTATGCTTTGATCATCAAGCATATTACGTTATGCTTAAGGGTATCATATAAGGTTAATAGGGCTCTAAATTACCCCAATGGGGTTCAAGTTGAACCCAATCAATACATTGCTTATGACAGAAGGAATCCTTATATAAATAATTACATCGGTATGAGATATAGCTAGGAAAAATTCGGTTGAACTCAAATAGTACAAGCTTTACTTGCATTACCTAATTATGTATGAAGAAAACTTTCAGAGCAGGTCTCTTGTTGAGAATGTATCGTATTATATTGTGGTTGAGCATCGCAATAAAGCGACAAACTCTTCACGCTTCTGTTGACTTAAACCAATTAAACAAAGTGATAAATTCAGTATAATTTTACCATGTAAATTGGTGTTGCGGTCAAATATTTTCACTTACAAGGTTTTACTTTAATATTAATTGAAACTTCGCAAATAGAAACTCAAACTATTCCTTCCATTTAATTATAAGTAACAGCGTGGAGGTTTGACTACCATCGGTTGCTCTTAAGCTCTTGCATGCTGCACATAATTCAATTTTCGCCCAAAGCGAACATTTATAACCGTGCCTGCAGCTCACAAATATGTCCTCTTCGAAAATCCTTGTTATATAGTCTTGAAGCTTCTAAAGGCAAATTAAATTTTGTTTAGTCAGTAATTTCAAATTAGAAATGAATTTTGCAATTTTTCTCGAATGCGCCTTGAGGAAAACATCGAAATTTGGCACACATTCAAGAATTTATACATGCAACGCATGAGCGGCGGAAAATTATGTAAATCTTTCTCTAATTCTCACATTCAATAAATCTGAAGTTCAAAATTATTAATTCGGCTCTAAATGTAAAGGGGTGCGGGATAAATCAGCCGGAGGGGCGGATAATTTATTATCGCCGAGCTGTAAATTAATTGAGTTTTCTTATCGTTTTACAGATTCCTTAGTGTCAAGAAGTGGCTGTTACGGAAAAAACATCAAATCGAATTAGCGAGGAAACGCGGATGGAAAGGTTACTGGGTTTGCCTGAAGGGGACAACCTTACTGTTTTATCCCTGCGATTCGCGAGAGGGACGATCGGTCGAAGCTGCTCCAAAGCATCTTATTATTGTTGATGGTGCCATTATGCAACCCATTCCCGAACATCCCAAGAGAGATTATATTTTTTGTCTTAGTACAGCCTTCGGCGATGCATATCTTTTTCAAGCTCCGTGCCAGGTTGGTATCTTACTTTGCATTTGCTCGAACGACCCCGTTGCCATTGAAATCGATTCATTTCTGTAGTGAATATGCGGCGTACTTGCGAAAGAAAGGGGGTAAATAAGCGCTTTTTAATATGCGCAATTTCTAAGGATAAAGAAACCGTTGGAGATCTTTACGGTAATTATGGCGCTTTTGATGAAGCCTAAGGCTGTATAGCTTTTAAATTACTTCGTGAAAAATGCAAAAACTGTGAATGCAAAGTCCGTAATTATCTTTTACAAACACGAAAACGTTCGTGATTTAGATTTTGAGAGGTAAATATTGACGGTTGTTCAACCGACTCTTTTATATACCGTACCTGAACCTCATCTGAATTACCGCGATCACAAAAGCTGAAACTGTGCAACATTTATTTGAAGGGGTTAAGTTCGGGAAACTCCCCCGCGTACCTACACATTTCTATACCTACAATGCAATGTGTTCTTTCAGGTCGAACTCGAAAATTGGGTGAATAGTATTCATAGTGCATGCGCTGCCGCTTTCGCAAGACATCGAGGAAAGACCGGAACACTTCATCTTTTACAGGAGGAAATATTCCGGCTTGAAAAAGCTATAGAAACCGTAAGTAATATATTGCCGAAATTTGTATGGAACTAATAACGATATTGCATGCCATTCGGATTTTATTACCGCCAAATCGGGAAACATAAATAAGTTTTCCGTTACTGTTACCATTTGTAACTTTAGCAAACCTCATTTTCGCCAAAGCAACTGACATATAACTTGCATAATGCGGCGTATCAACTGTGAAATATACAAGGTGTCGCAAATGATTTACAGATGGGGACTCAAGTTATAGCAAAAAGCTCTTTTCAGCAAGATTGAAATTCCAAGGCTCTAAACTCTTGCTGCACATAAGGTTTTGTTTTTGACAAAAGGACCATGGGGTTGGTGATTTTGGTACTATCAGTAATTTATTGCAATTTTAGTAATTTTTTTGTTATTTGTCCAGTAATCTTTTTTTGGAGTTTCAGTAACTGCCTCCTTTCTCCCTGAACATTTTCCTGGAATACTTTCTTCAGTATTAAAAAAAACATTTAGAAAATCAAATTTTTTCGTAAATGTTACTATTATTGTTTAAACAATACAAATAATGATTCACCACGGCCGCGGTAGATACTATTGATACTAAGTTTTCAATAAAAACTATTGACATTGATAAATACCCACCGCGAAAATAAAATTTTAAAATCTTTTTTTTCAGTAAATGTTGCTATTATTCTTTAAACAATATAAAAAATTATTACCTTTAATTGGGATATTACCGATTTTAAATGATACTAAAACACATGCACTTTAAAGAAAAAATTGACATAATTTCTGAAACTTTCGTAGACTTTTTTATAAAGAGATGTAATTTCTTTTATTCGTTTTTCTTGCAGACATTTCAATAAATCTATGGGGATATTATCGACTCATGCTGCCTTCCCATTGTTCATTTCTTTTATGCCTGCCATTACTTCCGTTGATAAAATGCCTTCCCTGATGTCATTCTCTGCTTCCTCTTCCACCGCCAGCCGTATTGGTTTGTTCTTTGCTTGATATAATCTTCCCAATACGTTGCTTTCTTATGTCAAAAACTTGCCATTCTTATTTTTTATTTCTATCTCTGCATAGTTCCACCTTTTCTCTCTCTACTTAGCTGATTTGTCTTCACTTAATCGCATACCTACCTACTTTCTTCATTTCTTCAATTTCCCTACATTACTTGTTAAACCATACTGTACAACCTTTTTCCTTCGTCTGTCCTTAAATGTCAGCTCTTTCCTCCTTTCATTTTTTTTGTTATCCAAGGTTTCTTTATTCTTGGCCCATTGCTGAAACTGATAGTCCAGTCAATTTGTACTTTATGGTTCAAAAGGACCGGTAGAAGATTTTATTTTTGCGACTTGTTTAAATAGTAAAGAGAGAGAAAAATCCAAGTTCGTAAATGTGTTTGAAGTCGGGAGAAATTTCTGTGGTCAAAAATCTGCAAAAATGTTTGACTTTTTTCGGTTTTTCTACAATAACTGGCCAACGGCAGTACTTAGGTGGAAGCATGTTTTACCTTTAATTTGATATTTTATTTGGGCCCCTGACATGTATAGTTTAGGAGATACACTAATTTAAAGTTTCGTGTTTTTAGTAATTTTTGAAAATAAACCATCTTTTACGTTGTTGGACTTGAAAATAAATTTACACAAATAGATTAGGTATACATATAGAAATAAACACCTACATTTATTTATTTAATTTTTAAATTTTTGCTTGAGTCTGCTTTACTTCCATTTCCAGGTTTTCGGAAGAGTATGTTATTTGTAGAGTGTCCTCTTGCCGACAATGAAACTATCTACTACACTAAACTAAACTATAACTAAATATCTTCACCTATTTTCAATAGTTTTAAATTCACTTGCTTTCGAAAAAGTAGTAGTAATGATTAAAACATCGGCATTGTATGTGCCCTCTTCTGACCTTTCGTTTTCAAGATATTCGGTTGGTATATCGGATAGGTATATCTCGTTCAGAGGATTAATTTTTCCTCTCCTCCGACAAACCGTTTTCGAGATATTGGCTTTTAAAGTTATGCCATCGTCAATAGATATATTTCTCCCAGACGTCCCAGTCGCCTTTTGTGAGTACCTTTTCCCGAGAATCCGCTCTTGAGATATAAGTAGTTATAATCGATCACGATAAGGGGCGTATGAGGAAAACTATGATTGGTAAAAGATATTTTCATTCGTTGAGACCTTTCATTTGAATACCATGAACGGTGGAACGTGTATTTGCCCATCTCCCTCCTCCCATTTTCAAAAGTTTCACATAGAAATCACTAGAGGGATGTACATGAAAAATCTGAGACAAACTAATTTTCTCATATTTCTTTTTATTCTTTAAAAATGCGCTAAAAATGGTATTATTTCCAAAAATTGAGAAAAACACGGTATTTTAAATTGTGTATCTCCTAAACTATACATGCTAGGGCGCCAAATGAAATATCAAATGAATAGTTATTTATTACACAAGACGATAAAAGGATATTTAAACCATTGTGTGAATTAACTTTCACGAGATGGTTACTTTCCCTTTAGTATATAATACAAAACTTTATTTTATAGCAGAAGCCATATAAACCATTGTAAAGCTTCTGACAATTCTGAATTTAATTTGGAGACGTCAAAAATAGTAAGCTTTGGTTCTGGCGTCGTAAACAAAATTGTCATATGTTCTGAACGTCATTTTATAACGTGCATTTGAAATAAGAATGACAGATGTCATTTCACTTTATCTATACCCTTACGGTTAAAGTGATTTATTTATTTATTTATGATTGATTTATGATTTTAACCAAATAATGCCGTTGACGAGTTATTTTGGAAAAACCGAAAAAAGTCAGAAATTTTTGTAGATTTTTGACCACAAACATTTCTCCCGACTTCAGTCGCATTGTCAAACTTGGTTTTTTCTCTCTCTTTACTATTTAAACAAGTCTGAAAAATAAAATCTTCTACCGAACCTTTTGTAACCATTTAGCATTTTTAAGTCTAATTTGACTAGACTATGATGCAGTCTTTGCGAATTTTTGTTACACCTTCCTTTATCAATGCTTCTACGCAATTTCTTCCGTCCTTGATGTTCGGCTTCTATTTGTCTTTCCATTTTACACCCTATCTCATCCTTTTCCGATTCTCTCAACTTTTCCAAATTCCATTTTCTACTATCCGCAGATTTCCTTGCTCTTCTTAATCTTATCTCTAAATCTGCAGCTAAGAAAATGTGATATTTGCTTCGACGCAGAAAGACTTTAATAAATTACTGGTACTTTCTAGTTGAATATTTTTTGCCACACATTTAAACTTTTCATCTTGTTTAAATACAACTTGGTCACTATGTTTTCTATTAAATGTTATTTGTTGTACAGCTTGATTGCATTAATTTCAGCGCGTCTGCGCTCTTCAAAACCGTTGCAATAATTAAGGAGTACGCCACTAACCACAAATTTAAAGTACCTAGATTGGTAGATTGTAGATATATTCAGTGTTCCAGACAAAATTTCTACCCTGTATATTAAGATAAAGTGGAATCAAGGTGTAGTTTTATTCATCTTACACTTTATAGTGTGCTTTCAGATCTGTATAGTAATGAAATTTCTTGTCTATGTTTAGTGAATAACATTCAGAGCTGAATTCGAAACCCACCTATTTTATCTTCCTAAATTTCAAGTAACAAAAACGATAAAGGGATGCCAACACGAAAGTTTGTAAAGTACCGCAAGCCACAGCTAAGACGAACCGGAAACTATGTTTAACATAGCTAAACAATGTTCTCTTCTTGTTCTAACGACATTTGAGAATAGTCTTTGAAAATGTGTCTAATTTAACCGACCCCAACCTTCTGTCCTACTTACAGCGTAAGTGATCCCAATGGTCTCCAACGTTCTACTTTAAATATTCCCTTCTTGTCCTAATGGCTAATCCTTATTCACCTTTTTTCTCGAAATTCAACCATTTAGTTACATACAGTTGTAACTTTGTACTTTAGAGAACATATTCTGCTCTTGTCAAACACTTACTTCTCTTTCGCTTTGTTTACGACATCGATAACATCTATGCCGTAACTATATAAAATATCAGTCTTCCAAATTTGCAATTCAACTGGAAGGAAGTATCGCCTTTAACGATAAATCAGCGATTTCTCTAAAGGGTTATCGGTTTGAGAAAAAAACATGAAGTGTTCTGTGTAAAAGAAAACTTCAAATAGTTTGCAAAGTTTGTTTTTCGGAAAATACTTAATGACATTCTACGTTCAAAGTTTAAAGGAGCGTATTTTTGAGAGAGAATCAAAGCAACGTCTTCACATATTTTTTACTGTACACTTTTTGTTTCACAGTTTTGGCGGTTTCCAGTTCCGTCAACAACGGCATTCCTTTCTATATTTAATATGAGTTGGTGGATCTTATTGCCATTTTATAACTTACCAAAATGGTGAAGATTCACATTCTTTTTGCATCAACATAGCAGCTCCATATGAGTTTGTAGATCTTACTATAATTTTGCAACTAATTAAAATTTGCTCTCGTGCGTAGACCCCGCGTAATCTAAGCGGAAGAAACTGTTGCCATAAGGATTAATTAATGGTTTGGAAATATCTGCGAAATAAATCAGCATTATTTGCACGATAACTTCTATAAAGCTACTATTTCAGACAATCCATATGTATAACGCAAATTATGTTCCGTTACACACTGTAAATGTCGTTACCGATTTAGGTGTAAAGTCTTCTGATACCTACTCAAAGTAATCTGGAGACAATCAGGGTGTTACAAATGTATAATTTTAAGGGAAACTAACGCATTCGTTCGTTCGACGTGTTGGAACTGTTCCAAGATCCCAAAACAACTAAAGTAACGACCGTAATCCTTACAAGTCGATGTTTTACGATTTACGATTCGATGTGAAATGGGCTGTAGCTTCGAGTATCAAACTTCGCATAGTTTATTTTTTTAGGTAATTGTTTCGGATACGCGTAAGTGAAAAATGCGGGCGCGTCCAGAATAGAGAGTCGTTGAATTTGTATTCATTTCTCGATCGCGATGGTACGTAAAAAAGGATATCGGGTAATATCGTAAAAACCTTTTTAAGCAGGATTCCTTCGGACGGAAAAAATTTGAATGGAACGGGTAAATTATACCGCAGGTGGTTGTGGGTTATTAGAAAGCTTTCACAAAACTTCCTACGCCAGCTTGATTAAGTTATAAAACAGTTTTTGCCTAAATTAATTTTTAAAAGAATCTTAATTTTCACTTCGCGACTGCGGCGTTTTGTTGTCTATAATATTCAATACAGGTAATTTTATATTCAAGATGAAGGTGAAAGGAAATTATAGTGCATTCATCTTCTAAATTAGAAACGTTTTCATTTTTTATTAATTAATGGTTGTTCTGTATGCATGGAGGAAGTTAATAGAGTGATCGTCTTAAACCCTTGAGAATTTTGTAACGTTTTTTCTTCTTTTTTATACTCGCGCGTTCGTTCGTGATCTGGAAAAGTTCGTGTACTGAATTTGGTAGTTATCCCCAAAGTCGTAAAAGTTGTAGTCTTGAGTGATTTCTATGATTACTTCTTTTATAGAGTTGTTAAAAAACATTATTGTACTTTCATACACACTTTATGTGTTTATCTCCAATTCCGTTATAAATAAAAAATCTCTTTATAAGATTAATGGATCTTGCGAACAATATGTGTAGTTATAAAAAATTACTCGAAAATATGCTGTCTGTAACATAATGGCGCAACATAAGGTACGTGTAGAAGAAGATAATAGAGTGCAAGAGAGCATCAAATATGAAAAATTGATAAAGTACGCCTTTGACGTATTTCGTTGAAAGCACTCCTCTAGTCCTGTTATTGAAACCTAATAATAGTTAGGTTTGTTTGGGGTACACTCACGTTTCATTTCATTTTTTAGCTCTATGTATAAACAATGTTATATACGTACGGATAATTTCTGCCTTCGGATCGTCTCTGTGGAACAAATTTTATTAACGTTCTCAAAGTATTCTGCCACTATACCGAATGTTTTATTCGCAAAAAATACGTTTACCTCACGATCTGTCGAGCCAAGTTAAAGTCTACTCGATAAGCGATCATTTCATTTGTTAATCAAAGAGAATGAGTACTTTACTAATTACTAATGGTAATACAAATATTCTCCCTCCAACGCTCCAACTATTTTTAAGTCCAGAAAGTCTTAAAAAGATGGCATATAGCATGCCAAATGATAGTATAGGGTGGAGGGGGCCAAAACTTTTAAATGCCATCAACCAATTGATCTTAGATTTTGCAATGTTGTATAAACTGTAACTTTTGTACGCGACTCCTTTTCGAGATGAGGGGTTGGAGAGGTGTGGTGAGGGAGAAATTGATGAGGAATCATTCGCTACCTACCTACCTACTCTAAATCCTTATATATCAAGAGTGGATTGTCGGAGGAGGGCCTCTCAAAGGGAGAATGGGGACGTCTGAAAGAAATATCTCCATGGTGATATCAAAACTTTAAACGCGAACATCTCGAAAACGTTTTTCGGAGAGTACCTACTCACAAAGGTAAAATGAGCCGTCTGGACAAGACATATTATGGTAAAGTCGAAACGAATATCTTGAAAACGAAGTGTCGGAAGAAGGTACTCATACAGGACAAATGAAACGTCTGGTGCTTTAAGTGCAAATATCTGCAGAAAGAAGTGCCGGAGGAGGGTACTCACAAAAGGCGGAAAGATCGTCTAAACGAAACACATCTACTGGGGATTGGAAAACATGATTCTGAAAATTGCTAGTACTTATACTGGAGTGGTTGCAATCTGTAAAAGAATAAAGAATCAACGTATCACAACAGGCTTCGGCACATGTTAAATGACTATCAAACAAATGTAGTCATTACAATACGATTGTGTCGAAAACCAGTATTTAATCAAACGTTATATCAAGCAATCGACAATCGACGCGGATTTAAAAAATTACCTATAAACTTTTGAACGTCCTTTTGAGCTCAGAAGGGCGCTTTTCTGCCTTATCTGTAACAGATAACAACACAAACCAACCCACCAACATTTTTATGACACGTCCTAATACATTATTATATTGTCAACAACAGGAAACAATATAAGTTATGAGTTATGAGGGATAGTCAATACCACGACACACATTCGAATGACTTTACACTAGCAAAAGCAGCAACGAATTGTCCGTACAAATCAGTATATAAAGGTAACTTCAAGAAAACTACTTCACGATACACAAATAACTAAATTTCTCTCCAACAATCTGACGTGATATCAAATTAAAGAATGGATAGAATTATAAGTATCATGAAAAAAATCTGCACGACCTCTGGCGACGAAACAAACAACTGTTGTAAATGAAACCTATAACACTCAGAACTTGCATCTTAACTAAATGGGTTTACAAAGGAAATACATAGATGACATACGAATTTAGATGAGAGTATTATTAAATGGCGAGGAAAAAACTTAACAAATGTTAAGCTTCTGACATTTTTATCTATTAGACGGCTATCGTAAGATGCGCAGTTCGCATGTTCTCTCTACTTAGGTACTGTAATATAAAGATAGTAAGCGTCTGTCAAATAATGTTAAAATCACGTTGACAGTATCTTGTTTCTAGATTAGAACGTTCACGCTTGTGTGGAAATAATCACACAAAGTATTACTTTCAATGCCCTTTATGTAATTTGCCGTCTATTTATTACCACGCCCCATATGGGAAATTGATTCTTTCCCATCATCTTTTGTTCGTTTCGTTTCGATGAATACCGACTTCCTAGGCCTAATTAACACACATATAGGTATGTGCCTTTCATTCTATGTAAAAGTCAATATGGAGGTGCATTTAAATTTTTGGAAAAATGATTCAAAATCTAATACGCAATCCTAAAACTTCATTTAGTGAATGTGAATATCCTCAATATGATAAGGTATATAGGTACGTGGTTAAAGTACCTAGTATTTCACTTTTAAACAAGCTCAAATTTAAGTCCAATGAACAACTAAAATTGTTTGATATCCATATTCTATTCTTCTTCCTCTTCGGATCGTGCAAGACAGAGAAATACATAGCAGACTTTGGGTATTAACAATAACTTCCACTTGTCTTTGCTGTAAAAAAATTACCCTAAATCCCTATCTTCATTATTTTCCGAGGCCCATTGCATCCTAAATATATGCTGTTATAACTGTTTTACATACATGCAGAGACATGCGACTCTTTTTGTTATCAGCGAACAGTAGGTGTGCAGATAATATTTTTGAAACGGAACCTGAAATAATTGATCTGACAACTACTATCCGAAATTGTTGCTATAAATGTAAACAAACCATTGTTCGTGATGCAATACTTTTGAGGGCTTCTATTCTTCTCTTGTATCTATGTTCCCACTCTAAATATATAACATGTTTATCCGTAGGCATTGTAAAGTTGTTGAATATTAATGACTCCATAACTTACCCGCCAATAATAATAATTATCTGAATTTTACCTTATGAGCACGTTGAGAAAAATTCTAACTTGTGAGAAGCAAGCCAAATGTCCAAGTTCTTGGGCGCATGCAAAAAATTATACATTTCGTTTTGTTCCGAATGGATAAACCGCAAAGAAACTGCCTAGGGAGTATATCTATTAACCTAGAAATCTCTAATACGTTTTGGAAAAGTTGCTAATACACTTCTGCTAAAGTTACAATGGCTAGGTAGTCGCCATTTATCACTTTTCACTCACGTTTCGTTAGGGATGCAGCCGCATTTTCTCTATTGCATACGATTCTCTCGTTTTCGCAAACCAGTGATCAGCAAAATTACTACCCGTTAAAAATTAACGACCAAATTAATACATAACAAGATCGTAACAAGATTGTAATAAAAGACGTAAATCTGTGCTAGCTAATTAAGAAATTTTATACTTCGATTCCGCAAATTACTACGGCTTTGGTATGATCTTAAATAAAGATCGGGTTTTTGTTGCCGAAATAAAAAGCAATTTCGTTTCAGGATCACAAGCTAAAACATATGGCGGAATTACAGCAGTCGGTTGTCGGAGATTCGGATGCAAGACAACAGCTTGGAAACCAAGTGGTGCAATGGGAGGAAAACTTGGAGAGACTGCACTGCGAACAATTTCGCTTACGTTGCTATATGGCCAGTTTGCAGAGTGGCGAACTTCCCAATCCCAAGGTACGTGAAAGTATCACATTACATTTTATCGTTATAACTTTCCTTAGAATAACTTCCGAAAACTTGTTAGACTTTAATCAATCACACTAACCCAATAACGGTAGGATACGTGCCGAAATAGAGCAGCGATATCGCATCGCAATAATTAGCGCTGTTCGTGTAGAGAAAAGTAATATTGATGTCTTGCTTTTTTCAGTCTTTACTTACTCACGTTTCGAGAGCAACAAGAATACTCTTAATAAACTTGGAGTTTTTACGGTTTCCTCGTTTCACGCATTTATTTGCGCTAGAAGCCCTTCCCTGCTTAATAATCTTCTTGCTGGTAGAGGAGCTACGAAAAGGAGACCGCCTATGCTTTCCAGATCTAACAGTGGCTCAAGCAGAAGATCGCTTCAGGTAAGCCTCGCCCTCGCAATTCGATTTTCTAGCTTTTAACAGACGTCGAATATCTCCTATTTTATTGGCCTGTATAGATTAACAAATTGTGTTTGTCTTCCAGAAAGCAATTAGATGTACGTGTCTAATCCTACATTTTGTGATAGCGATAAGTTTACACGAGTTTTGGGCAGCTTCCAAATTTTACTAAGCTCACGACATTAATTTAGAAACAATTTCGTCGGGGGGAAACTTTTAAGCTACGCTGTTAGAATGACAAGGCGTTCGTTATGCGATTTTTACTTCTTATAAAACATTGGTTAAACTTGTACATTGGTGGATCAGCAAATGATGAACTGCAAGTAGTAGTAAGTAAATATTTGAGATCGGTTTTCCACTTTCCAACAGTTCTGTTTGAAAAGGGTTTGCGCATTTCTTCGGCTTATATCATCACTCACTTCACAAAACTAATTCATAATCAAATTCTAACAGGGAATGAATTGAACGACCCAGAGGGTTTGGATAGGTAGGTATTTTAAATAGAGGTAACAGGGAGATATAAAGATACCTACATACATACATTTGCAACATATAGAAGCTTAGATTTGGGAGAGGTATTAGTATTATGGAAAGTAAATCACTGCTCCGGGAAATGCGAACTCTCGATCGAACATAGATACATTCATAGGTGTGATATAGTAAATCCAAATTTAAATTGTAGATGTTTAATGTAAAAAAGGCTTTACGATTAGAAGTTAACGAAGCGGAATCCTCCTTCAGATATTAACTCTCTACACAATCAGCCACGGTTGTTTTACAAGAAATGAATCTCACTACCACCAAAGCTGATCCTTGGCAATGCACAAAATGGGACGATAATAGTATAGTAAGAAACAGGTGTCGCGCAACGAGTTTAAAGGCGCCACTTGGAAATAGACTGGAGTAGTGGTACTCTAATTCATAAAAACTACACAGTACAAAGTTTGGTTTATTAATTTCGGTGGAAAACATGAATTGACGTACATCTTATGAGAGGTAACTGTTTCGAAAATCCTTAAGATAGCAATTTCGGAGAACGTCAAAAAGTATCTTTGTATACCGGGTGGTGCACGGTAAGTAGGAACATAGGGATTTAACATGGGAAATTAGTTTTATGCAATATTCTACCCTCCTGTACATTTTACAGAAAAAAACTGTAGACAACAAAAGTGATGGCTATTGCAACTAATAACAGAAATGTTGAAATTTATTTTTCAATTTGCGGGTATACCAAAAACTTAATAAAACATGTAAAAACAGTTTTGTATGCACCTTTTAATTCTAAACAACTTTAAACTCTAACTACATTTATTTATTTAACTATATTTGTTTAACTGGAACCCCCTGTATATTATTGCATATTTGGATTCTTCGTTTAGCCGCAAATCGATATTTTTTAATAAAGCGTATGTCTGAAAAAAATTGAACATCGCAGTTATTGTCAAACTTAGTAAGCTGTGACTGTGGAATTACTTTACCATAAAATGTACCAATGTAGGCCGGGCGAGTAGGGTGGAATTCTTTTTTTACGTTTTAAGAAATCGGATTTGCCAATTTAGAAGATTTCATTCATAGATAACTTAATTTTTTCAATTGCAATCTCGCACTTTTTTATATTTTTTAGATACGAAATTTGATAAACTTTCAAACGATATAAGGTTATCGATCTTTATCTTTGGTAGTTTTCTTTTAATCTCGCATTTTTGACTTATTTTTTAATTTTTCAGACATAATGTAGCTAGTAGGCCGTAAAAAATAAAATGAATAATTTTTGTCAAAATGAAATGATTGATATGATTTTTATACAACTTTAACTAAAGCTCCAAAAAAAACACCTTGTATAGACAGAACCGTAACAGACCTGAAAAGGGTACGAAACCATTATTTTGTAGACGTTTATTTTTCAGCTCGTCATATGTTCTTTCTCTTTCCTTCTAAAATATGAGACCAAAAATGAAATATTAACAATGGGGTTTCCACCGTTTTTTGATAACGCTTTCTTTATAATAATAATGTGTTTATTGCCACCAAATTAAAGAAATGGAAACCACAGGGGTTATCGGTTCAGTTGCTGCACAAGCAGGTTTTGATCTTCCACCGACTCCCTGAATACAATTAGAATTAACATAATCAAGTAATGCTTATAACTGAGTAATATAATAAAAAGGAAAATATGAAATAGTAATAAATGCACATAGGAGTAACTAAATGAGAATGAAATGAATTTATTATAGGTTACTTCTACGCCACTTTCGAGGAACGATGGATCCAACTCAAAATTTCTACGCCAAGTTAATTTGGTGCTTTACTGTTGGTACGGTACACACACTCGCACTTTTTAATAATCTGCACCTTATTAATTGACCCTCTTAATCCTACACATTATGCGTTGACCTAATATAATCTCATGGTAAAAATAGAATGATAAGGATGCAATTTCCTTTAGCTGTAGTGTGGCGAGTAAAAAATAATTAACTATAAATTAAAAACAACTACACCCGTTACCATAATAGAGTCGGACCTATCCTACCTCTATTTAAAATCCTTATCTAAGCCTTTCAATATCAAAACCAAAGTTGGTGATGATTACAGCCTAGGAATTGCATCAACTGTCTATTGGAAAGCGGAAAATTCGAACGCAAATATTTACTTACCTACTACGCATCTCTTAAATCACATCAATCGAAGAGTCACTCACTGGTGTACAGTTTGGAAGTAAAATCTCATCAACAAACGTGGTGATTTCCCAACCAAATGTCTGCTTACTAAAGTATCCTTCATTATGGGATACTTCGATACATTTTTGTTTGCATAAAATAAAATCAATTGTAAACTTGTGACAATTTGAAATATTTAGATTCATTCGATTCAAAACTACAATTTGGGACATTTTTTTAATTAGAAACCGTCCATAGTAACAAAATACCTGAAGTAAAATTTTTTTAGATTTTTCTCGTCGGCACTTTACCTACTGCTTCAGCTTATTTGTTCCTAAATGTACTCAATTACACGTTATTATTTCAATCCATTCACCTGAATACGGATTAACTGTAATGGTCAGCGGTATGGTTATCAGAAACCAGCAACAATTATTAGTTAAAAGATAAGAAAGGGTGTTATATGTGGAAGTCAAGTTAGGTTCCGTAAGTAAGAGAAATGTTGCTTGATAAAACCCATCCCTACTCCAGAATAGGTGTTGTTAAAACTAATAGGAAAAGGATTCGAAGCCAATAACCCCTTTTACATATTTTGGATTTATGTCACGATTGTGCAAATGGCCTATCAATGTGCTTTAAATATGACTGAAAAACTATCTACACGTAATACATATTGTAATGCATCAAAAACCAAAGCGGCCATTAAGTTTTGCCGTAATAAACACTGCTTTAAGTGTTGGAAATTAATTGTTTATTACAAAGTTGATAATGGCGACATTGGTTTATGATGTCCGTATAATAAAATTTATGGCCTGTTGCTAATAATCGATGACTCTATTTTTAGATGAACTCTCGAGAAGAAGCTGAGAAAACTATCAAAGTTACGGTGCCCGATTCGGTGACTGTGACTGTATACGTTAGAGAAGGTATGTCGGTGGAGGAGTTTCTAACTAGTGCCTGTACGAGAAAAAGTCTCAACCCAACCGAACACTTCGTAAGGGTGAAAAAACGAAGAGAAATGGAGGATCATAATTATTTTGTGCCGCATCGTAGTGATCTGATCGAAACTTACGTAAGCAGATTTTTTCTTACTTCTTTCCTTATTTGTCAGTTCAGTAGAAGTTGAAGATGAAAAAAATTATATCTATGGAGCGCATTTTAACGAGCAGAATACCAGTTGTGGATGCTGAGGTGAAATTGTTAATTTGGTTGATGAACTCTGAACGAATTAAAATTTCTAGAGAGGTTTTCTCTCGGGTTTTCTTTACATTTGTTTTCCACTTAGTCTCGCATATGATTAAACATATATGGTTCTGAGTATTTCAATTGCTAATTTGGCATATTGACTTAATTAAATGCATCTATGAAATGTTGAGAATTTATAAAAACTAATTATCGGAGTGTATTTGTTAGAAATTTTAAATACGAACAAAATATGCCTACGCCAAAAATCCACTGAAACTCGTAATTAACCACCACAACACGGATTTGGGGTGGTTGAGGTTATTAATTCGAGGTTCTAAGCTGGAACTCCCCAAATACCTAGGTGAAATGTATTTAGACTTGAAATAAACTAAACGTTGGTAATTTTTTGGTAACTCGTTGGTCGCTCCGGTCTCTTCCAGTCTCCTTTCACGTTTACAATTTCTTCTTCATGTTGGACAGTCCAAACTGCATGCGTTTTAGTAACTTTTTTTAACCTGTTAGGGCTATTTGTTACTTGCCATTAGTTCAATAGCTCTTACCGTTGGTTATCTCGGCGATTTTTAAGAACTTCCTGGATTTCCATCCTTCATTTCTGCTGTTCATTTTCTACCTCCTTTTCCTCGATTTTGCCTTCGGGTCTCCTGTTCTTCCCTTAGTTTAGTTTCTTGTTGTTCTCTTCTGGATTCTCCCATCCTCTTATCCAACCCCCTTGGTTCACCTCTATCCCCTGCAGCTGCCATTGTTAGGCTTTTTTTACTTGTTGTTGGTTGTGCTGAGTTACCCCCCCCCCCCCGTTTCCCATTTTCTTTCTGAATTTTGTGGCACCCAAAAATATCTTGACTTTCTTGGGACATCATCTTGTTACCTTCTTGAAAGGCTCCTTGTGGTATAACAGTAGGATTACGTTGGCGCTACTTTCACTCAAACACGCCGCATAAACGGCCAGCTAGCACAGGACTGGAAAATTGAAAGGCTTGAGATCTTCTAGAGCGGTCGCTTCGTTTACGGTATATAATTTTCGGTCCTTCCTTATAACTTACTATAGGGTTGAGCGCCACCCAGTTTCGTTGAATACTTTACTTTCGATGTACAAAACTGGGAAGATGCAAGGGAAATAACAATGGAATCAAATTAACCAAAGAAATACTGGTTTATTCGTCAGAGATAGAACAGCTGAGTCAGAGATAGAAGCGTGCCGAACGAAAAGGGTGTCGGAAAGGGAATGAAAACAAGTTCCCAATCCCTGCGCATCAAATTTGCATGGATAAGTTTGCATCGATAGCTGGAGCCCTCTATCAAACTGTTTTAGATGTTACGGGGGTTCTCCAACAAGTAATAATACCGTGAACAATAATGAGTTCTTCGTAATGGAAAAAATAAATCGCAACACCCCCTCTCTCCTCCTACGGGAGGGAAACTGCAAAAGTTTTTCGACGATCGAGAAATAAAAACACAAAAATTGAAATCCTGAAAACCAACCAATGTATCGTCCACCCTTGCTCAACACCACAGGAAAAGGGTAAAACAAATCGAAAAATTTCCCCTCTCCCCTCCTCCTTCCCCCGCCTATATTTTCACAGTTCACAAGAAACCATTTCCCTAAATAACTCTACACAAACCCAACATCATGGTATTTAGAAATTCGACCAGCCTAAAAAAAGAAAAACAACACAGTAGTATGGTAAAATAGAGAAAGCCTTTAAAAAACAAAAAGAAAACAGAACACAGAAAATAAGAAGAAAAAGAGGAAAAAAATTCCCAAGCCGATGTTGTTGCTGCGATCCGGAGGCCATCCTCTGTGCCCAACCAACCACCCGAAGAATAAGAAGAAGAAAAAAAAATGGAACATTAATAAATATTCCAAGTTAAATCCCAGAAAAAGAATACACCAAAATCTATGAGGCGGAACTGTCAATAAACGAACAATCCGGCGAAAACAAACGTCTAGCCATGGTCATCGGGTTCACGAGATCTTGGATATGCTTTTCCCCTAGAATTTTTTAACTTGTAGGTTAAATTATTACGGTTAACCGTAGTGGGTCCTAAGAATTTGGGAGCTAAATTCGTACCTTAATCATTAGTGACATGGGAAAGGCCGCTCCTCAAGCCCTGCACCTCAATCAAAAATGTATTTTTGAAAGCTCAACATAATCGAAGAGATAAAACTGTTCATTGCAACCCCATTAACCTTTTTTAGTACACTCAATAGGACCGAGACTTAAAAACTACCATCTAAAACATTTCGTGACATTTTATTCAACAAAATTATTCCTTTCTGTACGGTTTCTCATGACACATGGTCAAACAACAATTGCCACAATAATCCACCAAAAATAATATCATAAAATTTTATTTAGACTATTTAGAGGAAGTTTACTCAGATTGAACTTTTTGAATTTACGTTCCAAAGCTCTAAGTTTTAGGATTGTGTCAGTGACGTATTTTCGGATCGGCTAGAAACTGAGATTTCAAGGTTTTATTTTCCTTTCAAATGATTTTAATTTCGTTGGAAAAATTGCAGAAATCGACGAACTTAGTTCTTTCATCCTGAAATAAAGTGGAACCGTAATTAATACCTACTACAATCTGTGTTGTGGATTTTTGAACAGTTAAGTGTAAAATAAGTACAGTATGACGTTTTTTCGTTATAACTTAGCAGTTACAGAGTTTAAGGTACTAAATGAACAAAGAAATTGTGCAAATGCAAATGCATCCTTTGCTGAATTATAAACATGAATTGATAATAGGCTTTTAGATTAGCGTTTAATTAACGTAGTCGCCCTCTGTCCCTAATTAGAACAAATAAGGAATTTGCGAAAAGTGGTTTCTCCATTTTCAATATTGGATGGAGACGGCATCCCTTGTAAGGCCATTAAACTGTTTGTTCGACTTTGTTTTAATTAAACCTTCGTTTGGCGCAAATCAGAATCTAACAATCATTGCCATTCGTTTGATCCGAAAGTTTAGTGTGCAGGTGGACGAAATGCGACGAATTCACCTTTTTCGGGTGGCGAGCGGATGGTTGATTCCCTTGTATATCCAATTAAATTTGGCCTCTAATAAACCCACATAAGCGGAAAGTTATTTCGGTTTCAACTAGAAATAGTGTGGACAGTTTTATCATGATTATACACCGTGAAAATCTTTGAAGAAGATTCAAGTAATTGCGCAACAATCATTTCTATCCGTGATTCCCTTGATACGTATTGCTTTTGTTATAATGACTCCAGATTAATCACAAAACCTTATCAGTTAAGTTAACGGATGAAAGTTCCCTTGTTTTAAAATTAATACCTAATTTAATAAATATTGCTGTCCCGCCACCGCGGTCGGAATGTAGCTGGCGAGGTTGTAATAGTCTAGTTTTATACTGAGGGCTTCTTCTTGTTTTAACCAAGTTTCGGTTAGGCAGACAACCTATGGTAGATCTAAATTATGCAGAAAAACATTAAAAGGTTTATTTTATGGCGGATACTCCGGATATTTAAGTTTAACACACGAATTCTCCTTTAGGACCATGTTTGTGGCGGCATGTCTCTGGTCATTTCGCTGTTTCGGTGCCCTTGCGCGGGTGAAAAAACCTTGTCACGTAAGTACCTGGAGCCCATAGTTCTGGTTTCATGACATCATTAATGTTGTGTATATCAATTGTGATCTTGAAGGACGAGTAGTTCTCAGGGTGCTTCGAGGTGAGTTGTTCACATGTAGCTTCAGGGCAGATCTTCTTCATAAACTTCTTTTAGTGGATGGGTCCAAACGGCTAAAAAATTTTGGCTTTTATCTCCTGTATGCCACTGGAGCAGCAACCGATCAGTTTTGGGTTCTTTCCTTTTGGTTTTTTTTACGACTGTTGTCCAGGGTTGCTCCTTAGCTTGAGTATCCCCTTCATTATCTGGTGCTTTCATAGGAACATCTATTTTGCGTTTGCGTAGTTCCTCGCTGGGTGTATGTTTTTGTGTGTGTACTTTAGTGCTGGCAACTTCCGTTTTGCGGTCGTCTGTTTTCTTGGTTTATTCGTCAGAGATAGAACAGCTGAGTCAGAGATAGAAGCGTGCCGAACGAAAAGGGTATCGGAAAGGGAATGAAAACAAGTTCCCAATCCCTGCGCATCAAATTTGCGTGGATAAGTTAGCATCGATAGCTGGAGCCCTCTATCAAACTGTTTTAGATGTTACGGGGGTTCTCCAACAAGTAATAATACCGTGAACAATAATGAGTTCTTCGTAATGGAAAAAATAAATCGCAACACCCCCTCTCTCCTCCTACGGGAGGGAAACTGCAAAAGTTTTTCGACGATCGAGAAATAAAAACACAAAAATTGAAATCCTGAAAACCAACCAATGTATCGTCCACCCTTGCTCAACACCACAGGAAAAGGGTAAAACAAATCGAAAAATTTCCCCTCTCCCCTCCTCCTTCCCCCGCCTATATTTTCACAGTTCACAAGAAACCATTTCCCTAAATAACTCTACACAAACCCAACATCATGGTATTTAGAAATTCGACCAGCCTAAAAAAAGAAAAACAACACAGTAGTATGGTAAAATAGAGAAAGCCTTTAAAAAACAAAAAGAAAACAGAACACAGAAAATAAGAAGAAAAAGAGGAAAAAAATTCCCAAGCCGATGTTGTTGCTGCGATCCGGAGGCCATCCTCTGTGCCCAACCAACCACCCGAAGAATAAGAAGAAGAAAAAAAAATGGAACATTAATAAATATTCCAAGTTAAATCCCAGAAAAAGAATACACCAAAATCTATGAGGCGGAACTGTCAATAAACGAACAATCCGGCGAAAACAAACGTCTAGCCATGGTCATCGGGTTCAATGTAAGGTTCGAGATCTTGGATATGCCAAGAGCCAGCAGATTTTCCCCTAGAATTTTTTAACTTGTAGGTTAAATACCCAATATTACGGTTAACCGTAGTGGGTCCTAAGAATTTGGGAGCTAAATTCGTAGAATAATCCTTAATCATTAGTGACATGGGAAAGGCCGCTCCTCAAGCCCTGCACCTCAATCAAAAATGTATTTTTGAAAGCTCAACATAATCGAAGAGATAAAACTGTTCATTGCAACCCCATTAACCTTTTTTAGTACACTCAATAGGACCGAGACTTAAAAACTACCATCTAAAACATTTCGTGACATTTTATTCAACAAAATTATTCCTTTCTGTACGGTTTCTCATGACACATGGTCAAACAACAATTGCCACAATAATCCACCAAAAATAATATCATAAAATTATTATTTAGACTATTTAGAGGAAGTTTACTCAGATTGAACTTTTTGAATTTTACGTTCCAAAGCTCTAAGTTTTAGGATTGTGTCAGTGACGTATTTTCGGATCGGCTCGTGGTTTTACATATCCATCTCCAAAGAAACTGAAATCTCTTCACACTTTTTCAATTCGATTTCAAGGTTTTATTTTCCTTTCAAATGATTTTAATTTCGTTGGAAAAATTGCAGAAATCGACGAACTTAGTTCTTTCATCCTGAAATAAAGTGGAACCGTAATTAATACCTACTACAATCTGTGTTGTGGATTTTTGAACACATGAAGTTCGTGAAGTGTAAAATAAGTATTAGAATACCGTTCTTTTTCTGTTGTTCTATAGTCGCCGCGTATGACGTTTTTTCTTACCCAGTTACAAAAGCGCCTAACTTAGCAGTTACAGAGTTTAAGGTACTAAATGAACAAAGAAATTGTGCAAATGCAAATGCGTCGATCCTTTGCGTGAATTATAAACTCTGTAATTGGTCCTATAATAGGCTTTTAGAAGAGCGTTTAATTAACGTGGCGCAGTCGCCCTCTGTCCCTAATTAGAACAAATAAGGAATTAAACATGCGAAAAGTGGTTTCTCCATTTTCAATATTGGATGGAGACGGCATCCCTTGTAAGGCCATTAAACTGATTTGTTCGACTTTGTTTTAATTAAACCTTCGTTTGGCGCAAATCAGAATCTAACAATCATTGCCATTCGTTTGATCCGAAAGTTTAGTGTGCAGGTGGACGAAATGCGACGTCGAATTCACCATTTTGTTGTATATTAATGGCGGGTCCGCGAGCGGAAATTATTTCGGTCAAATCTAACTTGAAACAGGACAGAGGTTATATTAATTGAGTTAACCCGAGAAAGGCGATTGTAAAGTAGGCGTCCAATTAAATTTGTGCCTCTAATGTCCTGAAACGTTTCTAAATTGGCACATTGTCTAGCTCGTGACATTTTTCCGGTATGTGTACGTTTATATTCTATAGAGATGGTGGTTAGTCATCCCTAAGGATGGTTTAAAGTTTTGCTCTCTCGCTCAAATGTTTCTTTTGTCGTTTTTGGAAAGTAGAAATGGCCCATCTTAAATCTAATTCCATTTTCTACCGCAACTTTCCAATCCCAGTGGAGAGAAAGAGCGTTTTAAACTTGTTCGTACAGGAGTTGATGATTTTCGAACGCATGTTCTGCTATGTAATTTTTATTTCCTAAGAGTCTTGCTGTGAAAATATTTTCTCGATAGCATTAAGTAATTGCTTCAGCAATCGTCATGCCAATTCTAGACACCGAAATGAGGAAATGAATTCTTTAAAATAAATTTTAATTAATCTTCGTGACCATGAACGATTTCTAAAGTTAGAAAACGTATGTCAAATTATAACAGAGAGTCAACATTTCACACATTTTCTTCAGTGTTGGTCGATGACTTTCCAGATTAACTCAAATTTTATGGTGAAGGTTTTGGATAAAGTTGGTTACCCTAACCCCCGATTTTGAGCTTTATCACCATGGACTTCAAACGACATAATTTATTTCTTTTCTTGCCTGATAAAGTCTTTCAAAGGAACTTTTAAGTGCGTTTGTTTTGTCAGTCTTAGGCCAAATGTCAAAATAATCCAGTGGTGGTTCTTTTGACATAATAAAGAATCATATTGTGCCTTACATAGTTGTATTCATAATAAAAAATGCTACAAAATACAGTATGTATTTTTTGTACGGGCCATATAAAAATGTGATGTTGATCATGGTATCTCAAGCACAAACAAAGTACCACCTTGTAAGACTTAAAAAGGTCCTAAAAGTTGAACATGAAAATGAAGAAATCCGAACACATTAAAAACGCTGACATTAAAGCATTTTTGGGGTAATTTTACTGAATCAAGCTTCCTGGACAGGAATTTTATACCTCGGTTCACCGGAAGAGTGTCCCCGAAGAGTGTAAATCCAAGAAGTCGAAATTCCCCAACAAGTTTCTTGTCTGGCAAGCATCAATCTGCACTTTTGGACTGACAAGCACTTTCGTTACTTCTGGGAGCATGGACCAACAAATTTACCAGAAGGAGTGCCTACGGGAGAGACTACTACCTTTTCTGGAGCAGCATGAGGTAGATTGCCTACTCTGGCCGAACTTGGCACGATGCCACTACTCTAATTATTTCACCAAACAGTGATACCGCGAAAATGGCGTTACAGTGAATCCCAAGGAGATGAATCCGACCAACACTCCGCAACTAAGGCCAATTGAGGAATATTGGTCGCAATTGTGAAACACATACTGAGGAAAAAAAGGTGGAACTGCAATTGAACTGAAGGATTTTAAGAGCAAATGGAATTTGGCATCCAAACAGTGGGAACAGGGCTTGAAGATGTCCGAAAAAAGTGCGAACAATGGCCTGCTTCATTGAACTATGAAAAATAATATGTCCCAACCCGATTTTCAAACAGGGTTAGAAAAAAAGTCCTTAAGTATGAAAACATCATTGTACTAAGCGCTAAAACTGTTAAGAAATATGACAAAATGGTACCTATAGAAGAAAAATTTTCGTTCCAACAATATGTCATTGAATAATTAAAAACATAAATTTATAAATAGGTAACATCTTCATCTATAGCTGATTGAATGAGACAATTGGCCACTACGATATTTCATTAACCATTTTTTTTAGTTACACACACATGAAATCGTGGAAGTTTGCGCAAAGATCCTTTACCAAGTGGAACTCTCTCGAAACACCTTGGAACAAATGTGGGGATTTAGCGTGGAAGCCGAGCTGGTAGAAAATGCCGACCGCCAAGATGAGTTGTGTTGCTACGTCAGTAGGGTGGAGGATAAGAGCGTCGCAATGCAAAATGGTGAGCAGTATTTCTTTCCTTTTTTTTCGTGTGCGTAAACTTTCACATTCATAGGTATTATAAAAGGTGACGAAATTATGGTGATTAACGGGGCGATTGTATCCGATCTGGACATGATGTACCTGGAGAGCGTGTTACAAGAGGAACTCGCGTTGTGTATGATGATGAGGTCTTCCAGAACAGAACCGCCGGAGCTTGTTGGAATTTTACGCACAACGGATGATACTATCGAAAGTTTAGTTTGTCCACCACCGCCTTCGGAACCGCAAGTGATCAGTGAAGAGATGATATCAGGTTTGATCGTCCCTGCGCCCGGTTGGAGTAAGTAAATCACTTTTCTTGACATTTTCATTGATTTATCCGCGCAGGCAAGGAACGCTATGCCACCGAAACGGAAAACACGTTGACCACTTCTGGTACTTCCGCCGACATGAAATTTAGCTCTAGAACAAACTCGTTTGAAATAGAAAACTTATTGAAATCTGCAGAACAAGTAACCGGCTTCTGTAGATCGCCTGCCGAAACACGAAAATCTAGTCCTACCGGCAGTATTGTTAGTAATACGTCACAACCGCCTTCAAGACAACTTAGCGACGTGGAAAAGTTACGAAAAGTAATTTTGGAGTTAATCGATACAGAACGAACTTACGTTAAAGTAAGACTTTAACTTGGTACTTTGAACTGTCTTGTATCTCTGTAATTCTAGCATTTGAACAATTTATTAGAAAATTACTTAGAGCCGTTGAAGCGAGAAACCTTCCTATCGAATGCTGAAATTAACGCTCTCTTTGGAAACATACAAGAGATCGTCACATTTCAAAGGCAGTTCCTACAAAACTTAGATGAGGCTTTGGAGATGGAGCCCGACTTCAATAAATTCGAGTTTCCTTCGCAATTTAAGGTAATATCTCTATTTAACATGTGTAGCTAGTTTTTTCATTGGTGTTTCGTAGAACATTTTATTTTCGATCGGAAGTGCATTCTTATACTACGTCAACCACTTCAAACTATATAGTTCTTTTTGTGCGAGTCACAGTAAGGCCCAAAAGGTTCTGCATCCAAGTAAGTGTAGGCAGACGTTGACGTCCTCGCCTAACATTCCGTTACAGATGAAGGGAATCAAGCGCTACAAGAATTTCTTTCCGCACGCAATCCTAGGCAGCAGCACTCCTCCACGCTCGAGTCGTACCTAATAAAGCCCATTCAACGAATACTAAAATACCCCCTGCTCCTCCAGCAGCTGCGTAACTTAACGGATACATCAACCGACGAACATCAACACTTGGTCGAAGCTTTGAAGGGAATGGAAAAGGTTGCCGAGCACATTAACGAAATGCAGAGGATCCACGAAGAATACGGCGCCATTTTTGACCACCTATTCAGGCAACACCAGAAATCGTGCAAGCAGCCGATCGACCTATCTCCTGGCGACCTTCTGTATTACGGTGGCGTCGAGTGGCTCAACATATCCGATTTCTTAGGGAAAATTAAGAAGGGCCTCGAATTACATGCGATGTGCTTCGTTTTTAAATCGGCCGTTGTGTTCTTATGCAAAGAGAGACTAAGACAGAAAAAGAAGCTAATGGTAAGTCGACACAGTTTAATCATCTCTTTTCATCTCTCTTTCAGGGTGGTTCAAGTAAGAGTAACGCTTCTGAGGTGGAAATTATAAGGTATCAAGTTTTGATACCTGTTACGGAAGTTCAAGTGCGGGCGTCATCCGCTAAGGATATGGATTCACACTTTTTATGGGAGCTTATTCATTTAAGAAGTCAATTACAAAGACGACCAGAAAAAGTATACGTACTTTCTAATAGGTAAGATTTTGTTTCTTTTGCCTTGGCTTGGCTTGGCTTGACTTGGCTTGTCATCCTCTCCCATCAGTATAGTCCTTCATTGAATTATGCAGTTAGTGATGTACAACTGACATTTGGATGTTTAAACTCATAATAATAATCAGGCAAAAATAATAATCTACGACATGATACGTACCTACATAAAATAATATATTATGATAGAATGAACTGAAGGATCCAGCTAAGGTAGACCATTTTCGATTACACATTTACGCGAGAGTGAGACATCTATCTGGATCATTAAAGGGTTTGAATAAACACAAGATTTACATGAAGTAACACAGACAAAATCCGGACAAAAAACACAAATCGCGACAGAGAACAAACGTATTCATCTTAGCGCACTACGCCTTTTTTTACTTTCTCTCTTATTTGGGAGACAAGGAACGTAATTTTACTGCATTGAATTGCATTGGCTGGCCAAAACAAAATTCCTTTCTTATCCCTCATTTGGTCACGTATTTAGATTTGTACACTAAATTCTCTTGGCTCCGTTAACATTTTTCTAGGAAAACACAGCTTTCTACCGTGAAAGCGCATTCTTATCGCTAATAAATTAAATCCTTCTTTTAACAAAAGTAATAAAAGTGCCCAAAAATAAAGGCAAAATTTTGAATTCTTACTTCCCACACCTGTTTTGCCTATCTCTTGCCATCCATTCATTGAAGATGTCCCCAAAAACTCAGTTGCCGACTTTCTATGTATTCTAATACTGCCTGCATTCCCAGTTCTTCTCGTATTTGGTCGTTTCTTAGTCTATCAATTCTTGTAATCCCTTTGATGCGTCTTAGAAACCTTGCACTTGTCCATGCCACTTAGGTTGATGTCCATGTTCATGAACTCACTTGTTAATGGCATCATTTTTATTTTATTTATGTTGTTATTCTCTAGTTCCTGGTTCCATATCACGAAATTATGTTGAGTCTGCATCAGTGTCATTACTATGTCATCTTCAAAAGCGCATTTCGAAATTAGTACCTACGCTACTCACTTGCCTATATCCTACTACTGCTTTTTTGGTCTTTGTTCCTGATTATGTCGTCCATAAATATATTACATAGTGTAGGTCCGAGTCCTCCTCCTAGTCTTATTCCTTTCGTAGTTGTGAATCTGTCTTGATTCCATGTTTTTCCATATAACATAATTAATTGTATTTCTGTACATATTCTTGTTAAGCCTGGGTTCACTTCCCTCTTAGTCTTAGTTAAACTATCCCATATTTTACCCCTAGGTACTGAATCAAACGCTTTCTCTAAATCTATACATATTTCTTCCCTCTATTACCATTATTTTCGATTAGTTGTTTAATTGTGCAGATATAGTCTATTTTAAATATTAGAAATCAAATTCAAACGAGTTCATTGGATTGGATTGTGAACTCCACTTGTAGAAAATGAATTTTAATCTCTACGGCACTATACTGCATTCATTATAAGAAGGTAGTAGATGGCGCTTTGTTTGAAGATAAACACACACAGGAAAAATATAAAACGGTACCAAATTATTGTAAAGTAGAAATATTCCGCACTGTGAAGAGAAATAAATCTTTGACAATAACAACTAATGACACTTCGGCAGTTTAGTTGGCAACATAAACTACCACCTTACAAAATTCACCAGTCGTTTTATGTTTCATTGTAATATTGACTCGTGTTTTAACCAATCACAGTGAAGGTCAAAGCCTCCCTATGTTTTCTACCGCTACCTTCTTAAAATGAATACAGTATAGTAAAAATTTTACTGTAATAACAATTAATTTTTTGCAATAAAATATTAAAACCACGGCTAGCTCAGTAATGAATAAATTCTCAATGACTTTTAGCTTGCGGAAGGTTGGGTCTTTATCTCCACTTATAATTTGAATAATCCTGTAACCTATAACTCATTTTACTTCCACTGTCGCTTTTCCTTCCCTTGACGAATGCCAAATTATAACTAGCATAAGCTTAAAATGCGCTTTTTAATAATAAAATGTTCGGTTTCAGCACTGCAGATTTTAGAAATGCATTTTTGAAAACAATTAGACAAATCATTAGGGAATCCGTTAGAAATATGTCAATACCGGCTACCAAACCAGGATCAGGACCGGGTATTCTTCTAGTGTCAACGCACAAAGGCGAAATGATAAGTAGCCAAACATTGGAACGACCAACAAAGCAGACAATTATTATCCAAGGATCGCATACTTTGGGTAAAGTGAAAAAGTCGAAATCTTCTCAGAGGCATTCGGCGGGTAACATAGATTACGACAATATAAGTCAGGAGGCGGATGAACCACCAAGCGGATCGTTCCGATCTCGTAGTAAAACTGTGGGGGACGTAGCAGGTGAGCAATACCGAAATGTCTGTGAGTAGTTCAGAAGAAGAGTGCATTTTAGATCCGCCTAAACGGCCGGAATCCGAGAAGTGCGATCCTGGTATTAAATCTGAAGGAGAAGACGATTCCCAAACGGGTAGCTCAAAAGGGAAGACGGGTCTAGGTCGAACACCAAACCATTTAACGCTAAGGTAAATATTTTTCTTAGTTCACTTAAATTGTGGCCGTTCCTACTTACATTATAGTCGCCTTCATAGCACAACGTCAACTTTATCGGCCGGTAGTACCGGGAGCCAAGCACGACTAATCCAATCTTCACATCAGCCTGAGAATTATCAACCAATGCAAGTCGAAGAGCTAGGTAAGCAAAATTCGAATACTAAAGTAATCAAGGCCGAAGTACACACGATGAAATCAAAATCTCCAAGTCACTCACCTAAAAAGCGAGATTCGACAAAAAAACATCCTAGTCCGAACCATTCGCGCAAATCAAGCCCAAACACTCGCAGGAGCAGTCCAAAGACTGGACGAAAATCGGAGAGTCCTTCCAAAAACGTGGAAGAGCCAACCGGCGAGTCAGCCCAAAAAAGCCCCAAAAAAATCAAGTCTTCTTTAAAACAGTCTTCGAAATCTTTAAGTATTGAAAACCCGACGTGTGTCGAGTGTTACTTATCGGGTAAAGTCGAGAAGAGATAATGTACTGATACTTTTTGTGATTTCTCGTAAACAAAACACAATATTCGGACTAATTTGATACGGGTAATGCTTATTTTTTTCTTTTGCTTTGCTTAGGTAGACTTTTGCATTGTAAATTATAATTTGCTTCCGTAGCACTCCTGCTTTTGTAGTTTTAGGGATACTAGATAATAGTTGTAAGTCTCTGTTGGAATTCTACACAAATTTTTACCAAAGCGCGTTATTACTATATGTATTATAGAGATAAACAATTTGGGATGTTACAGTTACTTAAATTTAAAGGACTTTCAGTATTTAAATTTGTTCATTATTTACCATTTGCGAGCCACTAACGCACCATTTTTAGTTTTGGGTCATTTTTCTTGCCTTTTGGTGTCCTGGCTATAATCTTCATCGCAAAATTCATCAGTCCGCAAACTTTTGTTGGCTAGTATTTAAATGTTTGACGGTAATTGCAATACAATGTTTACACAAAAGCCAAATATGTAAAGGCAACATACAGCAGTATTTTCCACTAAAAGGTTTCAATCAGAAATATCCGTTATTACATTTCTTTGTTGCTCTGCTGTGCTCGTCACAGATTTTTTATATAATTTGTCTTAGTATAGTTGCACTACAAAACTATATAGCTGATGATTTTAGATATAATTAAGGCTGTTGTTAATAAAGTAGTAAAAATCATCAGCACATGTATGCACCATTTACAGCCATAGACACACTTTTAGCTTAGTCTAAACGTTCACTTTACTCCATTCTTTCCCCCCAAAATGTAGTACCTAATTCCTGCCTGTTCCCAGGTGCAATGTTTTTCAATTTGTCGTTTTCAGCCATATTTCTAGTTTCTCACTCCTGGTTTTAAGCAGGCGCAAAAAATTAATGGTGGCAAATCTCTTCATTTAACAAGCTTACGTCCGGGTGCACAGATTAAAAATGAAATTGAAAATAATGAGCAAATGCTATATAAATTGAAAGTCCTTTTCTAGTCACAACTAAATTTTTTACAAATTTATTGTTGTAGGGTCGCCTGTGTGGAAACCAAGAGACAGTAGTTTAGAAGCAACCTGTACCACTCTCCCGCGCAAGGGCAAGGAACCCAGCACGTCCGCGCTCAGCGCTTCGCGTAAGTCTCTCGTAGATACAAACAGCGGTCTGGAAATCCACAGTTCATACAATAAGTCATAAACGAGACACCATAGCACAATTTAAAACATCTCTAGTGCCCTTCCTAATCCTCCAGGAGCCAAGATTTTTATCTAGTCAAAACCTATTCCTAGCAATTTTGCCTAAGAAATAATTCGCGTTATCAACATACAATAGAAAATTCGTAGGTATGAAGAAAAATTAATTTATAATTCGTTAAAGCATAAGCGTTTTGGGGTACAAATAGTTATTAGGAACGACTCAGTATTACAAATGATCCGCAATTCTTAAACTCGCTTTAATATTGCTTTTTTTGCACATTGAGATGGTGCCAAAATTGCCTTTTATAAACATTGGCCAAATTTTTTTAAAGCAAAATTGTATGGGTACCTGCACTGCGTCTCGTCTTATTTTTTTAAGGCAAACTTCTTTCAAAACCAATCCAATGCAATCATACAGTAGAAAGAATGGGAAAAAAACTTTTAGAGAGATCATATTATTATTAAATATATAAATTTAGCAAATAGTTGATCCGTACGTAGATTTAATTACATAGATATATGTATTTTTAAAAGAAATACATAATAGTTTTTGATTTACTTACTATATTATTATTGATAGTTTCGTAATAAGTATTTACATGTTAATAATTAATAAAATATGTTATCAATGTGTTCCTTTAATCTATTTCTATCTCTGTTACATTGTTCTATTAAAAGTATAAGAATAGGTAAATTACGCAAATATAAAAGAAAATAATTTAATATTTATGACTGAGAATGTTTATAAATAATTTACGTGGAAGATTCTATGTTAAATGATAGAGAACGTTACCGTAGGATAACATATTGTATTAATTTATGTTGAGCTTTGGTCATCCTGGCCAAAGAGGAAAAAGTTTTTTGATCGCACAACTTATGTTACCTACTACTTATGTGGAGCAAAATCTATTGAAAATATCTTGGTGTCTAAAGGACTGTCGCGTGTGAATGAAAAACACCAAGATGGCTCAAATATAGACGTATAATTGCTGTCGTTACCTAAGTTTCGTACTCATTTTGTGTTCCTTTAGCCATAGTTTGGTATTATTTGCTTACAGGTTTCAATGCAAAGTGAAAAATAAAGGGAATATCGAACTTAGCCTAAGGTAGAGATATGGGTACTTAAAAATGAAAAGAAACATCACTAAACATAACTGTAATAATAAAAATCTGTTTTTTTTTGTATAAGTTCAAATTTCAAAATATCTAATGTCGCAAGTTAGATTTTGCCAGTATTGAAAGAAGTGCCAAAAATCCTACGAAACGAATTAGGTATTTAGAATACTAAGTAAATATATGATAAATAATTTTATGTTACGACACATCATTTAGTTTTTAATCAAATTGATTATCTACTTTATCTGGTTATTAGTAAGTAAGCACTTTCTTGTACTTTCTGTATGTATGTCAAGTCGACATTAATGTGCGTATGTATGAATTTACGGAAATGGAAATTTAAATAAATACTTGAGAAACTTTTTTTCCACCATGTGGATACATAAGGTACTACATGTAACCACGTGATTTTTGCCGCGACTCTATTAGTAAAACACACAGAGGAATTAAATAGTGCTAACCGTGTTGTTAATGAAGAGCTTATTATTTTTTTTGTTCTCAACAGTGCCCCAGGACCTACTACTGTGGAATTTTCCTCTAATGGGTACAGCAGCTGAACTCTACCGTAATCCGGGTGGTGTGAGGATAATACAACTCTCATATTATCTGTTGTGATGCTGTTGCGAATCCAAAATTGGGCACTGTCGCTGGGTAGGTACATTGTCAAGATGGAGAATCCAATTGGTGACGATCTCTAGTCGAAATCGGCGGAACACTTCTGCATAAAATTTTCCAGGACAGTTTGATCAGAAGGTACAAACTTTCTTTGGCGTCGAATAGTGAGCATAGATTTCAGGGGCGATTTGCTCATTGGAGTTCTCTTCATCCTTGGAGACTGATTGGTGCGCCACTCCGCACTCTGTCGCTTGGTTTCAGAATCGTGAATAATGTACGTCTCCGTAGCAGTTTTGTTAAGTTTGACACAGAACTTGATTGAAAACACTGCTCCAAAAGTTACTACATTTTCACTTTCTTACGTTTTCTGCGACAGGTTCAAATACTCACTAAATTCTCGATTTGCTCACTCCAATGTTTCGGAGCCAACTGCTACTGGTTCCCTCGCTTCACTGACACTCTTCACTATTACCATTGAATAAAAACACTATAAGAAGCCTAACGCTTATGGAAGAAAGCGCGACAAATGCGTTGCCCTCTTCGGTAAATAGGAGGAAAGCAAATTCTCATTCTTCTCAGAGGAAATTGACAGTGTTCCCATTATATTCTCAGTTCAAACTCTGTCGCGCTTTATTTCCACGGGGTTAGGCTTCTTATAGTGTTTTTATTCAATGCTATTACTCACTATACTAATCTGCGTGCCCTCTTCTATCCAGAGGAAAACCCATCCCGATTCCTTCCGGACACACCTCATAGGCACAAGTGTAGTTTTACCAAATAACATAATTTTCAGGGTAGGTACATGAAATGGTTGTGGATACAAGGTTCATATTAAATAGTATCACTAGCAGCGATGCCATGGGTTGTTTTCTGGAGTTCGTGTACCTCTGCTAGCTTTTGTTAAAGTACTAATCTCAATCAAAGGGGAAGGGTCAGTGAGTAAAACAATGTTTATTTATTAATCCATCTTAATAATCTCCCTTGAAGGGAAATGCACTACCTATAGTAAATGGGGAAAAGGCACCATGAAATGGATAAAAAAATACGTATTTGAGTTAAATTCAATAAATGTGGGAAATGAGCATTTTATTCCAACTAAAAACTGTTCACGGGTGTTTTTCAAGTTTTGTCCTTCAGACTTCTAATAGTCATTACTCAAAATAATGATGAACACTTTTTCTCTCTTTTTCCACTTAATGATTACAAAGACTTTTGGCAATAGGAACATATTACACAAAGAAATATCCGTAACTTTACTTTTTGTCCTGTATGTCGGCAATTTTTTTCAACATTTATACAACATTTATTGAAAATATTAACAACTCACATTGCATGACATTCGAATTATATGTCACAAAACGATTCATATGAAGAACTGTTGGCGCCTAATTTAAGTATAAAGGCCATAGTCCCCCCCCCCCACCTAATAAAGACTACAAATACATTTGAAAAATGTTTCAGTAAATTCAGAAGTATAAGTCACACTTTTAACCGCTCGGGAGGTCGTCTTGAGCGCTGCGATCTTCGGTGTGATGTAGGTAGTTGAGTCTGATGCGGTTATGATTGGTGGTAGAGTTGACAGAACAGTCGGATCTGCTGTAGATGTATCGATTATTAAATTTTGGTCTGCGGCGTAGAGGCTTCAGAGTTCCCAACCAGAATCTAAACCGCTGGATTCGGGTCAGCTCCGGCCAAAACACGTGCCCTTATGTAATTCTTTTAGAATTGACTTGCGGTAAATAGATGGTATGTAAAAAAATATGAGTAGAATCCGTTGATGCATTTACATCCTGTTGGAGCAATCTCAATTTGTATGCCTTCACACCTTTTTCGGTAATACTCAGAGTGTTAAAAAAACGACAAAACGGATGGCTTGATTATCGTACCCTACTGGAAATCGCAGCCTTGGTTTCCACTGTTCCTGAAACTATTATTAAGCGAACTTTTGGTATTAGGTCCGAACAGCACTCTTTTGGGTGCGTGCATCCTTTCAGCAAGCTGAAGCATCCTTTATCAAGAAACCTTATCCTGGTGGCTTCCAGATTACCAGAAAATACGCTTCAATTGCAAGGAGTTCCGAAAAATGCTTTAGATATGATGCTAATATAATACAACTTACAAGCTGTGTTACAGGTGTTGTTTCATTTTTTCAAGGTAAGTATTTTGGAGCAAGAATATTTTTGGTACGTTCAACTCTTATCGAACTGCCCTATAATTGATTTTATAAGTGAATTTCATAAACAACTTGCATATTAAACGCTTCATAAGGGGTATTTTCAGACTTAGACGAACAAGACCTATAGATATAACATCACTTGGAACCCACAGCAGATTCCAAAATGACTCAAGTGCCAATAATAGGTGCGGGTATGTCATATTGCTGCTTTGGAGGGTCAAAAAGTGAAGAAATTATTCCCAAACATCATGATAAGTAACCCAACGTTTTGTTCAAAGTGATTAAGCATTACCCATTTATGGCGAACCCTTTTAGGAATGTGTAATGCAGCAAACATGAGAAAAGATCAGATGAACGTTGCTATACACTGTCCAAATGCTGTGCAGAAACATGGAAAAGGCCATAAAAAATGACGACCAAGCTTCAAGATATACCGAATATTCATATTTCGAACCTTATGTACTTACATACTCGGTACTGTAGCGATATCTACATTAAACAAAGTTTTAAAGGGTAATACCACAGATTAACTACGGTACTACCACAGATACTCTGCTAATACTAAACCTTTGGCAGCTATGTCTTCCCTGATGTTGTTATTTGACCGATGTGCCCCAATGCAATGTGCCAATAAAATCATTTGACAGTAAATGTTAAAGTAGACGCATCCCTCCCCCCTCCCCCCAAACAGCTTAGTACAGATTGTAGTTGTAGCATACTATGTTTATCGATGTTTAGCGTCTTGGTGATGATTAATGGATAGGGGGCTGTTTACACAAACATTTAAAGGCGGATTGCCACACATTCCAAATCTATGCTTATGCAACATTGCACTTTCCCTTTGTAGGTACATGTACCGTCCCTCGACACTCAATTTTGCAGATATTTCTCTTTCAGACGATTAATTTTGCCTTTGTGAGCACTCTCCCTCGACACTCTGCTCTAGAAGTATGAGGACCGATCACGATAGAGGATCGAGGAGAAGGATTATGGTTCGTAGAAATTAATTACTTTCGTTGAGACCCGTCATTAGAGTACCATGAGTTATATAAATCCAGTTTCTCCCCCCCCCCCCCATGAACTTCGATAAAGGGTAAGAGAGAAGGGCGGTAATTGGTAGGGTAGATGCATGCGTATGTAACACCTGAGAAAATGGAGTCTGTCATTTTTTAAGTACCAGAACTAAGCAAGAAATGCTTCAAGAATCCAAAACGAGATGCTTTTGGTGGGAATGACAGTAGGTTCAAGTTTTCTACTGCACCCTAAGATACGACGAAGAGCCACTGGAAGCGACTTTCCAAAGCTGAATACAGAGTCATGTATTTAAAAGTGTACTCTACATGCCACTGGTTGTTTTTTTTCTCTCCCTTCCGCTGTTTTCAGTTTTTCTTTCGTACCAGAGCAATCTTATTTCGTCAACTTGTTCTAATTTCTTTTACTAAATCGCAATATCTACAGCAAAAACTGTTTTGTAATCAATTGTCGTTTACAAAAGGGAAGCATTTGACAGTAACAATTAACGCTTTGTTTAATTATAATGATGAACGTTCAACCTGCTCATAATATCGGTAAGTACGTAAAGTTAGGCACAGTCGCTCCAATCAGTTTTTATTCCTAGTTGCACCCTTCAAGGCAAAAATTCCGAGACCGGCAAACGCGTTCATGATCTACGCCAATGAAAATCGAAAGGAAATGTCGCAAACGTTTCCTCGCGAATCGAACAAGGATATCAGCAAGCGGTTGGGTTTAACGTGGAAGTCGCTGGAGGTGTCCGAGAAAGCCAAGTATTACGAAATGGCTAAAGCTGTTGGGGAGGCGCACAAGAAGAAGTATCCAGGTGAGCTAACGTTTGGGAGTTTTCTCGGTGGAATGTGTCTTACTGTTGCCATAGATAACAATTAGTAGTGCAGAAAGTAGCAATTTTTAGAGGTTTCGGTATGAGCTTGAATGCTGAGTCGGCAAAATTAAACAAATGCATTGGTTCAATTTGATCTATTCAGAATTTCTGGATAATTTGTTGTTGAAGGGGGTTTTTATTTAGTAGAAGATAAATATTGAAGACTTTGCAGTCATATATGATGTCGCAATGTGAAATTTGTCGAATGTCTAAGCTACACTTCCAGCAGTGGCAACTTATCGTTAGTTAAGCATAACTTTAATACCATAGCAACGATTGTTTAATAATCGTTGCCATAGATTTTAAGTTCGACTTAACTTTAAGCAAGGCTTCATTTTGATGGTGGAACTGGACATGACACCTATCTAGAAATTTTAAAGAATTGTCAGGGGGTATCTGGGAATACATACATTATTTACAGGAACCTACAGATTTATGTGGGAATTAAAAAAGTTTAGTGTAAACGGATATTGATTATAATAATTTATATTTTGGATATTTTTTCTATTAAGACAGATAGAGGTATACACTAAATGTAAAAGTTGTAGTAGTGACGAGTTGTCTTAATCTATCTTAAAAAGCACAGAAAAAAAGACTATTATTATTATATTCGATACGGTTGGCTGTCTGGCTGGCTAGCTGTCCGACTGAGATCTCGGAAACTTCAAATTTTCACTAAAAGCTTTCTGCTATAGTGTAGATGTGCAGACTATTTTGTGTTAGATGACTCGTGAGATCGATGATTTAAAACTTTGCTAATAAAATACTGATCTATATAACCAAAAATGCGCTTTCATCATGTAACGCCATTTCAAAAAGATACTCGGGCTACATTTTGATTTATAGGACCGTTTTTACTAATCGCACTTTATGAAAAGGAATGTTCACTCGATTCAAATAGAAAAGTTTTAGCATTTGTAATGGTAGCTTGCTTTTCAGTTTCAAAGTTTTCGGTTTCCATTAAGTATAGGCAAATATACACGTGCTCGCCAGGAGAGAATTCCGGTTACAGAACAACCGGTGCCGGTCTACAATCGTATGGTTTAATATTAAATACATACGATTGAAGACCGGCATGTTGTTCTGTGACCGGCATTCTTTCCCGGCGAGCACCGCTTCATACGAAAGGTGAACGCAAGTGGGTATGGCGATAAACAAGCGATAAAACGAGTGCGGTAGGAAAAATTTTACTAGTGTTATAGAGGATCAACTTTATTTAGTATGAACGAGGGTCTTCAACCCTTGTAATGTAACTAACCGTGACAGATTGAAAAAAGTGCGTTTTATTATTCTATCTATCGTGTCAATGTTGAACGAAAAAACTTTTTGTTCAACATTCACGATCCTATTCTGGAAGTCGCTCGCATCTTAAGAAAAACATAGATTTTTGATCGACATAAGGTGTGCTGTGACCGGCAATCTTTCACGGCGATTCAGCAGGGCCGCAGCCTTAAACTAAAATAATTTAGCATGCTTAAAAATATATTCAAAATTTTTTTAAAAAATTAACAAAAGAAGAGGTAAAAATTTCAACCATTTTAAGTGGCGATATTGATGGTTGAATGATCGATTTAATAGTTTTCTATTATTAAATAACGCCAACGCTTCTTCGAAAACGACATTTTCGGTTTTTGTTCAGAATTTCGTAGAGCTACAAGAAACTTTGAAAGGGAAAATTAATCAGCATGAAAGTGTGGGTAACTGGTAATACGTAGTACTTGCATAAGAGAGATCCGAAGAGAGATCTACAAATGACCTCCAACTCCAAGTCGATACGATACACACATTTCTTGGGCATCAAGCAATCGAGTTTGGTCTTTTTCCCAAAAAAATTGGTGCATAAATAAGGATTTAGATCGATATTGGTGATACAGTGATGGATACTAAAATTAATTTTTGATAGTTGTCCATCTGGAACCATGAACTATCTTATAGCGAACCCCAGAAGTCGATATGAGTTCTTCTTCCCAAGAAAATCAGTACATAAATAACGATTTTGACATTTTTTGTGAACAAAAATACACATGAACCACTTCTTGGGCATTGCGCAATTGAATTTCCCTAGAAAATTGATTTTGACATTCATTTTGGTCACCAAACATAGAAATGTATCATTTCTTGGTCATCGAGCAATCGAGTTTGATCTTTTTCCCAACAAAATTGGTGCATAAATAATCACTTTTCCCAATTTAGACCTATAACACGTGATGAATGCCAAAGTTAATTTTTGATAGTCGATACGAGGTCTAGATACTGAGCTATAGTACGGAACGACACGCAGACGGACGGAAGTGTGAAGTCATAAGCGCTCCTTTCATGGATTGCGCTAAAAACGAATTCCTTCAGTAGAATAGAGCAAGTTATTAATATTTCACCTGATGCCCGCTCTTAGTAACTAATCTGGCTACAGCCCTGATGGCGAGAGTATTAGAAAAACACTTGAAACCCTGGTCTTGCTGATCTGTGCTTTAAGTGCAGGGTAAAATTACAAGTTTTTTTAGATACAAGTACCTAACGAAAGTTTGATTTGAAAAATCAGAATTTAATTTTGAGTTGCAATCCGGAATTTTGGATTACAACTTGGAATTTACATGAACTAAGGACATCAAAATGGCGTTTTGAACACAATCGCTACGCTCGGCGGCAAAAGTGGCAAATTCACACTAAAAAATGACTGAAGTCTTATCAAATAATGTTTTTTAAACTGTGTATATGTTATTCTCAATAGCTGCCAATAGCTTGTTAACATAACATTTCATCGTTTGCGTTCTTGGCGTTTACTTTTGCGTAACAAAACAAGTTGTAAATCGCATATGCATGACGAAAGCGCATTTTTGGTAATATCGATCAGTATTTTATTAGCGAAGTTTAAAATTATCTGTTTCGTGAGTAATCTAACTCAAAATAGACTAGAGCCTGCACATCTACCTACACTATAGCGAAAGCTTTAGTGAAAATTTGAAGTCTCTAGCTATTATAATTGCTGAGATCTCAGCCGGACAGTCACCCAGCCCGCCATAACGAATATAATAGCGTATTTTTTTCAAAAATGCGCTAAAAACTTAGATGTCTGTTGGAGATATAACATGCGACAATGTTCAGAAATGTGTAAAGATCTGTTTCTAGTCGCTATAACATATTCGTACATTCTTTCAGCACAGATTACCACTAATCTGTGCTTTCAGATATAAAGGCATTAAGTCTGAAATAAAAAAGTAGGTAATTTACTTTTACAGCATACAAATACTTATGGGCGTTGTGGGCATTCGACGAAGTGTCCTAGACCCTGATTTTTAACGTATACTTCCAAAAAATTCCCATAAGGCAAAACAACTTTTTATTAACGCAAAGAACTAAAGTGCCTTTTATCTGTTGTATCGTTATTATAGTTACTGCTTCCAATTGCTAACCAAATTTATTTGCTATAGTGACCGGTAAAATAAGCATACTACCATAATTGGAAATTTGCCAAACTACACGTTGAAAACGGGTGTAAGCAGATTTTCATACAAATAAGTAAGTAGTAAAACAAGGGTAGCAAACCAGGTTTAATAATTTTTTAAGTTTCTATACCGTACGCAGTCCCTAATAAAAAATTGACGAAAGTACTTTCGCCTAGTTTACAATAACCGAAGTCTATTTCTCTTTCTTTACTTGGGCTTTATATTAAACATCCCTTTGAGCCGTCTGAGCCGGACTGACCTTTGGCACATACGTACCTTTCCAACGCAAACACTAGTAAACCAAATAATATAAATTAAATAGCGAGGGCCTGAAGAGTTTGAACACGAACGAAGGTGACGTTGAACGACGCAAAAGGTATATTTTTAAACGCGCCAAATTAGAGTGTAACATTGATTTTTTAGCGAGTTAATTATCTGCACAAGAATACTTCATATTGATTTTCCGGTATCAAGATAATGCTTAAATCTTGTTTACTAAAGCCGTTTTTTTCCTCGCACTGCAGCAGTCGATAGCAAGACGAAGCGCGAAGCCCTCTCACTTCATTACCCAACTCCCAACTATTTTAATAGTTACGAGGTGGGATTAGAAATAACGGTTTGATTTTCTACAGATCAATGGAAGCCCTTTGGCTGTTACGGTTTAGCGTCATCGCTCTCGGTAAAGAGCGAGCGCAGGCGTTTTTCCACATTTTTTCCCTCTTGTAACACGGTTAAAATGTAGGGCAGTAACTTTATATTAGTTATGCCCAAATCAGACTTGTTTCCGTTTGGATAACAAATTCAGCGACGACGTCAGGTAGACGTTTTCTTTGAGTTTCACTTTTTGGAGGGGTTGTATTGACATGGCGTTGATGTCCATGCGAAGACTGGAAACGTGGGGATTGCCGGATCGACCTGTTCGTTTCGTATTGAATCTTCCGAAGGGGGCAAATGTTAGTTTGCAGTTAGCCGAGAAAGGCACTTTGTGTTTAAATTTCTATGTTTCATTCATGGATTTGAATGTGCAGCTAAGCTGGGATCAGATCCTTGCAACAACGTGTTGCGTGCGGCATTTTAATAGTTATTAGGTCTAATAATTTCGAGCCCCCTTTCAGTTTTCATTCAGTTTCCCTTTTGAAACCTGACACTGAGAAATTAAGCATATCATTGGAAAAGACTGAGCTACTTGGCTTTTAATTAACTATTGTGTGCTGGGTGAGAGTCCCCCTAAGAAATTCGCTGCGAAAGGAAATTCACACCTCTACCTCTCGGGCACTTTTATAGATTTATTTCAGTATCACTTGGCCGATCAATACCGGATTAGACACATTCTGGCGTGCACACATATGTTGAATCGTGTAGTCCTCCAATTAACGTCCTTCGTCAGTTTAAAATTCCCACCTGGGAGAAAGTGCGGCATCCCATACTTAAGAAATGGAACTCGATAAGCAGCTGGTATTTGCACGTTGCGTATGATTATATGGGCGAATGACCCACTTGTCCAGGGTATTGCAGACTCAGGCGCGCCCGGTGGGTGAGACGACGCTGGTCTGTATTGATTGCGCTATTCAGTCGGCGGCGTCGTCCGGCGTCGCCAACTACGCGCTCCACACTACGCGGTCTTCTCCCGCACGAATCGCACGAACGTCGCTCTCGTAAAAGTTTTGGCGCGAAAATTTCCGTCTGCGTGATTTAAACAACTTTCGTCATGCGGCAGTTATCAAAACTGCCGTTTTCTCAAAATTCGTACTCATCATGAGCTTACCTTTTCATTTTTTTTTCAAATTTATCTTCTTCAAAACTGAATGTCAGTAATGGATTGTTGCAACTACCTGCAATATAAACAATCATTCTACCGGCCGCAATTTTACGAAAACGGATTTTACAATCGAGATTACTACGGACATCCATATCAAAGTTACTATGCCCATGCAAACTATTACTCTCAGCAGTGGCCTAATTCAGCTTCACTTTCAGGTACCAAACTTTTCTAACACGTCACATATTTATCACTTTTGTCATATACCTGCATATTTTTAGCCTTTCCAAGAATCGATTTTGAATTTAATTAATTATCGCGCGAAGGGTACTCATTTCTCGCTCGCGTTCAACTTTTTCATATGTTGTGCGCGCCTATACTAATGCATTTTTAAAAGTTGAATATTATGTGTTTGTAGATTACGTTTACAATCCCAAAGAAGCGCGAATTAGGAAGGCAATGCGTGAATCCTCCAGAGATCAAACACTTGGGGCAGCGCCCACTACTTCTCCACGAGGAGGACGTCGAACGCAGACTTGGCTGAACGGTCCAGAAGAACACCTGATGATGGTTTGTATACCACTTTATAACTTCATTTTTGAGTTACACTCTGCCAAGGTAGTAAAAGTAGTGCGTACAAAGAGAAAGGGAACATATTATGCACATCTACAACTTTTTCTTATAAACGATTGTGTCAAATATCGAATTACCACACATTTGGTTTAGTGTATGAAATTTGGGTTTCGGTTAACAAGGCCCTAAGCCATTTGTTTTCATCTATCGATGACAGAATAAGGAAATTAATGATCCATTTCTTAAAGGTTTCAATTTTGACGTAGAGACAGGTTCAAAAGTCCCTGTAGGTACTGTTTAAAGGTGTCACTGCGGAAAATTTTTTGACTTATCAAACACCAATTCAAAGAATTATTAGTAGCAGTCTGCTTTCCAGAAACTTTCCAGAGAGCATCTTCGTTGTTGAGATCTTTCTTACTGTGATTTAATATGCAATTAACGTAATGATGTTCCAAGAGGGTATGTGTAATTACGGTTGGTTTACCAGTTACCTAAATTGTTCGTTGAAATTTTAATCGAGATCGGATGCAATTGTTAATAGTAGGCGTGGGAGGGATGACGACGGCACGTCACAACTTCATTCTGCAACAAAACGTGTGGGGTCTGTCTACCGTTGGTAATCAATATGCTTAAAGCTTCGGAAGGGCTTCGAAATATCTAAACGTCAATTGTCAGCCTGTCCATAGGAATGCGACTGTTCGTGTTAAGGAGATTTGAACCGAAGCGCTGTACCATTTTTCCAGTAATACGCAGCATGTTTGAAATAAATAGGCGATGTATACGTTGCCATAGCATTAGAGATGGTTGGATGGTAACAACGCCTTCCCGTTGCTAGGTAACGATCAAGAGCGTCGTGGCGCCTATTGCGAAATACCGTCGATATCAGAGACTTTCTCGGTGTTAACCATGCGCTTGGCGGACTGCCGGGACCGATACCGATTTTATTCACGTCGATACCCAGCTGACATTGACGCTATTTGCATTATGCTGTGCAAAAATCCGTCTCTCCTCCACCTAATCGTGCAATTCTCGATCAATCGACGTGACACGAAATGGTTATCGCCTCATATTTATGCACCCATCCGACATTTTAAATCTCCGCAGGAATTTGAGGCAGTTTTTTTTTGCAGACTCCACCACCGCCAGACTTGAGTAGTCAAATGTGCGGCAACCCCATCTTTCCAGGACACCCTTCGAGTGTGGGCCAATTTATGCCACCTATGAACGCGTATACGAAGCTGGTGCACGTTTTACCTTCCAGTGGGTGGTTACAAGATTCTCCCACATACATGCAGGTGAATCATAAGACAAAACCGTCTCTATAACAAACATAGCATTTATGGATAATAAAACCGATATCGAGAATATTAAAGTTTCCAATAAATGCCGCCCTTTGAACTTCGCCGGGTTATTTTTAAAACAGAAATTAATTTCGAATAATTGCAGCATAATCCTATGGCCGAATTACAACACCACCAAGCGCATATGTGGCATCAGTATCAAGAGTCTTTGAGGCCGTGTGCAGGTTTGTATGGGCTCGGTTCTCCGCTATTTTACGTTGGCCTTTTTTAGATCCGTCTTACATGCTGCACTCGCACCCTCCTCCCTACCAAGAAACGAACGGTAACGATTTACAATCGCATAAAAAATGCAAATCACAAACAGACGAATTGCTCGCGACAAAAGTTGAGAATAGGGCGAAACTGGAAAAAATAGAGCGCAAAGTCGATAGCACTTTTTTACCCGCCGAAGAGACGGTCATTGTACAAAACCCATTCGATGGAGACGACGAGGTGAAATTGAAAAAAGTAAGCTGTTCTTGTAATTGTTTTAACGATCGAATGGGGATGATTAACAATAACGTCTGTTGCTAGCAATCTTCATCCATGTCACACCCGAACGGTTCCGTAAAGGCGCTGCCCGATTTCAATGAAGCTTTTGGTTCAACAGAACGAGGCCGATTTCAAAGTCCGCCCGATCCACGGCTGGCACCGAACAAAAGCTATCTAGATTCCTTTCTGCTTAACGACGGAATCAAATTCTACGACTATCACGCTTAAATCGTTTTCAGTTGGCGTCGTTATTGTAATCAAAAAAAATTTAGACAGCATGGTTTTCTTCTTAGTTTACCTTTGGTTTGGATTTTGAAAAAGAATTGTGCCTTCCAAAAAGTTCTTCCTTCCTTTCCCTTCTCTTCCGTTTAGTTTTTGAACAATTTATACATATGATTTGGGACCAAGGTTTCGATTTAGTTGTTTCTATTTTTTTTTAAACAATTGTAAATATGCAAGAATCAAATTTAGATTAGGATAGGATTAAAACCAAACATTGGCAAGATAATGGCGCTCCGCCCGCGTTTGGATCCCACCCCGCATGTGCTCCCAACCCTTCTCGCTACCAATCCGCCGAGTATGATGTAGGTATCAGTTTAGAATTTACCGTTACCGCTGCCAATTTTCTTGTTGCCAATTCGCTTCTATAATTCTGTGCAAACCTCGACGGAACCCGTGGCAGTTTATTGTAAAATAAAATTACGTAATAATATAAGGTTGTGCCTTAGTAGATATGTCAAAGAGAAAAATATTACCAAATTAAGAAAAATTGTAAGATAGAGCTTCCCGAAAATTATAATAATTTCTATTTGGGAAATTGTATAGATACAAATTTATCAAACTATGCTTCCCAAATTAATAGCGAAATATTCTAAATCTTCCTTTAGTCTTCAAACGTCATCAAAAGTAAATAATAGTAATTTTTGGATTGGTTTCCGAATTTTTATAGCCAAGAGGATGAACGAAACGTAGCGACAAAGTTAAAGTATATATATTTAACAATGGTAGTAACTGTGGTCCATAATTTATATCTTAATTATAATATTATTATTGTGATGGTGATTTAAGTAGTTATAGGCAATTAACGACACCAGATAATACTGTACAAATATATTAACAAAAACGGTTACAGATTTCCAATATAAATTATATTGTATGTTGTACTAGATTTACTTCATTAGACAATGGTACATTTTAATCGCGATTTGTAGTCAGTTTTGATCACGGACGAGAATTATAGCTTTGAATGATATCGGCAAACGAAGTTATTTTATATAGACACGTTTATTTAAATTTATCAACAAAGGTAGCGTTGATCAAAACTGCACATATCAAAGTGATATCGTTTAAATTAAATTCTAAGTCAAATTAGTGACTTTATTTTACCTCCTCTACCTAATGTATAGGTACCTACCTAACACCGTACATCTTGTTTTTAGAAGAAGTTCCCCGCAGAAGAGATTAAAACCCAAAAAGACGCCCAAACTCCGAATTGCGAAGGGTGTAAGCATAAACAACCACGGAACAATGCGTATTGTTTTGGAATACATTTGAATAACTCAAACTTGGTTTATACAGATATTGGTGTCATACCAATGTACTACAATTATTCTAATGTTGATGAGTTGCTACATAATATTAATGGGACTTTCTTTTAGACCGTTTAGATTTTATTGTGTGCAACAACCACCACTCACTGACACTATATGAAGTGGTATACCTATTCCTTTGCTTTGGTTGTATGTGTATAGAAATAAAAGTTTATATTTTTCGTTTTCGATAACTCTTAGCGACATTGGTGCGAAAATGTCATGGTTGTATTTTGGCATTTGGACACTGTGGATAGTTTGTGAACTAGCTAAAAATTCTGGTTAATTTATATAATTTTCTGGTGGTTTGTACTTTGGCGATAAACTACCTGGATAGTATATAAACCAACCGATATTCGTAGCTGTTGTAGAGAAACGATTATTTTCCGTCATAATAACCACACGTTTGGATAGTTTACATCCAGCTAGTTTATAAACTAGCCAAGTAAAAACTTTAGCCGTAACATATATAATAAAAATTGAATGCGACTGTGACGAACATGTTGTCGGTGCCTCCTGTATCAAAAATGTTAAGATCAAGCTGGTCCGTGTGTATAACTTGGATACTTGTGGTTTTGGTTACAAAGTCTAACAATGCACTAATAAAAAAAATTGTGCAGCAGACAAAGGGCTCAGTGAGTTCCATTAGGGAGCTACGCCTATAAAAGTCAAAAGCTTTACATTTTGGATGACATTACATTACATTATGGATTCCAGAGGCCAAATTCTATAAGAATTGCAGCCCAAAAAAAAAGTGTAGGTATACACTTCTTTTTTTACCAAAAATCGACTGCCCCAAAATTTCTCGGGAAAAAACTTTTGTTTTCAAAGGGCTGTAACTTTTGAACTAGTAGCCCAATCTTGGAACTGTTTGAAATTATGGATTCTACAGGCCACATTCTATAAGAAACCAGCCTTTATACAATCAGCCCTAGTTATTGTTCGCTTTGTTTGACTAAATGTGCAATTTAAGAATCGCGATATTTTACCGTTCAACCAACCTTTTTTTTTCAAATTAAAAAAAAACGCGATAAATTCTTCTATACTTCCGGTGTAAAGATTTACGAATTTCAGTTTATCAAAACACAGCAACTATCAAATAGGGACAATTGATATTACTACATTAAGCCTAATGACATCAAAATATAGATCAAAACTAATAAACCAGTAAAAGAAATTTCAAATTCCGGAAATAAATGACAGAAATATATTATTTAAGTTTAGGTATTCAGCGCGGAACGGCTGTGTCGGTGACGTCATTTTACGTAATTCCAGGAAATACGATTTCCCATATAAACAAAAATTTTTAGAGGCGATTCATAGGCGATACCACTCTTTTATGATCGCATGCTCAAGACATGGTCTTAGCAAACTAGGTGAAGTGACGTCCCGAAATTATTATTCCAATCGCAACTTTAGTCTTGTAACTTTGGGATTTGTGGAGTAATTTTGTTGATTCTATCACATTTTTGTTTCATTTTACTTAAATTTTCATAATTAATTTATACCAAAAAGCTGGAAACTTCTCCATTGTCGACGACGTGGTCGCTGTCGGCGTAGTGTCTCTAGTAATTTTTTTCCGAATAGTCGGCGTTGTGGGCACGTTCGGCCTAGTGTCCCTTGCACACTTGTCGGCGATGTGGGCATGGTCGGCGTAGTGTCCCTTGTACACTTGTCGGCGATGTGGGCACGGTCGGCGTAGTGTCCGTCGGCGAAGTGGGCATGGTCGGCGTTGTGTCCCTTATACACCTGTCGGCGATGTGGGCATGGTCGGCGTTGTGTCCCTTGTCCACTTGTCGGCAATGTGGGCACTGTCGGCGTAGTGTCCCTAGTCGGCGATATGGACCATCCAAAAATCGGGTCGGCGTTGTGGGCATTCGGCGAAGTGTCCCGCCCCCGGAATTTCCATGAAAACGTCCTCCTCGATAACTCCATTTAGGAAGGCCGTTTTAACGTCCATTTGATGCAACTCTAAATCGTATTTGTTAGCAATAGCAAGGACAGCTCGGACTACAGATAGTCTGGAAACNGACTAGAAACCAATTTCGAAAGAAAATTCAAAGGGCTGTAACTTTTGAACTAGTAGCCCAATCTTGGAACTGTTTGAAATTGTGGATTCTACAGGCCACATTCTATAAGAAAATTTTTTTTCCGGGTCGATCTGAGACAATTTTTTGTTCGGGCCTCAAAAGAAGGCAGTGTACGACCTTCCTTTTTTACCAAAAATCGGCTGCACCAAAATTTCTCGGGAAAACACTTTTTCTTATTAATTTTGGTGCGTAGAATCCAAAACAATTCGTACTTTTTCGAAAAGACTTCTCAATCAAGTTATATCTATCGAATCGAATCGAATACATTTTGGCGCCCGACGTGGGGCACACAGCAATACTGGAACGCTCGGTCAGCTAAGAGTGAGGACCACAAGGGACATCTCTGTCCTACTCTCTCTCGCAAGTACACGCATGTAGCGCCGATCTTTGAATGAGACATACAAAAATTGTTCAAATTTATTTAGTTAAGTATATAACAATAACAAAAAAAGAAACATAAATCACAATGACAACCATAACAATCAACTTTATCCAAACCAATGGCTCCCCATGCAGTCTGTCGTCCACGGTGTTTGACAGACCCAACACCAATTAAATCCGCACCCTCCTCGAGTACACACCATATGCATACACCCTCCTAAAAAGATAATAAACGCTTTCAACCTGACCAAACACAATTGTCTTGCACGTACCATCACGTTCAGTTGGTGTTTTACACTTTGGGCAAGGTTTGGTCAACACTCTTATAGCAACCTTTGAAGCTTCATCCCATCTGGCTTGGGAAACCAGTGCCGGATCCACATTAAACTCAGTATCTATCCTATCTGTATTACTCTCTGGATCAAATGGAGCACAATCACCAATATGGTAGCCCTGAAGGCATAAACGGCAGAACACGTACTGTAGAAAAAATCAATAATTGACAGGTAATCTAGCAAAAAGCTCCATACTCCGCATCCACCAGTACATCTAATTTTGATACAGTCTGGTTCCGGTATAATGCCCATACCACAGCCGGGCTGTGGACACAGCACTCCTCCTGTGCTCAGTACAAACTCTTCTGTCGCAAACTGCTGATATTGGGAATACTAAAACCCCCCGGTAACACAAACATTTATTTCCACGTTTCAACAATACCTGAGCTTCCGGCATTAAACGAAAATGATGTGTCTCAGTGATCAAGGAATTTTCACATCTAGCTGGACATGATAGAGTATATCCAAAGTCGGGATGCTCCAAAAATTGCCTATCCCTTAATCTGGTAGAACAATACGTAACAAAACACTCTAAACAGGTCACATGTGCCTCAGCACACGGAAATACCAAAATCGGTGTACTACAAATCAGAGTTAAAGACGACATTTATGTACCACCGTGAATGTACCTAATATCACCGCAGGCTAAACACGGTATACTATGTACATTAGGCCTTATTAAATCTAAGGGTACTGCCTTATCCTCTTCACCTAAAGAAGTATGCTCAGCACATTTAAAGTAAAATTCGGCGAAAGTGGGTTCAGCATTATCTAAAATCTGTACAAAATCAGTAATACTCCCGTAACATCACAAACTTACATTTGCGCATAAGTCGGGGTCGTTCTCACATTGTCCGGTGATTCGCTTAGATTCTAACACATCGACCCAGCTTTGCGGATCTGCGTGTACTGTAAATGCTCCGCTCTTACAAAATTGGCATTTCACTCTTAACTTCCCAGTCTTAAGCCCCTTACATATTGAACAGTAAACAAAAAAATGGGCTTTCGGTTGCTCAATTACTGAAAAGATTCACGTAAGAACTCTAGGATTTCATCAGCTTTAGTACCATTATTACTGCTATCCTCCGTGGACAAATCCTTCAAGGTCTCGCAAAGTGGTTTCGAACCGAACTCTTCTATTACTTCCTCGACAACGGCCCCTGCTAAACTCCGCCGATGCTTCGACTTAACCGCATGTAGAATACTGCACTGTCCCAAGTCGCATTCCTTAAAATTAAACGATGAAACGTTTGCGCAAGAACAGGTCACTTACGGCTATCGTTATTGTATCACCGAGCTCTTTGCCTGCAAAGATTATCTTAACTTCCTCAGGGTGTAAGCCTAATTTGGGAGCAACGACTTCCTTAACGTTTTTAATATCCCATTGAGGATCCAAATTAATTGAAAGTGTGTTGCCGTTGTTTGTCTTAACATAGATGTTCAAGGTGTTGGAAATGTTGTGCTGGCCGAAATAAAATAACTGTAGCATTCTATCTAATATTCTTCTAAAGAAATTTAAAAGAAAAGTCATACTTCACATTCTACCAAAAGAAATAACTGTAAATAGAGATTTTAAAAGTAGAAGGATGTGGCTAGTATCAGCCACAATCCAGGCGTCGGTGGCTAATGTCCGTGTTTTATACAGGGCTCTTCAAAATTATAGATCGATAAAAAAAACTTTCTGATTAACTTTCTGTTTTCAACAATATTTCAACACGCTGCTTCCCTTAAATTGCTCATTACTGCATTGAACACTCCACGCCCTAATAATCAATCAGAGAACATCGTTTTCGGATCGGTTTGAGTCATTAGATTAGTTAATTTTATTAAATACAATTTAAATTTCTGCCACTTTCCTAGATATATGATTGATCATTGGCTTAAGCTGAATTTTATTCGATGTAACTTTAGAGATAAATTCTGACCAACATACAAAATAAGTTATTCTTCACTGTCCTATACAGGGTGGTGAATTGCGTAACGCATCATAGGGACTTCAATGTAGGTAAACATACATAATATGCGATTATTAACTCCCCAAATGTCAATCAGTCAATCAGACCCTACCTGGGTGTAGATCAAGGTAAGTAGCAGGAGAGCAGACAATCTACAAAGCACTCCAGAAGCCATCATTTTACTTTCCGATACTATCGTGGGTTGCAATAGGGACAGCGGGAACAAAAGGAAATGCTTTACTATCATGCTGGGTCATCGGCAGTCAATCAGACCCTAGCTCAGTGTAGATCAAGGTAGCAGGAGAGCAGACAATCTACAAAGCACTCCAGAAGCCATCATTTCACTTTCCGATACTGTCGTGGGTTGCAATAGGGACAGCTGGAACTAAAGGGAATGCTTTACTATCATGCTGGGTCATCGGCAGTCAATCAGACCCTAGCTCAGTGTAGATCAAGGTAGCAGGAGAGCAGACAATCTACAAAGCACTCCAGAAGCCATCATTTCACTTTCCGATACTGTCGTGGGTTGCAATAGGGACAGCTGGAACTAAAGGGAATGCTTTACTATCATGCTGGGTCATCGGCAGTCAATCAGACCCTAGCTCAGTGTAGGATCAAGGTAGCAGGAGAGCAGACAATCTACAAAGCACTCCAGAAGCCATCATTTCACTTTCCGATACTGTCGTGGGTTGCAATAAGGACAGCTGGAACTAAAGGGAATGCTTTACTATCATGCTGGGTCATCGGCAGTCAATCAGACCCTACCTCAGTGTAGATCAAGGTAGCAGGAGATCAGACAAATTACAAAGCACTCCAGAAGCCATCATTTCACTTTCCGATACTGTCGTGGGTTGCAATAAGGACAGCTGGAACTAAAGGGAATGCTTTACTATCATGCTGGGTCATCGGCAGTCAATCAGACCCTACCTCAGTGTAGATCAAGATAGCAGGAGAGCAGACAATCTACAAAGCACTCCAGAAGTCATCATTTCACTTTCTGATACTCTCGTGGGTTGCAATAGAGACAGCTGGAACTAAAGGAAATGCTTCACTATCATGCTGGGTCATTGGCAGTCAATCAGACCCTACCTCGGTGTAGATCAAGGTAGCAGGAAAGCAGACAAACTACAAAGCACTCCAGAAGCCATCATTTCACTCTACGATACTGTGAGGGGTTGCAATAGAGCCAGCTGGAACTAAAGGAAATGCTTTGCTATCATGCTGGGTCATCGGCAGTCAATCAGACCCTACCTCGGTGTACATTAAGGTAGCAGATCTTCAGTCGTAAGCTGGTTATACAGATTTCAAGGTGTCTACTTCGTGTAGGTATATACCAAGGTACGGTTACGCCATAATTTTACCTAGGTATATTAGGTAGGTACCTACTATGGTTACGCTTTGTCATCTAAACCACGTAAATTGTCAAACAGTCTTCTAAAGTGTTCTACTCCTACGTCCTAGAGTAGAGCCTTTAAAAATATTTAAGAACACTAATGTGCTGCTTGAGAAGCTTAGGTATTTGAAGGATAGGTACAATTATATTTAAACAAATTTGCTGTGGCTAGCACAGAGGCCACCCTGTCCAAAAGGCAATCAAACGCATTAGGAGCCAAGAACTTCTACGACCTCTGAGAGCATACACGAGTTTTAGAAAGGCTTTCATTCCTTCAAAGGCTCCATAGATCTCGTTTCGTTTAATATTTAAAGAATATAAAAAGGTTGCTACGTGTTTCAACAATACGTCTTCATCGGGCGTTGTTTGTGTAGAAAAAATAGAGCCCCCAATCTTTCTATATTTGGCCCATTAAAGTGTCTGTGGCGACGCGCCGCTTGCACATCCTGCAGCAAACTAAAACGTGCTGCAGGCTCGTTGGTCAAAAGGACCAACTGATGACAACGTCCCCGGCTGCAAATGTTTATAAGCAGAGCTCCAAACTTCAAGAAACAACAGCTCTCCGCCTGCACTACCAATTCCCCTTGCCTGCTCGACCTCGCGCCACGCTCCACCAGCCAGAAGACCATTTTGTATATAGGTATTGTAAATTTATTCCATAAGGCGCGATTCATAACGTAAAATATTCTGGTTGATAGATCTTGACGGTCTAGATTCCAGACGGTGCGACGTGACTGTACTCTCAACTCAATATAGCTATAGCTTTCAATCTAAGAATATTTTTGCGATTGCGCTTTAAACGCAACAGCGCATTTTATTTACCGTCACTCGCTATAAGGTAATTCTTCCTAGCTTGTGTCTGTGGGTGCACAGAACACTCAATTAGCTCATACTTATTTACTACAAAAATGGAGAAACCGAAACACATGCTTAACGCCTTTACGCGCACCAGAAAAATAGAAATAGCCTCACACTTAGTATAAATAAAAGTAGTCAATTAGCCAACGTTCATCGACCATAGCAAAAACTAAACCATGCAACATATAAAGAAATATGCAGAAGGGCTTTGATTATTAGTACTCTATATTCAAAGCAGAAGGGAAAGTTGACAGGTCGTTTAAGTTCAGATGTTATACCTACTTCCAAGCTGCAGACCTAATCTATCTCTACCTGATCTCGAGTTATTGTATTAATTGATGGTCCAAACATAAATTATGATTTAACTTCTTATTAATCCGAAAATGAAGTCTTTTTGTTTTCTATTATCGTGCTTTGTGTGCAACTTTAGAAAAACGCTTCCAATAAAGTACAATTACCTAAAGATTTGATCGATTCTTTTATAAACTATTCAGTATCTAGTATAAAAATATACAGCAAACATATTTAGCAAAGATCATTTCAGACTACACTTATACAACAATCATACAGCACACAAAATATAATAATTATTATGCGAATTATTCGGTACCTAATAACCCTAAAATAGGCGATCTAAACAGAATCCAGTCCGTGTAACTGCTTGTAGTTCTGAAACAAAAGCTTTTAGTATGATACCTACTATTTACTGACCATATTACGTCTTTGGCTATTTTTGTTAGAACTTCCGCCATAACTGTCCCAGTTTGTTCAACCATACCAAACAGAGCGCCATGTTCGTTTTGTAGCAACAAATGTGGATGATCAAATTCAATCATTTTTCCTGCATCCATTACCATTACTTTGTCAGAATCCATAACTGTGTGTAATCTATGCGCTATTGTTAAAACGGTACAGTTGGCGAACTTCTTTCTGATAGTATGTTGAATGAGGGCATCAGTTTGAGGGTCCACGTTCGCAGTTGCTTCGTCCAGTACCAGAATTTTGTTGTTTCGAATAATTGCTCTAGCTAGACATACCAACTGACGCTGCCCCACGCTAAAATTCGATCCTCCCTCGGACATAATCGAGTTTAAACCTGCCACTAAATCATTAACTGCTTCCTTCAACTCAACCTCCTCTAATGCTTTCCACAAAACCTCATCGGTATATTCATCAAACGGATCTAGGTTTTTCCGCATTGTACCCGAAAAAAGCACGGGCTCTTGTGGAATTATCGATATTTTTGATCTTAAATCGTGTAAACCAATCGTTTTAATATCTATTCCATCTATAACAATGAGTCCTTCCGTGTTGGTTAGTTGAAACAAAGCGGAAATCATTGACGACTTTCCCGCACCAGTACGTCCGACAATACCCACTTTCTCTAACGGTTTAATGGTAAAGTTGAGGTTTTTCAGAACAGGCGGGTCTTGCGGGAAATATCGCAGGAATAGATTGATAAACCTAATCTCTCCATTTTCTGGCCATTCGGGGTGGGGTTTTTTACCAGGTGGACTATCAAAGTCGCGCTCGTGTTCGATGTGACTGTATTCAACCACTCGCTCAACGGAAGTCATTTGGTTTTCCACCTCTGTAGACTGTCGCATACCCCACTGGAACATGCCCGTTAAACTGATCGACTGGGTTATCGCCAAACCGACGTTACCGCCGAATTTTTCTGTAACAGAATTGTGTTACCCAATGCTCGTCATTGTGCGAGGGTTTACCGTTGCCAATTAGAAGAAAACTTAATGTCACCGCCGTGATGTAAATTATGCAGACAAGGTCCAACCAGAATCCAAAGGCGCGGGATGTCGAGATGAATAAGAACCATGCTGAGCTGTGTAGATCCTGATGGTTATCGAACTCTTTCTCCAAAATTGATTCGGCACCAAACGCTCTAATCGTCGTTAAACCCTGAAGAGACGCATTTAAGTAAGCGAAGACAGGACTTCGAGCTAGAAAGTTGGTGTTACTAGATATTAGCATATGGTGGTAAAATACTAACTAATGCCTTCCAGACGTTTAATGCTTCTGCTTGACGTTAGGTAGAATGATCGCAAGCCGAAGAAGATAAAAACGGTTAAAAATGTGGGTATCATTAACCAGTAATTGACAATCGCAACAACGATAATGATACCACCTAGACCCAAACCGATTTGTACGGCATCGATCATTGCGGCCGGTAAAAGTTCATCAACAGCTCCCATATCCTTTGAGAATCGATTTAAAATTCTTCCCGACGAGTTTGTGTTGAAAAATCTCATGGAAGCGCGCGTTATGCTGTTAAACATATTGTCGTGTAATCGAACTGACGATCGCATGCACAACGTGAAAAATGCGAATGAACGCGTTAGTGTAACAACGATGATCGCGACTGCAATACCGGTGTAAATGTACACGCAAGTTTCACGGGAGAAAAACCAAATGCTGTCACTGACGGGAATTGTAAAATTCTGGGCCGCAAATTCGTCGCTTAGAGTTGTAGTGTCATTAGATGGTTTTCCCATGGCAAAAATGGAATCTGATACGTAAACTGTGTGATTTGTGGAGTCTGATTGCATCTTTTTTAAGTTGTGGTAGTTGGAAGCTTCACTTCTCTGTTGCTCGAGATTTACCCTAAAAAATTTGTTACATTAAGAAATACGTAATGGTTAATACCTACCAATAGGTGAGGAAATAATCAGCTAAACTAGCGAAAAATTGTGTCATAATATACAAAAGTGCCAGTAGAAAAATGCAACAACAATTGGCACCAGCTGTAAAGTAAGCCTTGTAAATGAATCCGGACACGGAGCCGCTAGTTCGTTGTTCTTCTACTTCTTGAGGTTGCTCTACCGTTTTTTCTTCCTCCAAGGAACTAGCGATCGAGTTTGCGCGTTGTAGTATCGAAGCCCGCCTTGTGAGCTCTACGAGTTCCGCATCCTTATCTTCCAAATCTTCGTCTTCTTCCTCCGCTTCCTCCTCCTTGTTTAATAACTTAGCAAAGTCTAAACCGGAAGCTTGGAGCTCGTGGTAACTCCCTTCTGCTTTCATGATGCCATTGTCGAGGATGATAATGTGATCTGCGTCTTTTAAGTACTGCAGTTGATGGGTGATTAAAATTACAGTCTTATCTTTTAAGTAGCCCATAATACACTTCTCAAACAGCTCTTTCCCAACGTGGGTATCTACAGCAGAAAGTGGATCATCCAATAGATAGATGTCAGCCTCTTTATACACAGCTCTAGCCAAATTAATCCTGGCCCTCTGTCCACCACTTAAAGACACACCCCTTTCGCCCACTATAGTCCTGTCGCCGTACGGGAAAAGGCTGAAATCGCGTTCTAAGGCGCATCGTCTTACCACGGTTTTATAACGAAGTTTCTCCAGCGGCTGCCCGAACAGAATGTTCTGTCGCACATTGCCCGGAAATAACCACGGCTCTTGCGAGGCATAGCTAACCGTTCCGTTTACTTCCAGCTGCCCCACAATTAGAGGTAACTCCTTTAAAATCGCATGCAGTAAACTGGTCTTCCCGCTACCAACCGGTCCAATGACCGCAACCAAACTTCCTCTCTTAATTTTCAAATTGAAATTAGTAAACGTGTTATCGGTAGATGACTCAGTCCATTTTGCCGTAGCGTACTGCATGTAAATGGCTTCGTCGTGCGTGTTCTTCGTGTACATATTGCTTGGAATTGCTTTACTCATAGATCCATAGGATGAGGGTTTATCCACGTTCTTTTCGCCCTTCTTGCTCCCCTCGTTGGAGAAGAGGGTTTCTTCGTATAACAGGAACTTATTCAAACGTTTAATGGACACATTCGCTTCGGCGATTTGAGCGATGCCTTGCGGGAAGTACACCGTCATCGACTGTCTAACGACGTTGTAGAATCCTGTTAATACAAACACCTTCTTTGCATCGATTTCATTACCAAAAAGAACGTAGGCTAATATTGTTACGAATAAACTTAGACGTGTGGTGAACATGATGAAGGATAGAACGCAAGCGCGAATGTAGGCAGTCAGTCGGAGAGATTTAATTTCGTACCTGAAAATCCCAAATAGAGGCCCAGTTAGCACATACTACCTGATGCTTACCTTCGGGCAAAAGCCACTAGTTTCGCAAATGGCTTTTCCCAAGTGTACATTTTTATGACCTGTATTCCGGAGATGATCTCGTTCATTAAGCGCACCCTTTCGTCTGTGCGCAAGGCTGTTCGTAGGCGGAATGTTGCTGCTTTCTTCCCCAGAAAGACTAGAAATGTAAAAAATGGTTGTCAAATTTAATTAAATAGTAAGACACAATTAGAAAATAATTTTACCTATATGTAGCACAAAATTTGTACAAAAATGAACTTAACAACTACACCAAGAACACCATGATAAAAAACTGTGCTTTTACACTAAAGCATTTAGCTACTTACACTGTACAGGAATAAATGACAGCAGAAATACCATGCCAAGGACAGCAGATATCCCAACTTCTTGATACATAAAATACGTGACCACTAACGTTTCAAGCGGACCAACCCATAGCTGATGAGCAAATAACACAGCGACATCAAATCGATTGACATCGTTTGAAAGTAAATTGACGATCTGCCCCACAGTTGTCTGTCCTAAAGCTGTTTTATTTAATTTTAAAGCCTTACGATATATTAGCGAGCAGCACGCCACCCTCATCTTCATTCCCACGTGTAACACACCCATCATGTATGGATGTGTTACAAATACAATGATTAGTGAACATCCGACGACCCCGGCAGCGTACAGGTAAGCATCTCGCTCACTAATTTGTTCTTGTTCCAGCATGTAATAGGCAACCAGCTGCCCTAGCAATATTGGTTGTGTTACCCTAAGAGAAATAAATTAATGTTAATTACTGTGCCGCATAAATTACAATAAAGTACAGAAAAGAAAAAATACAGCATAGCAAAAGAAGGAGAGTGCCTGCAGAAAACAAGAAAAGTGCAAAAGAAAAAAGTGCAACAGTAGAAACACTCTCACACACAATCTTTATTTACTGGCTAGAATTTGTTCCATTTCCACTGGAAAACTCCTGAGCGTCCCTATCCCTCATCGTCCGTTGAGATGGCGCAAAATAATACACCAATCTTCCCAAGAAGATCGGTTGCCATAATCTGAGATTTTAAATATTGTTCAAGATATCTACTTTAAGGTAAATGAAATTAAAATCTACACGATACGTACCTAATAAATATCTCCGACAATGCTAAAACTATTCCGTACATCAAAAATTCTAAACCGAACGTCTTGATTAGAACTCTTCGCAGTGAAGGCTGCCTTTTTGCCCTCGTCGCGTTTTCTACCTCCTTTCTCCATCCCGCTTCGACTTTGTCGCCTAGTTTGCCGGACTTGTGCTCGGTGAATGTTTCGTATAAATCGTGAATTTCTAATTCCTTCTTGTAGCCTTCAACGAATGTTGGTAAGGTGTAACTGGAAGAAAGAATTATTAGTCCATATTTTGCATTTTGATATTTCAATTATAATTCAATTATTTTCATTCAGTTATCTCCGATAAAGCCATTCATCCTAATGCACCAGTTCATTGCAGCAGTGATATTAGGTAATACACTTTCCAAAATCTTGTGTTCAAGTTCAAAACAAAGTCTTGCCTTAAAAATTCAAAACCAAGACTCTATTGTTCTAGATCAAGGCTTTTGAAGAAGGTCTTGATACCTAATATATAAATTGCAGAGATTAATAATAAGTAAATGTAATAAATTCGTCAAATTTGAAAACTCTTCAAAACCAAGACTTTTTTAATTAAGACTCTTGATAGCAGTGGGGCACAAAAAAGAGAGTTAGAACTTCAAGAGCAAAAAGTCATTAGTAAGTATAGTAAGTCCGATGTAGTTTGAATTACAACATCGTAATATTCAAATTTTTACCACCCGCACGTTAGTTAATATTAGTGGTGTAAAAAATTACCCCCACTTTTTTGACTAATAGGTACACGTTTTGATGCAGCAGGAATCCGAATCAAACAAAATTTCGATGATGTCGATAGATCTGTCGGTCTGTCAGTTTGTCAATCTAACGGTCCTCTGCCTGTCTGTACTCCCGGCTGAACGGCTGAACCGATTGGGACCAATACCAAATTTGGTACACATATTCTTAGACATAAAAAAACAGAATCGCGCATGCGCAGGTATACGGGTGGTATATGTGTGTCTTCTGCCTACGATATTTGACAACCCTCTACATAGGCAAGGCAGGAGATAAACTGAGATTTGAGCTGTTCTCCAGAGCCCTCCTCTAGAGATGGCAGGGGGTAAAGTTTGGTCTTGACCCCGTTTCTACCTCCAAGGAACCCGTTTCTTTTCTGCAAATGCAACATGGGGTGTGCAGATGGTTGTGGGTGTCGGAAGGCTGGGATTAAAGTGCTCATGTTTAATACCTACCTACATATAGTGCAAATACGAGGGGCACTAGAAATGAAATCTAGCTCGGTATGAAACAAAACTTAAAAGACATACGACTGTTTTGATTATTTTTTTTCAATACAGTCTCCCCTTGTAACGAGAGCATTTATTTGCGTTAAATTTTTTGCGATTTGTCCTGTATGCGGAAGAAACATGTGTAAGGTTAAAAAGAGTCATGGTCTCAAGAACATTCCACCAAATAAATGTTACTCCTATTACTCCTAACAAGTTCAAGTTTTTATTTTCTCGATTGTAAATACGGCAAATTTTGTGAGTCATTTTGTCACACGTTCATCAATCAAGTATTTGTTCTAAATTGTTTCTGGAGCGCCATTGTCTGACTGGTTTTGAATTACAAGTTGGAAACAGGTCGTATTAAGTTACTTATGCAACGCTGCAAGTTAAACACCCCTGAAAGGAAAAAAGATGAATTTACAGATTCAGAAACTCCGCATGCAGCCCTGAAAGCCCCGTGAACCAATGAAAATTAACAACATATCACCGCTTACTATTCCACGATTAAGTTGACGTTCAAAATTGACTTAGAGCTAACAAGTTGATTTTTTTACACAGAAATTAGGGATTCGATTAGCGGCAGTGGCGCTACATGGAGACTCGAAGATTAGCGTGGGGTTAGAGTAAAATCCCATGAGATTAGCGGTCGGATTAACCGAGCTTAGAACAGACAATTTAAGTGAAATCCAGAGGGACTTTGTGGTCCATTTAGCCAGGAGTTTTTTGTAAAATGATCAAAGTCTAAGTGTCATTATAAAAAAGTGAATTGTAGTCACCTCAGTTTACTTTGGTCAATCCAATTTTGACGACGTTGCATAAATCCTTGTCGCTTACACTTTCGTTGGTTGATCACGGGTTATTAAATGCAATGAGTCTTTGTTTACGAGTGAAAATTTCCACTTATGCGATTTTTAATTTCCCGTTTAAGTGTATTTACTTAACCTCTTGTACGTTAAAGTTTTTTTTTTATTTCACGTCGATAACTTGCCGTAAAAGTCCTGTTGCAACTATTACTTTTCTTTCCGCTTATACGAAAGTTTATTTCAACAACTATTAATCCTACAACCGAAATCACACATCTTTTTTTTTGGAACCAAATTTGGATTAACTTTATATTGTCCGCTACTACTAAATCGCAAATTTATTTATTATTTTGGGACCGAACTGTCCGCTTTAAACGCAAAAATCGAGAACCTTTGACGTAGCTTCTCAAGTTCTCAAATTCAAACACGAATGTCTCTGAACCTCTCGAAAATGAACCCCTCCTTCTGTTAATTAGTAATTCTTATGCCCAAAAAATAGGGGATTGTTAATGGCGGCGGGCATTAATGAATTTTCATTGGTTAGTGACTTTCTTTCCACTAAAAGCAGACGGCTTTTGGGGCTGTGGCTTAATCTCAACATTTCCAAGCTTGCATTGCATATTCTCACAATCTGATACCCATATATTGCAGATTTGCAAAAGTAACTAAAGAAGACTAATTAGCAGAGTGTAATTTAATATTAAACCCAGACACCAGTGATTAACACAACGACTGCAAACAAATTCTTTTGATTTTGATAAGCGACACCCATCAGTTTTAAATAGGAAGCTAAACACGTTCTATAAAATGAGAAGATTTGCCTCACAATATCCTTAAAAGTAAAAAATGAAATGTTTAAATACCTTTAAATTTGGTTAACTGTTATGCAGCAAACGATGTTCATGGCTTTTAAAGCGTTGAGTGAAAAATTCGTTAGGCACAAGCTTCGATCACAAGTCACAGTAGGTATAGTCTTTGAATATATTTTATATTCAAAGGTATAGATAATTAACACCGCGAAAGTTAGTCAGCTCACACGATATCTACGTACAACAATCACGAAACGAGTTCACGATTCAACTGCATAAAATAAAATCAAATTTACGCATTATCATCTGCAACAGGTTTTGTCTATTTACCACACTCAAGGACCTTGTCGATTACTCACCCTGTTGAAAACAAATTAAATAAAACGACGTTCCTTCTAATTTAGAAAACGAAATTTTACCACTCTATCCTTTAAAATCACCTCTGGAAAATAAAAGCCATCGTCCCCCCAGTATTTGTTGAAAAGTGTTGTATTAGAGTGTATGAGATTCCTGATTCTTATCATTCTACCCCCAAAGTTTTTGTCCTTCAAGCCCTTCCAACATCTTCCCGTGCTTTTCTGAGGAACAACACAATACAACGATCACTTCAATCTATATGTACGCTGTCATTCGTAGAGATTCCAAGACCATCACAATCCTATTCAGAAAGAGTTGTTAAATACCAAAAAGACACAAAAACCTTCCCCATACTATAATTAAACAGACAAATTATGAAAGCAGCGACTAGTTTCGATCAACGGTCATCTTCTGGCTACAATATCTGTTACAGATTTATAAAACTTACAGGATAAAAGTACGAGTACATACCTTAAGGAAATTACAGAATAAAACTTTATCTTAATTTCCTTAAGGTAGGTATGTACTTTTATCCTGTAAGTTTTATAAATCTGTAGCCAGAAGAACCCTGAACCCCTGGTCTATGCCATTTGATTAAATTTGTTTCGGTGAGATTTAATTTAACTAGTATCGGGGGAAAGATAAGGTTTAATTTTAGATTTAAGGTGTTTGCATCCGCTTCTACATTTTGGCAGGTGTGTTTACGAGCCCAGTAAATGTAGAGTCTTGTGTAATTTGGGCAAGTCTAGTATGTAATTTAAAAATTGTTTGTGAAAATAAAAGCAATTAAATATACGCCATATAGGTATTAAAAATAAAGTTAATTGTGATTTTTTTCAACCCTGTTATTATACTTTAAGCAATTTGAGCAAAGGAACTGACTTAAGTGATAAACACATTTCAATGCGCAAGTTAACAGAAAGCCTTCAATTAATTTATTAATTAACGGTTTGGTCAACAATATAAAACAATAATTACACTGCATTGCTATTGAATAGTGAAGGTTACATTTCCCAACCGTTTAAATATAGGAAAGTCGATATTGCATATTATTCTACTTATTTCTTATAGGTATCCCATTTAAAATGCAAGTCGTGTTTTGCTACAAATATAAGTAAACCTTGTAGTAGGTACCCACTGGTATGCAGGGAGACAGCGAAGGGTAAAATGTGCACTGTCTACCTCATTTTGCAGTAAGCAAATAAGTCATCTATAAAATCTATAAAACTAAAATTCTTTTTGTGTTAAACTAACCAATAATGACGTCGTAATGCTCTGAGGGTAGAGTTATGATGCGAAATCGCGTGAATTTGCGAAAGAGTTATTGCTAACGAACAACTTTAGTCTATTTGTGTCACTGCAATAAAATTGCTAATACTGTCTTAAAGGTTACACCACTATCAATAATGTCATCGTCCATCGATAACAAGTGATAGTAAATTAAACAGCTACTTAAAGGCCATCAAAAAGCACCACGTTAAACAACTGATACCTTCATATAGTTTTGAAAATCCATGAGGGTGACAAACCCAATCAAACGCTTCAGGAAAGCAACAACGGGGTAGTACACCCAAAATACCTCCAAAGCAAAATCATTTTCGACGAAAAGTAAAAAGATAAATCCAAAAATCGACCACAAAAATCCATTTACTTATTTGAATGATTTTTTTTTCGTTAAAAATGAGTAAATATTGGATGAATAACTCGTGTTTCAAATTTAACCCTTATCACGGTAACATTCACAAGCTTCGTGGCGACCTAATAAATGAAGTCCACATGTAGGTGTGGTCTTCAAATACCTTTATTTGTTGGATAAAGTCTACACGGAAGTCGCTAATTTAAAATATAATTACATTTTCAAATATGACAACCTTTTAAATCTATTTACTTTATAGGATTACGGAGAGGCACAGTCTCATGTACTTGCCCTCTTACTCATAACTTTCTTGGAAAAAAATTCTCTTAGACTCTCCCAAAATAAATTATGCGAAAGTTAGTATTAGGTGCAAAAATCAGCAGCATGCTTACCAAAATGTTGCCACGTTGATAGGATTTGCGCCCTGTCGAGGATTCGGCCTCTTCTTTCTAAATTTTTCAATGTCCATATCAGCTTGTAAATATCGTCAAAGTGCTGCAATAAAAACATCACATTAACACCCTTTATCACAATCATATACTTAGTAATAACCTGTTGATAATCGGATTCTCGGTGCATGCGTATAGGTAAATATTTCAAGATAAACAATAAACTCTAAATTTGTGTCACCCTTTCATTACGCTAATTATTCGTATACTGCACAAATAAAATACAACCAATTAGTAGATATCAGTAGCATACCGAGGGTTACCCAGGAAACTATTGACTACCTAAATGTGAGCGACTTCGCTGTAATGAGTTGGTAATACACAATACACATTACACAACATTTGAAAATGAAAAGAATCCTTACTTTTAGCGTAGGACATTACATAGCGTGACAACAATTCCGTATCATTGGATCATTGATCCCAGATTGCACACTATAACGGTATAATAAATTCTGCGTTGACCATTTAGTGCTAACAAAATGCTCCTCAAGGACCATAAAACACAAAAAGAAAATTGTTAATGGAGCTTCATTAATTGGATATGGTCTATAACATATACAAAAAAATAAATACGTGATCAGGGATGTGGGACTAAGTTTTTGTGGAGGGTAAAAAGGGTTGAAATTCGTATGACAAAAGGAAGAAAATCATTTTTGCGGAGGTGAAAAATAAAAAACCAAAAACACGGTTTTCCGCGATTTTTTCGGTTATTTTGAGGTTGTGTGAGAAAGTGACTGAATAGAAAGTTGTAGAGTTTTTCACGATCTGCAACTTTTCCATCGAAGACTTTTTCTCTGATCGCAACTTTTGCCTGAAATTGCAGTCATACGATTTTCACCCGTTTTCACCCTCCCCAAAAACATAGTCCCACTCCCCTGCTCGCGTATTTATTTTTTTGGTATTTTTTATAGATCATTTTAGCATATACACTTAACAAAGCTCCATTAACAATTTTATTTTGTAAAAAGTCCCATTTACCTGGACTAATTACCCGAATTTCTATCTATAAATAATACCTACGCGTAGAACAATAATAAAAATTCGATTGGCCACTGTATAAGACATAAAGAAGGAAATAGAAAATGATAAATTTGATATTTCATTCAGCCATTAATTCCAAACAATTTAAATAAACTTAAGTTACGGAAAAAGCTTAAGAAGTGGGGTCTCAAGATTGGAAATTTTTGTTATATGGGTCGGAGCCCAGTCAACTTTGGGAACCACTGGTTTAGTATATTGTAGCGATTCCAGAAATTAGAATGAAAGTTCATAATATATACTTTTTTATAAGTAAGTATACGTATATACGCCTATACGGCCAGGTATTCAAAAGCAGGCGCATTTGTGTTCAACAGTTTTCAAGAGTTCTAGCAGATTCTTCAAGAACATTCAAATGTTTAACACTCTTCCGGTTGTAGCTAAGAACTTCTAGAGCCGTCAAAAGTCATCTAGAGAAACCTTTCAGAGTCGTCTTGAGTATTTAAGGCCACTAAAAGCTTTTTACTAGACCTTAAGATTCTCTAAAGGTTTTTACGAAACTTTAACAGTAAGATGTTTATTAGTCTTTAAAAATATTTAACTTCATGCGCTAGAAAAAGTTGTTCCTCTTAGAGGCCTAGAGCTTTCAATGCCTTTGAACGGTCTTTAGAGCCTTTGAATGGCACTTAAAAGTCATTGGGAATCTTTAAAAGCTTTTAATAATTTGTTGAGGGTATTCAGGTGTGTTTAAGAATCATTAAGGGTACTTGGAAAGCGTTAAAGTGCGCGTTTAATGCGATTTAAGTTGTTTATAAGACACTCGTCTTGAAGAGACTTTAAGAGCTTTTATTGGATCCCTAAAAGTTTGTTATATAGACACGCAACGAACGATCCCATTTAGCGTTGACTTTTACGTTTAGGAAATTTGAAATTTATAAACAAAGTCATCGCCGTATATATTGTCACATTCATCAAATTTCGAATTAGCCTTCATAATTTCAACAAATGATTTCAGAATAAATGTTCCACCACATTTTGTTTACAGAAGCCGGTCCATATTCTATATATCTTGGTGCTTGGTCGTACTTATACAGTAAAATTAGTGTTGCTTGTCCATTTTATGGCATCATTGCAACATTTCCAGTTCCAGGTATTTCATATGAGCGTGAAATCCACGTGATGCTGATATATAATTGATGATCACATCGCACACATTTTTTAATTCCTCCATAGAAAACGTTCATTTCTCTGATGCACTGACAGTTTCTTGCAATGTTACAACATACCTAATCTAGCAGTTTCAAGGTCCATATACGTGAAAAAAATAATCCTTCGATAAGCTGCGATACTTAAACTTGATTAATTTGTTTCATTCCATAAATATCCAACAGCTGTTTATTCGTCTAAACTTGCATCTACGAAAATGTGGAAGTTTCCGATACTCTCGGCGTCAAACTTAACTTCCGAAAAAATCGCTCAGTCAACTTGGAGAATGAGCGCATCAAAAAGTTTAAAAAATGTACCAAAAATTAATCAATGTGGACTGAGTGATAAGAGGGTTTTATTTCATTTGTTTATTTTTAATTTAGAATAGACATATAACAACTATTGCAAAAGTACAAACCATACAAAGTACAGTATTATAACGTAATAAACTCCTCAAGCGAATATGGATCAATAGCCACAGGTTAAAACAGCATCTCTTTAAAACAACGGATAGGGCATCAGTTTTATTAATTTTTATCGGAAGTATTACAAACTTTAGACATGCATAGTGACACTAATTCACGTATAGGAGGTTGTACCTATACAGCCAAATACATTCTGGTATGGTATATCAATGAAATGATCTATCCTTCACCCTTTAATAAATTATAGTCCGCATAGTTGGTGACATCCTAAAAAATCGTTAATTGAAATCTAAAATCCTTGGAAATATGAAACAAACGGCTAATAATTAAGGAATGAAAGAGAGTGCCATCTGAACAAACCCTAAATGAACACAAACTGAAATTAAAGCAAGTAAATTGATCATATAGTTTAAAACAAAATGGAACTCCCGAACTGCTCTAGATTTATGTGCTGGTGCACCATCCTACTGTATCCACCAGTTTCGAACTACAGCTATTAAGGGCATGTTATCAAGAGCATTCTCTAAATCGTTTTGCAGTAAATGTACCTAAGTGGCGCGCATTTTCCAGTATGGTAAATAAATGGTCCCACAGCACAGTCCTTGTATCGAAAATATCAGCCCACTTAGTAAAACCAAAACCGTGTTGATACCTTGATGTTCTGTTGGATTGGTGGATTGGGTCCAGACCAATAGACATTACATTTCGTCTACTAAATAAATGCCAATGCATTTGATTCTTAAGATATTGAATAAAATGTTATTTAAGAAAACTATGAAGAAACAACTGCGACTATTGTATCAGAAATCAAAAGACAAACAAATTTAACATTTATCAGCATGGTCAATATAGGACTATAGGTATAACAGAACTTACAGAATCCAAACCTTGACAAATGTTAGAAAACTTATTTGTACATCACGACTAGAGATGGATAAAAATTATCCACTGAAAGTTTGTACATCATTTGAAAGTAAATAATTTTGGAACAATAGCGAACCATTATCCTTATGTACTTATAGTACCTACCTATACCTATACACAACACGTTCCAATATATCGTATTCGACATCCTCACACGATTAAAAATAATTCAATACGCCCCTTGGCTATATCGTGCACAATCCTTAAGTTTATATTTCACTCAATTGACGCTAAGGCCGGATGATGACGTAAAGTCGAAATCAATAGCCCAAAGACAATATATAAAAATACAAGTTTTAACTTTCGTCTTTCGATATTATTTTAGCCTATGCAATATGCAATACATCAAACATACCTACTAAGTGTCTATCGTTGTTTTTGTAATTTTTTCTCTATCGAATAACATAAAACTCCAATATGGCGTCTATAAGAAATAGGAAAGTTGATGTGATTAACTTGAAACTCGCAAGTGATAAATATTTTATTTTAGCACCATCAGAAAGCTGAGCAAAAATTACTAATGGTTTGCAAGAACCATTTTTTAATATCATTAAAAATAAATGAACGAGGGGGCATTTTCGAAAATGAGATTTTTCGGTTTTTTACCATAACTTCGTTATTTGTACAGTTACAAGACTCTGAAAGGGAAACTTAACCTACATAAAATTCTGCAATTATCTTTGCTCATTTAAGCGACCTTGTATCTCTTACGGTTTACGAGATCCCCATACTAAACACTTTAATACTGCGTGGTCAACTACAGAAATGTCATTATTAAAGACACAAATTTGAAAGAAAAAATTTCGTTTGATAGTAAAATCATAGATATTTACATTATGATAGTTTAATTTAAAGATTATTGTACAAAATGACAACGCAGAAATGCTGGTTTAAACTACCGCATAATAAGCTATGAGGATATTACTGCCTCCCAAATCCAAAAATGTACCTATTTAGAAAACGGTATATTGAGTATAAAATATACAGTCTAATATATACATATGTAGAAACATTATCATTAGTTCACTGTCATTAGATCATTAAGAAATAGCCAATAGAAAAAAAGATATGGTTTCGTTGGTTGGCGATGCACAATAATGCTTGTTTCTATTGGGTCTTTCATAATGAACTAATGATAGTGGACTAATGACGCATAGTAAAAATCAAGCAAAAAGTAACACTTTCGACACAATTTTTTGACAAAAAAAAGTCCGGGAATTTGATCACTATACAAAAATGCTAGTTTTGAAGGTGACACTTTTTTCATGAATTTAAACAATGAAGTACCCTATGCAGAATAAACGATGGTTTTGTGAAAACACCATTTAATCGAAAATTGCATTCTGACGATTCTATGAAATGTTATGGAAAATGTGAAGGAATGTGCGTACGGACAATTTTCATTTTGGTAGATCCCTGCAATGATAAACTAAATGCAATGAGTGTATCAAACCAAATAGAGCATAATTCACATATCTATGCCGGATCCCAATCGCTATGAAAACATCAGGCACTGATCGACAGAGGCCTACATCCTTACCTACCTATTTCTTGAATCTGTTTGCTAATACCTACTCCCATTTATCTAGATTAACTAAAAAAATCATTCAATCACCTAGCTATGACTATCGAAAGAGCAACAACAATGGACGAGAAAAATATTAAGCTACGAGCAAACTCCGCGAACTTCATGCCGCCTCGTTTTCTTGGACAGGACATACGCTCGGCTTCGGCGGGGATATACTTTACGACCTATTCTCATACCTACCAAATATACAAAAAATTCATAAAAATCGGTCGAGCCGTTTTGGAGGAGTGCGACCACAAACAGCGCGACACGAGATTTTTGTTTATTAGATTAAAATATCCACCCACTGAAATTTGAATAGGTGTTTGTTACAGTAGATATTAATTCAGAATTGTTTCCATTAACTTTGATTGTATACTATTCACTGATAACAATACTGTCATTGAAAACGCTTAATCAGTGGTAAAGATAGGTTGGCATAAAAACAAATTAATCACGATGCGCATTTGTATAAATAAATAATCAACTAATATAAATATATGTACCTAAAAGATAACATTCTTTATTATCTTTATATACCCTTTGGTTCTTTTTTCGATTTGGCTTAACGGTATATCAATAATTACAACCCAATTTATATCGTGATATGGAAATTGGTAATTTCATCATGCCCGAATCGTTGATTACAAAAGAGCGACGTTTGATTATAAAATCGACGCATGCTTTGCAATGTCAGTTTAATTTAAAGATTCCCGTTCAAAATTGTTTAAAACTGCCTAGAAGAAGGTATGATGAACTTACTGCCTCCCAATCAAAAAGATATGTGTAATGACGTATATAAAATTTGATGCAAGAACCGGAATGTACATTTCCAAACAACAATTCATTATTAAATTATGTTTAACATTTCATCTCGCATTTCATTGTGTGCTCTCAGTTTCCATGCCTCGATCATTGTCTGTTAATCCCTCCAGGAGGAAACGGACACTAAAACACGTTGATTTAGTCCACGGAATATAAACAAATTTTACTGTTTTTTTTAATATATAGTAAGTAGGTACCCAATATTTCGCGCGGAACGACAACTATAAAAAATTGGGAACCATATGCAGCAAAAAAAGTCAAATTTTCTTTCCAAAATGAGGCAGTACCTACAATTTACCTCGCTCCCTAACACTTACTTGACCAAAGTTTTGGTACTCATTCGATGCAGACTATAAAGGCCTACACTTTTGGCGCAGAATAGTTTACTTGAAACGCTTTATTTTCAAATTATTTGCAAATAACCTAGCAAATAACTAAGAAAAGTCCCATTTTTCTAAGCCGTATAATGGCAATAAAAATATAGCTCAATAAAATACATTATATAGTACATCTTGGTGAAGGATAATGGGTGATATTTATGCGAAGATTGTGAAAGTTTATTGTAAAACCTTGTAATTTAACGTTTTATGTCGCATTGATCCGAATGCGAATAACATTTGCAACAATAAATTTCATATTTAGCCGATTAAATTTGTAATTGCAATTTCATATCACGCAATATAGGTACTCATGATTCTTGTAGGGCGCGAGGTAAAAGAAAAGATTAGTTATCTATTGCCGGAGCTATTATACTCAAACTCAACAGGCATCATTCAGGAAAAGGGTGATGGAGTAAAGGTTATCTACCAAATTCAAGTCTCGCTACATGAGCGTTGTAGATGTTAAATTGTACTCTACCATTGAGGCTATGACGAAAGGAGACCCACTCAATTGCTCTAAACTGAATTGTTATAGCGATAACGTACCTATACTTAAACCAATTAAATCAAAACGTTATTGCGTTATGTAAAATGTAATTATATCAAATTCCATAGTTCTGACCTCTCATATCATATCACCACCATGCCACAAGACCTTTTCAGCAATTGTTCCGCTCGCTCTACCCAGTTTCTTAATCGGTACCAATAAAGTACGCAAAAGTGAATAAATTCAAAATTTTAAATTCTGCTCACCTATTATAAAGATTCCATAAGTATTGAATAAATTACTTAACTTCACTTTGATTTAGTTGAATGTAATAAAACACATTGTAACCGCTACAAGACACCGATCTACTTAGAAAACCGAATGAAATAGAGTTGAAATTATCAACGCGGCACGAGCCAGAAGGTCATCAATTCATTAATCGGCAGCACCAACAAGTGAACGAGACGCATCTCTGTAGAACTGTTACAGAACGCTATCTTATGTAATCTTTGCTAAACAATCAAGGTGAAGAAGTGAGGTCAAGGTGTTTACCGCCTTATTTTGCGCACGAAAATGGAGCATGCTCCACATTCTTCGGCCAAAATAAACAGTGGCGTCGATCTGGCTACAAAATGCACAGGCGTATCGACCGGAACGTCACCTCAACGTCGTGAGAGGCGTCGTTTACGTACGGGGCAAGTTGTGAAAGTCCCGATCTAATTATTTACAATTATAAATTGAATCGCACCTGTATACAATCACGAAACAACTGAAGGATTATATGACGCCAACAAAAAACTTAGTGGGGTGGAGGGTGGTTTGATTTTCTTGCAGTCAACTTTTACAGCTTCGGTCAAGTACCTATTACATGATTGTAATTTATAAAAACCCGAAAATACCCCACCTATATCAGATTTTTTGACAGTAAAAGAACTACAATAGGAAATTAATGGTAACGATATAAATACCTGGGATCAAAAGGGGTAATGTCGTCGACTGTCTCTAACTGGGGAATCACTTATGCTATCACCATAAAAATTTCCATGGTGCAATTTCCAAAAATTTGTTTCCTTGTTTTGTGAACAAACCCCAAAAGTGGTGACTAACCACGAAAAAGTAATAGCTACCTACTACCTAGCACGTTAGTCGAGTTAAATAAATACCAAAAATAGTTACCGAAAACTTCTTGATTCTCCTATACTAATCAGACCAGGTGTTTTATGGCATATTCTTTCCCCGGATTCGAAATTAAGCTTTTTTATTATTATTTTTCAAAATACTTTACTTGCAAACACGCTCGCGTTTATATAGAAAGATGTTCGGACTATAATATGCAATTAATACTTAGTTTAATCCTTTGTATGGGCGGAAGTACCTACTAATAAAAAATCGGAAGTAAATGTTGCTCACACCTGCAGCCACGAAATTTCAACAATTACAACGATAATTTTAACAAGCACAGGTACCGTAAAGAAGTAAGAACAGGGAGCGCAAGAAGGACGTAGGTACCGAATTTGCGAGAGGATGTTGAGAAAATGTTGAACCGAAGAGAAGACAAGTAGGTAAACACGATTTTACAGCCAACGAAAATTGTCAGGGAAAAAGACAAAATTCAGTTGGTTGTAGTCTCGGTTGTAGTAGGAATTCCATGCATCTTTCGAAGAATTTTTAAAATGTCGTATCGTTAATTACTCGCGTCCAAAAGCATTTATTAAAAGATTGAAGGCGGTAGTACGAAAGTCAATAATGAAGACAAATTTTTCAATTTTACCAAGGATCGACATTCAAATTGAAGGGGAGACGGCGGTAGATACTGGAGGTGAAACTTCACTTATATCAGACAAATTCATTAAACAAAATTTAGGAAGATTAGGGAAGTTTACTGTAACAATAAACGGGATGAGAATAGGTAACTACGGCAAATCAAGTGAGTTTTGCGTTGATTAGAAGAAAATTTATTTTGGGGTTGGAAATGAATGGGGTAAGATTTAATAATGAAATGTTGGTTGTAGCAGGTATGCAAATGGATTGTATAATCGGAGGTGATATTTTAAAGGAGCATAATTGGGGTGATCAATTTTGAAGGTTTAGTTATAATAGGGAAAGTTAGGACAAACAAAATGATGAAGAACAGGTGAAACAAAAGAAAGAAAACCAGAAACCCGCGTTAAAAATTAATCACGTACCGCAAATACAACCTGAGATTAGTAAAGAAACAATTCGAGAAAATTAAATTGCCATGAGGCGTAGAAGGATGTAATTGTAGATTTATTTGTCAAACAGAAAGAATTAATTAATAAAGAAAGGAAGGTAGCGTCAGGGATGGATGGCCGATATTTAGGGAAAATTCAAACTTATACTCTGTGCCTTTCCATTATCGACAAGAAGTGAGGGAAGTTCTGAAGAAAATTATGGTAGATGGGAATTATGGAAAGGGCAAATACTAATCAATCCTGTAGATATAGTGATTGTTGAGAACAAAAATGGAATTTTGCGTTTATGTTTGGATGCGAAGAAATTAATAATTTTCCACCACCTACTAATTTATGCAAATTAAGAGGATTTTTAGGTTTATTGAATGATTATACCTACCTAAGTACAGGAAATTTGTACCCAGGTATTCAAATATTTCGGTACCGCTAGTTAAATGAACTAAAGAAAGAACTGAGGCTTTTGTCTATAGTTAAAGGAAGGGGAATCAAATTACCCGAATTTTAATGAAAAATTCATTTTGCGAACAGATATGCTTCAGAGTGTAGTTGCAAAGGTTTTAGTTCAAGTACAGGATGGAATTGAAGTACCCATAATATACCTATGGGTCTCATATATGTTGTACCTATTTCGAAGATTTTGAGAGGATCTGAATTAAATTATTCTGTCTCAGAAAAAGATTGGATTAGTTTAGTAAAAAGTGCCAAAAATAACCAAAATTTAGTAATGATTGATTTATTTTCTCGTTTTACAAAATTGTATCTTGTGCCAGTGTGCACGACGGATAAAACATTACCTACAGATGTTGGATAAAATGGATTGATGAGGTAGGGAGGCATAGAAAGATTCTTGCGGATAATGCAACTTGTTTTAATAATGATAGGTTTAGGTTAGCTTTAACGGACAGAGAAATAAACTTAGGATTTTGTTCAATTAGACATCCATAGGGTGGTAAGTGTCTCCTACGTGCAGGTGGTGAGTGTCTCCCACGTGTTGGTGGTGAGTGTATTGTGCAGGCCATCGTGTTGGTCGTGCTTTGTTGTTGGGCTATGGTAAAACCCCTGGCAGATATCTGGATATATTCCTAGGCTTTTAGACTGCATTATGTGCATGTGCCTATGACGCGGTCCCGCGGGTAGCTCCCGTTGATTATACCGCTGGGGGTGCAGAGCTCGACCTGGAGGTTGTTCCCAGGTAGGGCAATGAGCGACATAGATCGACGTTACTGATCTATTGGCCGAGGGTCCTGGTCAGAGGACCGAGGGGGGATGTGTATCCTAAATAATACACGTGCGCGCGGCGTAACCCTTTCCCAAATAGGTCTGAGCTCCATCTTAACCCTTTAAGAAGCCATCTCCAACAACGCATTCAACCCCAATCGCCAACCGTAGTGTTCGGAGATCCAGGAGAACTTACCGCCAGCTCGGGGCTAATGCCCCCCGGTGGGTTACTTAATTAATTGCCGAGGATCGCGGTTAAGCAGTCGCGATATTTATATATATTTATGTAAACATCACCCTTGAGCGCGGAATACGACCAGTCAGACTGAATGCTGCCATGCCAATCCCTTATGCGTAGATTACAGAAGGACGTTACTAATGAAAGGTGAGTTTACAGTAGATTTGTCGCATCTGAATAATGAGTTCTGACGAACAATTAGCTCCCATTTAATTATCGATTTCCCTTGTTATTATATAAAAATACCCCTCATTACCTACACTAGGTAATTTGATTTGTGTTTAGAAGAAATTTTGTTTGTGTGAATCTGTGAAATATAAATCGTGTGTTTATTCGAACCCTTTAACGATCCAGGTAAAGGTCTCATGCCTAATTTATGATCAATTTTATTGTTCCGTACCGAAAGTTTATTTCAGGTGTCTTCAAAATTTGTTTAAATACTTAATCCTTTTGGAATTAAGGAATTTGATCGTATTTGTCTTAGAATTTAAAATTTTTTCGTTGTACCTGGATTTAGATGTGGCCAAAGAGGGCTATAGCTAATTTTAAGGTGTTTTGTGTATGGTTAATTTTGGTCAGGCCATTGCACACAGAAATATTTATATGATACGCACCTACTACTTATAGTTAAAGAAACTTTAAATACAAATACAAAGGAGTATGATCATTTAAATAAAATATAAATTTCCAACTAATGAAAAAATAACCAAATTCTTTTGTATGGATCCATGCACTTTATAATAATTAAATGCAATGCAAATCTATTCCATACCATTAATTTACACAGATCGGTTCCTTTAAGGATATTGTAGTTACAAACTACACATCCGCTGTAAATTGTTAAAGATTACCAACCAATACTGTATAGGTACAATTAAAAAAACTTACAAATGGTACAGTCAACTCTTGAAAAGTTCCCCTCCAAGAAAAATTGCATCGCTGTTTGGTTGATAGGTACAGTTTCCTCTCGTGCAGTATGGAAATTTCTGGATAATGATTTTTATTCATCTCAATCGCATCAAACCCAGCTTCGCTGGCACAATTGTGTTTATGATTTAGGAAAACAATAGGGAAAACGCACACAATTTTACACTGAACTCGTTAAATATTTCGCTATGTAGATATTCGAGATTTTGCGTAAGTAAAATATATGCCACAACGAATACGATTTAAGAGTTCTGATTATTTAACTACGTCCAAGTTTAGTTTACGTTAATATTAATGAGGGCACTAAACGTACGTGTAATATACCTACTGCCTCTCCACTTTCCAGTCTCCAGACTCACTTTACCTTCTCGTGGTTTAAAAATAGATTTCTCTTTGTAACAGTTAAATCAGTTGCGACATATATAACAGTTCCAGATACGTACGCGCAAGCGAATTTGTCTTTATCGGAATTCTAATAACATCAAAACTGCGTTATCTCTCTTGAAACCGCGCGATCGAGATTGAGAGATCATAAAATTAAAATTAGAACTAGCACGTTATTGCGATCGAAGTTAAGGCCTATTTGATTTTCTATATGTAAGTTGCCCAGTAAAAAACTGAAACGGAACCAAAGCAGATGCCACCACGGCGTGCTCTGTAACCCTATAACCTATTGTGAATTTCAAGGGTTTATCAAGAACTGATAGCAGTTAGGTTGAAATTTCATTATGAAATCGTACTTTGTTAGCCTGTTTCCTCCCTTTGTTTTAACATGATTGCTTACATGAGTTCGTAGATGAGCATAATTAGCAGAACAAATACCTACTCAATTGATTAACTTGACCTGTTTGTATAATGATAAAAAATCAGACATTTTCTTCGTCCCTGAATACAGTCAACTTAATTCGACCTTAGCCAAGCAGCCTTTAGACATTGAGATGAGTTAATTGTTTCAATTTAAAAATGACTTCTCTCTTCAATGGCATATTGATAAGCAAACAATATAAGTATTTAAAAACAGTAAGGAAAATGTTTATTTCAAAATGGAAAATGACAAATACATAAATTTCAAATGATAAATTAAACTCCTCTATTAGGCAGATCTTTTACTTTATAAATGCGTACCAGCCAATGTTCAGTGGTGTACGCTTCTTCGAGAACATCCAATTCAAAATCCTTATTGCCGATTTCAGCACTACGGACTCGATCATAACCAGGCGGTTTTCCCCCTAATATATTGGAGTCAAATATATGGTGTTGACTTTGCAACTTACCCTCAGTGTATACTTGTCCAAAACGATAATAGCACATCTTGTACATAAGACAATTGAGCAAAGTAGGCGAACCTTCTTTGTCGATTCTGAATTCACCGTTCGGTGAATAATAATCCCATTCTTTAATATGCGCGCCGCGATCAGTACTACCGCCTATGTAAACTAAAGTGAAGGCGAATCAAAATATTTGATACTTACCAATGCGAACCATCCACAGGAACTTGTTAATATCATCAGAAGAATAACCGGTCAATCCTCCAAATATAACAAGAACATAATCCACATCAAGTTCGCGCATTATTTCGTACGCTTTTTCCTCAGAACTTGCCATAGCTTGTCCCACGCGACTTATGTGCGTATTATTCCAAGTATTATTGTCAACCAGTATCGTGCGATTAGCCATTGCTGTTATTTGATAGCCGTAATCCCACCAAGACATAACTCTCGCGTTTTCTGGTGTGTTCATCTTCAACCAATTATATGCCTCGCGGAAATCGTCAAATATAATCCTTCCGCCGTCATGAGAACGTGCACTTAAGACAATACTGGGTGAACTGTATGCCTCTGATGTAACCCAAGTGCAATGAAACGTGTATGACACCAATAAAGCGCACACTATGGTGACAAATGTTGTGGAAATTTCATTACGTAATACTAAATTTGATTCCAGTTTTTTGTGCCTTCTATGTTCAGTGGGATTCTTGCTATCGACATTTTTCATAAACTTCGTAAGAAGGTGTGAGACTGCGATTCCGCTTAAAATACACATCACAGGTGCCAAGACCAACATCAAACGTACCATTACACCCTACAATGGATTTTGCGTGATATAGTGTGAACCCATGTAAGTCTTACCGCAAAATAAATACTAGTAACTCCATACAAGATCAAAAAGATGTTGGCATCAGTCAACTGTGCAAAGCAGAAGTACAACCCAGCGGGAAATAGAAACACTAGAATTTGTAAGTCGAAGTAAAATGAACTCCACGATGTCGGCTGATGTTCGGAAACGCTGGCGATTATCGGAATGTGATTCTTCGCGTAGGACGGATCAAGAAGCGAGTAAAATCGGCCGGTCCAAGGCGAAATCTTCCCAGAAAATGTCAAAACTCCGATGAATATCGCGACGGCGACTCCGAAAGTGTAGGCCAGCGCGCCGAATAATGTCTCGAATTCGTCCTGCTTCAGCTTACTACGTAGATAATCTACAGCTGCTAGTATCTGGCATAAGCCGAACACTCCCAAAGCCTACGAATAAAATTATGGTAGGAAAATAGAATTATCTAAACAAAATATTTAAAAACATTATCAACTGAGCTTGTTATGCACATCAAATATTTTTTGTGGCTAATACACTTCCAATTTTTGAAGGATATCACCTCACCTTAAAAAATGAAGATGGAATGACCCACGATTTTTTTGTTTCTCTAAGCTGTTTTTGATTTAGAATAAGCTAGTTTATTAGCGCTTGTAAATTGCTATAATAAAAAAATTATGGAACACCTGCTATTTTTTTTATTTCCTTGTAGTTCTTAAAATTTAATTTTTCAAAATTGTAAGGAAGCGCTCAGTTGCCGCATATAATTGATCAGTTTTATTGTTCCCGTGTTGCGATCAACCCGAAATTCCAGGTAAGGATAGGCATTACTGGGTTACCGAATTTGGAAATATAAATCCAGCAAATTAAGTAAGTGTAATTAACAGTAGCTAATTAACTGACTTGCAGTAAATCGCATCCGAACCAGTCGTGACTGGATTCATTAAAAGCGCGCTTAATTGAGGTAAATTTTAAGACCAGTTCCAGATTTGTATGTTTATCGCAGGCCACACAATTAAATAAAGAAGTTGTAATTTTAGGATGTCGATAACCAAATACGCCGGCCGACTTGGAATTTCCTTCGTTCCCTCCATGACAAAGCCGAATTTTATGAAAAGTAAATCAGATGTTTAGAGGAGATCTTTCTGCCTTTTGCACTTTCGCAAACTACGTTTTCTTATACTGCAATACGTGTGTACATTCGAGATGAGGCAGGTCATTATAATTCAAATAAATGCGAGAAGAGCGAGTTAGCTGTGTTGTTACCAAACTTTAAATGACAAAAAAGCTTGTAATAGCGCGGGAGTAGATATTTAAATCATTCATCGTTGTAAGGTAAAGCGTTTATTGGATTGTATTTTACAAATATGAGTGTAAATAGTGGGAGGCCAATCGGCTCATTCGGCGGATCCTGAAGAAAGAGATTAAGCCATGAGCGAGCCATCGTCTGCATCAATTTATCTTCGCGCTGTAGACAATGATATTCGCAGCATTTGCAAGAAAAAAACTAATCAAGTTGACAATTTCCACCTCAGAACACCTCGGGTAGAAGCCACGCCCCAGGAGTCGCTTCGTTTTGGAATATAAACAGTGTTGTAGTTATTTTGTATTTAAGTACCTACCAAACAGTTTAAAAACATTTTGTTCAAGCGATACACAATTGTGTATACTTTTGTGAAGACAATTTAACCACCTACTTGCCATTGGCATGAAGTTGGTGTTTTTGTGGACGCATTTTCTTGTAAAGTTTTAGACTCTTGCCTGAAAATTCTCAATAGATTAACGTATTGCAGTCCGATTTATTTTTTTACACACGGTGTTTATTAAAATATAATAAATTTTCTTTTAACATCTGAGGGGTATTTATTATACAGTTATAGTTATTTCATTTATAAATAAAGTTGCATATTTCCTATCAATGCGAAGTATGTTCTTGCGAATGCATGTGATTTAACCATTTATTTTACAGGATTTAACCATTTATTTTACAGGATTGTTTCGCCTCAACCATTAGTAAATACTAATACGTTACTCGCTATTGCAGCAAAGAGGCAGAAAATAAGAACAGTTTCATAATTTAATAAAGGTTAGGTATTATTTATCCCTGTACCCTTCCCCTTACGAGGGCAAAAGAGGATCATTGACTGACAGCTAGCCAGAGCATATTTATTTACATAATTACACCACAACCAATGTAATTGAGTTTTGTGAAGATTAACCAGAGGAAGGAGAAGACATCTGTTACATTTTTGTAGATTTGTATGTTTCTTTATTTTATAGCAGATGTTAAATTGACATTTTAGTAGGTTTGAATAAGTTCTTTAACCGCAAGGATAGATAAAGTGATCACTTTAACCGTTAGGGTAGATAAAGTGAAACAAATGATTGTGCATTTTAATGACATCTGTCATTCTTATTTCACGATATAAAATGACGTTCAGAACATATGACAATTCTGTTTCTATGGAAACGATCGCGACGGTATAACCTAAGCTTGCTATTTTTGAAGTATCTAAATTAAATTCAGAATTATCACAAGCTTTACAATGATTCTATGGCTTCTGCTATAAAATAAAGCTTTGCATATTATACAAACTAACCATCTTGTGAAAGTTAATTCACTCAATGGTTAAAATATCCCTTTATCGTCTGGTATAATAAATAAATATTATCCACAGCAGTGGCAATTCCTAGGGCAATTCCTTACATTTCAAGTTGGGTGGTCTGCATGACCACAACCAGTTTAAATTAATAACCTGATCAGCTAAAATATGTAAGTGGTGCAAAACAAATGAATAAAGTGTCGACTACATCAAATAAAATATATCAAAAGGTAAGTATAGGTACTTCAGAGGAGCCGCCTCTGATCCATAGTGAGTAACTCAAACATTCAAATATTATAGATCCCCCTATTATATTTTGTGGCATAAGACTTTGCAATCTCGGTGTTAAAACACAACAAAAATTATAAATATTAATTAAACTTCTGTAAATCAAATCTCAGATGATCCTATTTTATCCAGAGGATCAAACCATTCTTGAAAGGAATGCAATTTCTATTCTGGGAACACTATCATTAATAAGGTGTCCAGAAATTATAATTAAAAAATAATAAAATTTAAAAAAAAAATGTTGTTTGAACCCAAGTAAAACTTACCAGCATATGCTCTGAACTTTGCACTGGCTGGAAGCCAACAAACGAAATCTGCATAGATAAAATCGTGCCGACACAGTATAAAGTGCTGTAAGCAATGTAGATGCGATGTGAAAAACGGCCTGTTACCATCAGCGTCAGCACATGTAATGGGATAAGATTTATTAGGAACACGTACCCACCCCATGAAGACACCTACAACATATTTAGTGTGGGGGCGCTCTATACTAAAACCAGCTCACCATATAAAAGTAGGCTAACGCGGCTAAGGTACTCCAAAATATACTACCGGTTTTCACCGCCTTAATCCACATGTAATAAGTGAGCAGCATACAAAAGATTGCAATTCCCTCGTTATCATAGCTTCCCGCCACTGATCTACTGATATAACCGGGTACAATAGCGACCATAGCCGCGGCAACCAGCCCAGCACCAGCATTTCGCAATTCTTTTGTTAGTAGATAAGTTATGATGGTGGTTAAGGACGAAAACAGTGGTGCCAAGAACACGCACACGTTACGTATGTCGATTGTGATATTCAACAGCCAGCACAAATGATAAATGGCTGCGGATGTTATCATCAACCCCGGATAGATGGTACCTAAAGTAAACTGTAGAGAATAGTGCCACTATTTACCTACGTGTCTTACCTCCGATGATTCTTCCGAGTGGATACCATGCTCGGTCGTCGAACCAATTGTGAAACGAATAAAAGCCTTGCTCGGCTAAGTACTTGGTGGTGCGGTAATTGAAGTATGGATCAAATTCGTGAATAACACTTTCAAATCGTAAAACCGAGAATAACCTTGTTGCGAATGCTACGGAGGTGATATGAGTACTTCGACTAAGCGCAGTGCATACGTACAGAGTATTGCGGCAACCGTTAAAATAGATAATGTTAATAACGTTTCCTGCTTGTCAGCGTTGGCGTGAGACTGTGGCTTTTTACTTAAACTAATCATGTTTTTGTACCTAAAAGGGGTTCAATATACATTTAAGAAACTGAGATTGGGTTGAGGTTAAGTTATTAGCATCAAATTAAAATGGTTAGTGTTCAATATAATTAGATATTCATCTGATTATAGTACCTATAACTACACTAATTAGGCGGTATTTTAAATTTTACATAGAATTTACAACGTAAGCAAGTACCGGGTACCGGCAAATCAAGGTGACCAATCACGCTTGAAATAGAAGTCACGTGACCTGCCACCTTCCAAATTTTGAGAGGACATTTAAAAATAATACACCTTTGTCAATTTCCAATCTATAATTATTGTATTTTCCATTTATATATACAGAGAGATTTTTTTAATTTCCTTATGTATCTGTTATGAGCTGATAAATTAACTATCCCTTTTCCTTTCCTTCAGTTTCCCACTTTTACAGAGTTCTATCTTAATTTCAAATATACAGTGCGTTTATTTTAGCTTTGCCCATAGGGATTTACATGTTAATTTATCATTTGGGACCCCTATGTTAAAACCTACGGGATACATTCTAGAAATGCTATAGCAAACAGACAAACTGAAATTGCGCACATCTTATTCTAGATATACGAGATACCTACGGTAACTATAACTACAATAGAGGTATTATCTAATAAATAAAGATATTATGCAAGTCTTCGATAAAAAAATTTCAAATAGAAATTGAGAAATAGAATTGCAAAGAAGAGTAGAAACCACGGATAGAAACTGACAAGTTCACAGAACGTGGAATAAAAGTCGTTGAGTTCTGACAGTTGCCTTTATTATTGATTGTACTAATTTTGGAAAAAATTATTTTTGTTTCTGTTTCCATTTATTGAAAATTAGTTATCGTGTTGCGACATATGTAGGATAGGATCTATAGGCAGATACTTGGCCCATGTGCAATGACGGCATTATTATTATCATATCGCTTTCTAGAATATAGAACTTTCCCTCCATACCTTCTCCACTTTTTCTTAAAAATTGTTACCTCGAAGTTATTTGTTTCTCTAATTATAGGCAACAGTTTTCCTATATAATAATAAATGTTATTCTCCTTTACGTTTTTTGGTGCAAATTCCACCAAAACATATATCCAATCTCTGGTTTTGTTATCTAAAAGCTCTTCAAATGCCTTGGTATCCAATTCAGGTGCAAAACAATGAGAAGTATCCGAATGCCTTTTTGATGATAACTTTCTTAAATTTTTCTTTTGGTTTTGGTCTTTTTTGCATCTTATTCTTTCAACTCCTTTTTTATTTTGATACCCATACCACGGATAACAGTGAGCAGACATGTCCTATTCTTACCCACTGCAAAACATCTCATTGGTGCCCAAAAAAACCATAAAGTATAACCATTGAATACGTAATTTATTGCATAATTTTCAACCTCCAATAGGTACTCGCAAACTACCTAACAGTGCACTTTAAAAAACTATGTATTAAAAACAAAACACACCACCAACAAATGCGCGGGAAAAAATATAAGATTGCACGCCCCAGAAATAGCGCGTGTAATAGCTATTTGTGTATTAAGAGCGCAAAATGATATATTGTCGATTGAAAGAGACAGTTGCCTCTTCAAATCGACAATAAATTTGCGCTCGAATTACACACAAGATTTTTTCTACAATCGAGTTCACATATTTCCAAACATTTAAATTTTTCACTAAAATGAAAGATCTGATTTACTGGTTGTTAAAAGATGACATTTGCGTTGTCAAATACAACCACAAATGCCTACTTTGGATATCGATTGGAGAAAAACATGTTTGTAGAACGTGACATGTTGCTTTTGATCTACATCTGCACATTCCAAACGGAAATATTATTATCTTTTTATATCTGTCTCACGTTGTGTGCCGTGAGATATGATCCTATGATAGCGTACATTGTTATAACATGCATGTGCGCATTAACTCCATCAAAAGACACGTGCGCCTAGTCTTACTACCTGCTTTATATAAATTTAAAAAATATATAAAACAAGTTATTAGCAAAACTTCAGAACTTCACTATCAATTGTATACAATAATTTTAACCAATGACAAAATATGGTATAGGTGTAACATTGCAACTAAAACAACATTTAGATTTTGCTATTATTAGATTAAAAGAGAGATTTGATTCATGATTGAACTATTTGAAAGGAACTTGGTAACAACCAATTTATCTAAGTAATGTACATATATTTACATTTATCATGCCACATAAACGCCTAGTGATGGGATAATAAACAATTTTGTATATCATTAAGTAATAGGAATAAATAATTTACATAATCTACGTATGATGTTACAATGGCATTTCAAATTGAACATCTAATTTGGCAGATCGTGCCATGGTAATGATGTTCGATAATTTCACAGCCAAACGAGAAGCTTCGTCCAAACAGTCGATAGGTAAAATTCTCATTCCGGAGTTTGCGATTAAAACTTTGGCTTCATCGACATTAGTACCTTGCAAACGGCAAATGATTGGCACTTTCAATTTTAATTCCTTCGTGGCGGCTATGATACCTTCAGCAATAATGTCGCATCTCATAATGCCGCCGAAGATATTGACGAGCAGAGCTTGTACTTTCGGATCAGAGGTAATAATCTTGAAAGCTTCTTTAACTGCATCAGCTGTGGCACCACCACCAACATCCAAAAAGTTGGCAGGTTGCCCTCCGTGCAGTGTAATTATATCGCACGTCGCCATAGCCAGACCGGCGCCATTTACCATACAGCCAATATTTCCATCTAAAGCGATATAATTTAGATCAAATTTAGCCGCGGCAACTTCTTTGGGATCTTCTTGTGTAAAATCTCGTAGAGCAAACAACTCCTTCTGGCGAAATGAGGCGTTATCGTCAAAACGGAACTTCGCATCCAGTGCAAAGTCTACAATGAAAAAATTAAGCAATAAGTTATTGTACGAGTCGCATACAATTTCCACATGTATCTTCGGCATAAGGATTAATTTCAATTAGCAAAGCATCCTTCTCGATAAATAAGTTATACATGTCGCACAACATTTTAGCTATTTCGCATTTCTTATCTGCGAGTCCCACTTTCGATGCAATCGCTTCTCCTTCGCTTTCACTTAGACCTTTCATAATATCAATGGGGTGATACAGAATTGCATCCGGATTTTCTTCTGCGACCTCCTCAATATTCACACCACCCTGTGATGAAGCAATCACGACAGGACCCTGCAATTAAAAATTAAATGTATGCAAGGACCATTGCATTAATTAACATTACAACAAAGCAAAGGAACATATCGTGGCAAAATATTAGTATAAATTAATTAATTCTCAATGCCCTGTAAATAAACATATTTGGACCTCCAAAGAAATGAAATGCTGGAAGAAACTCAATCATAAATAAACAATTTATTATCACACCCCCAAACTACAGCAACCATCGACGAATTGCTATAAAATTAATTATACCGTTTAATTCTGCAGGCTCCTTTTGAATATCCTCCATTGGCGAACATACTGTATCTAAACATAAATAAAAATACGTAAAATCTGCAAATGAAAGCGAGTTTGCCTGCGAACGAATTTATATTGAGGGTTGCTACTAACAATAGACCACTCGTCAAGGCAAAAATCCATTTCAAAAAAAGAAACAAAGTAGAGAGTATCACAGATGTTAAGTGAGATGGCCAACACTTTGAAAATCTGGGATTATTTTTGTACTTGCTTATTATGCCGTACTAATTCGCTTCGCCAATATGAGTAATTGTTACAAAAGATCTTTATTGGCTAAACTTACGTTAAAAGCTCGTTCCATCATCACAGCAAAATAATACTCCTTCCTTGGGTACTTGCGTTCGGTTACCATAACAGCATTACATATCATTCCGGCTTCACCTGTCTGCTTGGTAACCAGCAGCTGCCCAATCATCTGACTTACATCTTTCTCCGCATCCTCCGGTCTACAATAACTTTAACCCCACATTGTAACAATGTACGACTTACGAATAGATCATACGGACACCACTCTTCAGGCCGTTCTTAAAGTGTCCCTTACCGCGACCTCCTGTGAGAACTTGCGCTTTTACAGCCATGTCTTTCACGTTGAGTTTCGTGGCGATTTCTTTGGCTTCCTTGCCGCTTTTCGCTACACCAAAATTTGGAACCTGTATTCCGGCCTTGCTAAGCAACGTGTAACTGATATGTTCGTGTACATTGAGACTGCGGGACTGCTGCAGTTGCAACGCCCAGTTATTTGCAATGATCTATAATAGAAATTTTATGTAACAGGATAGCTCAAGGACCTACCGATTTTCGGGGCAAACTTCTTTAGAAATTGTCCCCAAATAGATACGTTTTAATGGAATTGAAGTCAAACACAGTTATCCATTTACCTTAGATCCATTTTTAAACAGAATTTTTTCAGCTAAAGTTACTGTTCTTAGCATTTTCGCCATTTTCAGTCGTTAGTGTGAAGTTCGAAAGGTGGGGCTTTACAAATGAGCGCGCGCAATTTAAGTTAAATTTTCCCGCACTGTCTACAAAAAAAAATAATAGGACTGCTGTACTACAAAATTTTAGTACAAAGTAAAAGGTTCAAAAGTGTCCAATGAATTATTATTTAGATGTTACAGAACTGTCAAATTTCTCTACATATTACAAAGGTACCTTTGATACCCATTTGGTACTCACTTCAAATTTCATAGTAGTCCATATCTTCCTGAAGGGCTTGGAATGGCTTAGATAGGAATAAAGGAAACCCTTTGATTAAACTCTAATCAAATAGATAACTAACCATCAGAGTCCTTTGTGTTAATTCAATATGGCTGGGTTACATCCAGCTACTTTTTTGTAGACTTTGAGTTCGTGTTATCTTGCTTATTTTATCGAGTTAGTACCTACTAATAAAATCAATCCGAAAGTACATTTTGATATGCTACGTACTTGCCTACCTGGATTGAAGGGCAATGGTTAGACAAAATTTCATACCGCCTTATCAAAATCAGAACAATCATCCTATGAAAACTAGTACGCCTCTATAAAAAAAATAGGTAGGTATGCTATTTTCATTGTGTATGTACGAGGCCTGTTCAAAAAATACCTAAACTGATGTCACAAAATTTACTTTATTTAGAAATACGTAACACGATCCAACTAATATCCCAAAGTCTTCAGCAAGCTCTCGGCTGGTCAGACGTGGATTTGACCGAACCAGGGCGTTGATCTTGTCAACGTGTGAACCGTCAGTTGACGTGAAAGTACGTCGCCAGGACGCTCATCGTCACCACATCACCGTAAGCCGTCTTGAGCATATCAAAAGTTTCGCTCGCAGATTTCACAGGTCGTTCAAGTCACTCATTCTGAAATCCGGTGATAGAATTATTTATCGTGAAATTATGCATCAAAATAAAATATTTAGTCTAAAAGTAAGCGTAAAAGATGAATGTGAAACTGAAAGACTTGTATAATTATAAAACCTTAACGTTATCTTAGTAAAAAGGCATAGACGATTTTGATATCTTTAACACTTCCTCTTAAAATTGCTGTTTCGAAAAGTCCTAAATTATTTCGATGTTTTTTAAAACTATCCCATAGAATATGTTCTACATTTTTGGTCACACTGTACATACGATCCTCCATAGAACTATAGAAATAATACAAAAAGCAGAACTACTTCATACATAAGACAAACATAACCTCAATCTGGCAGGTGTTAAAGGCTTTGTGCAGCAGATTTTTAAAAATGAATGGAAATTTAGTAGAAAATGAAACCTGTTGTTTGTGTAAAACTGCTCTCTTTGCTGGAAGTTTTGACCTGAATTCAAACTTTACAAAACGTTCAAATAAGCTCCTCTGTTCTTATTTATCGGATATCGTTCACCACAACATTGTTTTCCGCAACAGTATTATCTGCACAAACTGTAAACGACTTCTTGATGACTTAGATGTTGCCGAAGCTTGCTTTAAAAAATTACGAGATACTGTGTGGAACTATTTAGAATATACAGAGCCATTGAAACTTAACACTTACACGCAGACTGACAGTTTTGATGATAACACTGGGGTACAACCTCTTGTTAAGCTAGAAGAGGATTTTCAATGTACTATTTGCTCAAAAAGCTTTGCTTCTAGTCACAGGGTAGAGATGCATTATATAAAAGTTCACGGTACGAAAACTGAAAATACAAATACAGAAAAGACAACCAAAGAAAATGTGGGGAGTGAAGAGTGTGAGAAAATTAAGGGTATGTTAAAACCGTATCGGTGCACTGTGTGCCCGAAAACGTGGAAAACTTTAGGTGAATTGAGAAACCACACGTCATCTCATAGTAACGAACGTCCGTTTGTGTGTGAAATCTGTGGACAGTCTTATAAACAAAAAAGTGCTTTAAACGTCCACGTGGGGATGCATAACGGAATTTATCCATTCACATGTATATACTGCGAAAAAACATTCACTCAAAAAGGCGCACTGCAAAGACACCTCCCACTTCATACAGGCGACACGCCGTATCAGTGTGACGTGTGTGGAAAAAGATTCGTGCATCACACTTCGTTTAACATTCACAAACTGTCGCATACCGGCCAGAAGGACTACAAATGCTCTCAGTGCAGTTTAGCTTTACTTTCGGCATCTCACTTAAAAAGGCATATGCGGGTACACACAGGAGAGAAAAAGTATGTGTGCAAGTTGTGTGACAAACGGTTTGCCGAGCGCTACAATTTAGTGTCACATCAGAAGCTACACCAGGAGACCATTTCTGATTCCACTCTCAAACGAAATCACAGGTGGGTACATTTTGTTTGTTATGTATCTAAAAGTTCTTCTTGCAGATGCCCGTTCTGTGCACAGACGTTTAATAGGCGATTAAAATTGGATGAGCATCTCGTTCAAGATCATCAGAAGATTATAAACTAATTATCTATTTTTTTATTAATATTAATTAATTACAATGATGAATTGAATTGTCCATGATTTATTATATTTACTTCCTTATTTGCATGCGTGTGGATGGGTGAATCATAGTATTAAAATTAGCTTTTTCTAGTCATCTAACAGATCCTAAAGATATCATTTTAAAGTACTAGATTAAAAAGCAGAGCCATGAACAAATATTTTATCGGGCTGAAGCGAGGGGAGCCGAGCGTAATTCTTATTAAAACCAAATTAAAATTAGCGATTGAAGATGTTTGACAGGGATTTAACGTCCCTAATTGACCTTTTTCTGATCTGGCTCATGTGGATCATGATATGAACTGCCTTTATTACGACAGAAATATGCAAAGTGCTGTGAGTATTTCATGCCCTTACAGAGGATGTGATACATCATATTTTAAGGGAGCAACGTCACACATGACATGTGCAGCCTATCATCTCCTTAGCAAGTTGATGAGAACATTTTAAAAAAGCACTTGATCAAATTGATCACTATCATCATAACAAATTGTACGAGTATGGTTTCAATATTGAGTATGTATGTAACTTTTGTATTGGTATGTTATAGTCTCATTTTTTAACACCACTATCAAAAAATGTCTTCACAAATTGCAATGTATACAGTATAGGGCAAGGTAATTGACATAAGAAATCACATAGATCAGACAAAATATGCATGTAATGAGAAATAGTTACATTAGACTGTCACTCGCAAAGTTTATCTAGATCACTTCCATCTAGCCTAAGATAATTCCAACTCTCACTCTCAGTTATATTTCTAGCTCCCATTTTTTTATAAAACTTTAACGATGGATTCCAAGCTAGACAGTGCCAGTCCATTCTTTTACCATCATTTTGTTGTGCAACTTTTGCGACACATTTAAATAGTTTTTCTCCTATTCCCTCACCACGATACTGAGGATCGACATACAGATCCTCTAAAAATATAGATTCCCCCACCCAAGACGAGTAACTAGTAAAGTAAATTGCATAACCTATAACTTGATTATTTCGATCAGCGACAAAGCTCTTGAATATAGGATTTGCAGTGTCGAATCCGTCTTTTATCAGACGCTCGGGGGTCATTTTGCATTCGTCCATACTTTCACAGTTCTCATATGTCGCTAACTCCTGCAAGTAAAATTATGACTGACTGAGTTTTTTAAATTGCTGTACCTTAATTAATTTGCAGATTTGGTGCATGTCTTCTTTTTTCCCGTCACGAATTATCACAGAATTGCTCATTTTGTTTTAAAGTAAATTAACACCTCAAATATATCACAGATTGGAAGGTCTGTAACAGGCACTTTGTTGATGAATTGTGACACTACTTTTATTTCTTAAGCATGTGATATGTGTTATGTGGGGCTTCCCCCTTCTTTGCATTACTACATAACAATTAACATAAACAGATAACACAATCGGTTTAACCTCATTGGTCCACTTTGGGGTGATTTGTTTCTATGAGAATTTTCATTGGTGGATTTCGTGCATCAGATGGCGCAATTTTTGTCAAGGTTGTAATACCTATACCTACAGGGTCACCCATAACATTTTATTCATTCAAAAAATGTTGAGTGTTGGTTTCAGTGTTATTGGTTTAACAGTTTCTTCAGATGCTTTAGGACGTATTGTATTTTAGGCGTGCGTATTTTTTTAATTAGAATTGATTACAGGTTTTTATTTTGTCTCTGAACATATACTCATGTGATCGCCAATAATGTAATGCTAAATAACTAAATTTGGCATATGCATGAGTAGGTACACTGGAAAGGAAGAACTGATGGACCTATACGCAATGATAAACAGTAGATGCTCGAGTCCTACACTGGCGAACATACTTCATATATGAAGTCCGTGGGTGAACAGTAGGAGATGGGTACCTATACGTACGCGATGAGGAAAGGGGAACAGTAGGTGCAGGCATTTCAAAGACCTTGTATGGCTCCATGCATACGCAGGATCTACAGGCGATCTCATAAAGTAAGTAGGTAGGTATACTGCTCTAACTAGTTAATAAAAATGATGAGATATTTGAGGTTCTTAAAGAATAAAACTTTCGATACCTACAAATTTAAATGTATAAAACTTGAAATTTTATAATAAATATCTAAAATATAGTTACATTGCTTTTAATCAAACAGTTTATCTAAATCACATCCATTTATTCTAACATAATTCCAACTCTCGCTTTCAGTTATATTTGTAGCACCAATTTTTTTATAAAACTCTAAAGCAGGATTCCACGCTAGACAATGCAAGTCTAATCTTTTGCTTTTATTTTGTTTCGCAACTTTTGCTACAGACAAAAATAGTTTTCTTCCTATTCCCTGCCCACGATACTTGGAATCAACGTATAAATCTTCCAAGAATGTAGATTTGCCCAACCAAGTCGAGTAACTATTAAAGTAAATTGCGTAACCTATAACTTGATTATTTCGATCCGCAACAAAGCTCTTGAACAGAGGATTTTCTGTGTCGAATCCATCTTCCATCAGAAGCTCGGGTGTCATTTTGCACTGGTCTTCACAGTTTTCAAACACAGCTAAATCCTGCAAGTGAAATTTTGACTTACTCTGTACAGGCATTTTTGAAAATTTCCAAACCTTAATTAGCTGGCACACTTGGTGCATGTCTTCTTTTTTAGCTTCGCGAATTATCACGGAATTGCTCATTTTCTGTTAAAATAAATAAACACCTAAAATATATCACAGATATGTTGTCTACACGATGACTTACTAATTAGTGGACGTGACCTTTGTATCCATACTTATCCCTATACAGGGTGTCTTGTCAAAAATGTTAATTTAGTGTTGCTGTGACCCTAACATTCGTAATGCCCCACGTTGGGCGAGCAAATAAGCTGTGTGCAATGGCTCGATAGCTCTCTTATTAAAATTCTACCAGGACACATCCGAATCCCGGCACAATGAAAAATTTCAATCTCGACTGCAAATTCCAAATTCTAAGGCAAATGGTCGTGATCTTAAATCCCAAAAGGATTATTTACACAAATTTTGTAGACATCTGAAACAAACTTTATTGGGTATGGCTCAACAAATTGAGCATAAGCCATTGTACTTACATACAAGTAATATGCTCAACAACATTGAGTTTGGTCATTTCAGTCTTCAGTGGCTTTTGGGTGGTGAAACTAATTCTATTGCTTCCACTTATCAAGCATAAATACATAAACTCGAAATATCCTGAAATTCACGAATGGTAATAAGGTGCCAGGTCAAAGCTCTTCCTGTTCTGTGATCTGTAAGGGTTTCTCAGGCTCCTCAACTAACAAATCATAAATTCTGACTAGTAGCAATTTAAGAAAATGTGGATTGACGTGTAGAAGACTAGTCAATTAAAAAATAAATTTATTGCATACACTGTATACATTATAAATTAAAATAGAAAACAACCGCTTTTCTTATAAGTTGACATATACAATAATAAAAAATTACAACTAAATTAACTATACAGAGTGAGAAATGTGTAGATGCCTAATCTACTGACAACAATTATCCAACATACAAACTAAAGTCGCCCACCCTGTATAAACCTAAAAATGCGCATTTATAAATTCTCTTTTGGTCAACTAGTATGAAACTGGAATAAATCTAAGGCCGGTAAGTCTAAAGTATTTGGCAACTCCAAGTCCGATTCGGTTAAATTTTTCAGGCGTTCGCTTACAAACTGATCAACGTTCATAACTTCATCGGAGCTCGTACTGTTGTCTAAGAGCACCGAATCTTGGCCATTATTAACATTATTCAAAATTAACTCCTCTACGGAGCTGCGTAAATTTGGCAAAGAATTTAACAAATTATCTGATAGTAACTCTGCATGCAAAGAAATATCAGTGTGAATTGATTTTTTATGATGAGGTACAACATTGGGACTTGCCTTTTCTTTAAGAACTTGCAAAGGTTCATTAAAGAGGTTCAGATCAGGGTTGAATGGTTTTGAAACAGTATCACAGTTCAAATTAAAGTTGTGGTTTTCAGGGTTGTAATGAATAGGCTGTACATTAGCACCGTTAGATTCGTACTGTGTGCATGGTGGACTAAAGGAAGTCGATTCCTTTGGATCATCAAGTGGCTTTACAAGATTGTTGTCAGGCTGTGTAATATTGTCCGCATTACTGCTGCAAGGATGGAGCACAAGTACCTCTTTGTGAAGTTTACTTTCGTTTAGCGCATAATTACCCGAATCAATTCCCAGCACGGTACTTAACATACTGTCAACGAAAAACAAATTCTTGTCCACACCTGTTGGACTTTTAAACAAGGACTTGGCAACTAACCGTATATTTTTCAATAAACTAATTAATTCTTGGCAGAATTTTAACCCTCTCTGTCCCGCAGGATTTTTATTGGAAATGTCAATAAGGTAATTCCAAGTGTCATCGTATCTTGCCTTGTAATAGTCGGACGCTGGTTTGTGATCGGGATGCTTCTCAAAATGTTGTAGCATTTTATTGTTTCCCAAATAGGCCTTTTTGCATTTAGGACAACGAAATTGAGATGAAATCGATCGTTTACGTTTGTGACTTTCCAAACGGTCCTCTTGAAAACTTACTGGGGTTTCAGTTATTGTAGGCGATTCAAAATCAAATGTTTTTAACTCGTCAGTGTCCATACTGTCACCTTCTGTAGTATCAATCTTTTTAAAATCCTACAAAATAAAGTTCATTTATATAATCTTTCACACGATGAGACTATACATTCTTTATGTGTTGTGGGGGTCGCGTGACACGTCCGGATCTTGTTCTAAAGCCCTTGGTGACCTTTGGAGGTTCTTCAACTTCTTTTGGGTCAACTTTTTCTTCTGTTACTGGTTGTTTCTTTTTGCGCCCTCTTTTGACGGGTTTAACGGGAAAAGGCTAAAAATGGTCAATCCAGTTAAGAGTTTATCATATGGATATTAACTACCTTCAAATTTAATTCATCAGGATACATAATTCTATAAAAAATATTTGGCGGGGCATTTTCCAAAATGTCTTTCTGCTCTTCTCGCTTAACAGTAAATTGTAGGGCTTGCGCTATCTGTTGCAAGTGTTCTGGACTCAAGTTCTGCGTAGAATTTAACAATTGACCATCCGTTGTAATTTCAATAGGATTTTCGCACGAACCCAAAGGATTAATGACTAGTATCTCATCTCTTTTACTCTCTACAGTTTTAAGTAATGTAGTTGCGCTTGCATTGATGTATTTGTCCAATTTGTTAGTACTTGGAATTATTCCTAACGACATCGCTTGTTGCTCGGTTAATTGTATGACTTGCGATGTAACCTCCGGCTGCAAATAAAATGATAAAACGATTACATTTAACTGAGGTATACTACCTGTTGTGAGTGCAGCAAATACTCAAGGTTGAAATCTTGTCGACTCACATGTTTAACATTTGGCATTTCATTGTCAACTTCCGATATATTAATAGTCTGATTGTCTCCAAGCAATTTTACAATACAACCTGTGGAAGGTTGGACGTCCATTTATGCTGGATTTTTATTTAAACAAGTAATTTACCAATGATAATGTCAATAAAGTAAGGTTATGTAGACACATTTGGTACGAAAAAAATGTAACATGCAGAATCCCTATATTATCGATTATACATACATGGAGCGTCATATTATTTAAAGAAACTGTTATGTTGTTTCAATTTTTATTTCCATAATACAAAAAGGGAGAATGTGTTTATGAAATTTAGAATATTTTAGAACACTTTTAAATTTTATGGTCATAATCAGCCATGCGAACCGAATTCGATAAATTAGGGACAAAAAGTATTGCATTATGCTTTGTTTACAAAAGCAATTATCAATAAATTATAATCTATACAGTATGATACGGATTACTGATGAATTTTAATCCTAATACCAAAAAGGTGTAATGAGTGAGATTTTAAGTACGCCTACGCATAGGATCTCTCCTTCCACTTATGTGTAGGAGGGCCTACGTCTAAAGGTTAAGTTAATTAAGTGAATAAGTAGTAATGGAATGACTTAATTAAGTGCAGTAAGATAATATAAAAATGGAACATCGGAACAATGTCATAATACGCAAAGCAAAAAAAGATGATATGTACCAAGTATGCCAGTTAATTAAGGTAAGTGACTCAATAGTATTTAAATGCATACAAATAAAAACGTAACTTTACAGGAATTAGCTATCCACGAAAAATGCGAGCAGGAATGCGTAATGACGCCGGAAATTTTAATAGCGGACGGATTTGCCTCGCCCGATCCTCCTTTTAAGATGTTTGTTGCGGATGTAAATGGTCAGATAGTGGGATATTCTGCTTATTTTAATGGATATCGAACTAATACGGGCAATTTTATATTTTTACAAGATCTGTTTGTCTCCCTACAATACCGTAACGAAGGAATAGGAAAGAAATTGTTTCAGTCCGTGGCAAAAGTTGCAAGCAAAACAGCCAGCAAAAGGTTAGAGTTACACTGCTTGTCGTGGAATCCTTCGTTAGAATTTTATTTAAAAATGGGATTTAGGAACACAACGGAGATTAATGGGTGGAACTATCTAATTATTGATGGGGATAATTTAAGTAAACATGTAGAGTAATTTTGTTTTGTGCTTGTATGGTATCGTGCAGTGTTTGGTAATTATAATACCTAATAATAATAAACATATGTTGCAAAAGTCTGTCTATTATTTTTCTTTCATTTATACAGTATTTTTTGTAACTATAAATGTTTTCTGAATTTTGTCTAGTTTAAAGTTGAGAATTTTTTTATTAAACCTTAAATTTTACCTTGTTAGTGCAAACCTCTTTAAATCGACGTGGCAATCATGCGTTTTGGAAGCTTGTGAATTTACGGCAACACTGCGTAATATAAAAGTCAATAACAACACTTAACCTCAATTTATAGTTTGTTTTATTATTTATTTATTAAGTTGTGCCAGATTATTACATATATTTTAAGATCTTAAGAATGTCACATCCACAACTAACCAAGGAACAGGAAGCATTTTTGGAAGAATGTTTGCTAGAGTTTTCGGACCGTTACACAGATGCCGACTTCGAGTACAAAAAAACCTATGACAGGGGCGTACCACCACCCCCGATTATGTTTCCCTGGTACGGTAGACCCAAATTGACCGGCTATAGACGCAGAAATCAAGGGGACCATGGAGGTTATCGAGACAGGCACGATAATAATTTTAGAGGCAACGATCAGTATCGAGATCGTAGAGAACATCAAGAATCAAGATTTCGACCGTATTAATATGACCAATAATTAATGAAATGTGAATGAATTTTTTGTAAAATAAATTTTGAATTTTAATTGCGCCATCTGTGAACAGGCTGGTGTGATTGTTTGTCTTCTAACCCTTAACCCCTAAACTATTCATTTTCTTGATTAATCGCATTAGAAGCATTAATTTATCACCACTAAAGTAATTCTTCTTATTCTAATTGAAAATGGTGTTCACGGAGGCATTTAATTATGTTGTCTTCGACAACCCTGTATCGAAAACTATTCTCAAAGTAACTATCATTCTCTATTGAAATTCCAAACCAATAACGAATCATTTTAGCCTATACTGAATAGCGCGGTGACACATGCACCTCCAGAAATAAAGGTGGTAACAGAAAGAATTCCATTATGGGAGCTAGCTGCTGAACATGCACCGATTATTCGATTCGTGGGTCTTAGCGGTGCACTAGCTGTAGGATTAGGCGCATATGGCAGCCATAAATCATATCCTAAAGATAAGGAGAGCGAGTTAAAATCTATCTATGAAACGGGAAATAGATTTCATTTTTTGCATACGTTAGCTTTATTAGCAACTCCTATGTGCAGACGTCCTCTACTCGTAAGTAGTTGCTTTACTAGATAATATTCTGAAATATTTTTTTTAGTCATCTTCGCTATTCGCAGTGGGCACCACTCTCTTTTCAGGTCCTTGCTATTATCATGCTTTTACGGGTGAGAATAGATTTGGTAGACTTGCGCCGATCGGGGGTTCTATTTTAATATTGGCGTGGTTGTCATTGATTTTTTAGATTCTTTGGATCATGATACATATGGCTTCATGTTTACTTTAATTAGTAGGTGTAAGTGCCATAAAGGCTTCTCTGTAGGTAGTGTTATATAGCATTACTTGGATGTTAATTTTAAGTTGTTCAAATTTTGTAAATAAATTGACATTCTAAATGGTGAGGCGTATCATTTAATTATAATAGATTGAATTGAATGGGAAGGTAATTTACTATGAGCCTATGATGACATGATTATTAATCTTTTTTTCACTTGTAAAGTTGGCTTTCTCAGCAGCTTTTGAAAGGGGTTAATAATGAAATCAGAGGACTCATTCATATCGTATCAGTAACAGTTGTGGTCTTATGTCACGGTCATTACTTTGACATGTAGCGCTACTAAAAATGACCGACTGCTCCGTAAAGAGCGCAAAAGTAATTATAAGTCGTAACTGTTCCACAGCAGTTGTGTCTTATGAACGCACCCATTATTAATTGCAACTTCTTTCATTTCCAGAGAAAACTGTCACATTTTGAAAAGATTCAAGTAAAACTTTTAACCTTTAGTTGAATACATCGCACACGAACGAAAATTAGAATACAGAAGTCAAAGCGATAATATTCAAATTAATTAATATGACATTTGTTGTAGGTAATTATTTTGGTTGCATAAAGTTAGGCATCCTTCAGAAGACTTTTTATCATAAGAAATCCCTATGTCTACTTCTACATGAATCACTGTATATATACAACGGTAGAGAAGTCTATTATTGCCTTGGTGCTCTTGCAATAATACTAAACTTTTCTACCTTGTTATACAATATATTTGGCTCACCAGGAGAGAATTCTGTTCACAGTCCATTTTATCTTGGTTCTTGGGATCTTTGGTGGAATCGTTAACGAAATTAAAGCTATACACGTCACCATCTGGACCGTCAAGATTTGTCACCGAAAATATTTTACGTTACGTTATACCGGTACGGTTCTATAAATTAGAGGCAAGTCTTTACTTTATTATGTGGTAGTACGTCCACTGAACCCCTTAGTATAATTAAGAAGGTAGCTAATTTTTCTAATTCAGCCAGTCCTTCAGTAATATTTCAGAAATATTCATTTTTCAATCGATCTCAAACAAATCGGCGTTCTATGAATGTTAGAGGCACTCTTTGCTATATTTTTTGGCAGTTTTTTCATTTTTTTTTAGGTATCCTTAATACCTATACCTAATAATGAAAGTACCGTAGGTAATTTAGCTCTTCAGACTATAATATTTTGGAGATATTTATTTGTCAATCGATCTAAACAAATCTATTTTCTATGATGGGTCTCTTTAGCGCGTTTTCCAACTCCTGTTGGAAAAGGCGCTATTATGGCCGCTTTCTCCGTCCGTTCGAAGCCTTAACTACTTCTATAGATACAGTTTTCAAGATAGGCAGGTACTAATTAAAATTTATTAATTATGGTAAATTAGGTATCATCTAATTCTAGAATTAAGTGGATTAACAATTTTCCCCGCCATCAGCGCAACGTGAATTTGCGAATCCATCACAAAGTAAAGGAACGGGTGATCCGCGTTAAAAACAACAGGTCCTCGATGGTGATAATTTTCTGAAATAAGAAAAACCGATGTAGGTCGTCCCTATTATTTTAACATTAACAGAAAATAGGTACTTCGTAAGACAATTCTAATGACCTGGGTAACTGATGGCGAAGTCATATAATTATAACCAATATAATTATGTGAACTCTGATTAAACGTTTTGTAATTGTAATTATCTATTTACGAGGTTCATTTACTCACCGTCGTTATGTAAAGTTGACGGATCGACGTAATTTCTTATTGTCACCGTTATTGCTTGTTCAATATTTGTTACGTAGATATTTTTGTCGTCGGTCAGTCTGGAAAAGTCGGCTCGGCGTGGTTCGAAAATTGTCTTAATTCCCATCTGCAATTAACGTGTTATTGTTATGTCAAAGGCGGTCACGACTTTTACCTTTTGAAGGGTTGGTGTTAGCACGACGTAGCCTTTCAGAGTGAAACTGGGTATCGTGGCTTTGACTCTTGTCGGCTGTAAATTGCTGATGATCTGTTTTAACGTCGTGCTAATTATGTTATCGACTAAGATGTCGATACCAGTTTCGTCAATTGGGAGCACTAGGAGAAGGTAGTATTTTGTACTGTCCAGTGGAAAAGTCAACGCCAGCGCGTTTAGGTATGATATATATCGGAAGGGTAGTACCGTATCGTAAGTCATAAAATTTATATTAGGTTCCCGGATTCTTCCATTCACCAGGAACGTTGTGGGATGAGATGGTTCATATCGCGATATTATATGCGCGGGTTCGTTGCTGTCATAATATTTTGCTATCAGGTAGTCAACTACAGATCTTTTTTCTCTGGGTTTCTCTTCTTCTGTTTCTGTGGTTGATGATGGTTGCCCTATTGTTGATTCAGTTGAAATCGTTTCTGTGATGGTAGCTTCACTTGTTGACGAGTCAGTCGTATCAGTAATTGATGATGTCTCAAGTGACATACTTGCAGTTTCTGTTACTATAAGCGTTGCGGTAGAGGTTTGCATTTTGGTTGTCATTGTATTAGCCATGGAATTACTAGAAGCTACTGTCGTGGTTGTAGGAGTACTAGTAGTAGTCGTAGGTATACTGATAGTAGTTGGTGTAGTGGTAAATGATAATGTGGCTGCAGGTGTGATGCTCGTCGTAGTTGTAGGGACTGTTGTAGTAGTAGTTACAGTTGTTGTAGGTTTGGTCGTAGTAGTCAAAGTACTAGGTATCTCTGTGGTGATAGTAGGTTCTGTGGTAGTTGTAGAAGTACTAGTTGTCTCTGTGGTGATAGTAGGTTCTGTAGTAGTTGTCGTTATAGTTGCCTCTGTGGTGGCTGTAAGCTGTGTGGTACTTGTAGTTGGTTGTTCAGTTATGGACGCATCAGTAACCGTTGTAGGCTTGGTATTCGTTGTTGATGGAGTAGTTGTTGTAACTCGGGGTGTAGTCGTTGTGAGAGAACTCGGGAATGAAGTCATCACAGTGTTGGTACTAGGAATATTTGCAGTTATTGTACTAGGAATACTTGGAGCATTAGTAATACATGTCGTAGTTGCAGTAATGGAATTAGTCGAAACTGAGCTAATATTGCTTTCTGTGGTCATAGTGTTAGTCACTTGAGTGTATACTGTTGTATGTGTTTGTGATGGAGTTGTTGTGGGAGATACATCGTTTATTTTTGTCTCGAGGATACTAGTACTAGTTGTAGCGTTCTGTGATGCATATGAAGTAGTAGTAGAGGGCGTTGGGTATAGTGCGGAGTTAAAATTATCAACATCATATCCATAGAACCTTAAAATACTTTCGTATGATGATTTCAATGTGACATTTTCATGACTAAACGTCAGCCCAGCTAAAAAGCCTTCTTCAGGAATGAAGTAACTCTGCAACAAAATGGATAGATGCAGAGACTTAGTCACTTCCGTCCCTCATTTTCAAGCAATTGTAGGCTCTATGGCCTGGTAAAAACATTCATTTTACCATTGAATTATAGTATTACCATTGAATAAGTACTTATTCAATGGTATTACTTGATGATTTCACTTAGGTAGGTACCCTGTGTAGGCAACTGGGAAGACATTTATCTAAATTTTATGTCAATGAGATTAAATTTAAACAAATATTTAAATTCGCTATTTGAAGTCGATTCTTAAAAGTAAATATTAACAAAGGTATCATACCCACAACAAAAAATTGAAAAAGCAAATAAAGAAAAATGGTACCAATGTCACAACATTCTTCCACACTCACGCATAAATCGGGTTAAATATTATGAATCAAATTAGATTGCATACAGTATTTTTTATTGAAAAAAGTGCAATCCCCTCGCACAATTGAATGATTAATGACCTTAAATTTTGAATAGGGATGTGCATTGTCACGCAGTACCATCAAAGTGAAGTTTACCTTTAAATGTCTATGTATATCTCGCAATCCAACACGCATAACATCAAATTCGAGCGGAAGAAGACTGGCGCGTGAAATTTCGTCCAGCGCTCTTCCTTGAAGACCTTCGGCAAGTGCAACCAGCACACTTGCAGCACCGTATGGAGACAGAGCTATATTATTTCCGTTGTTGTGATTGTGCGCCTATTGGAACAGAAAATGACTATTACGAAACACCAAAATTTATAAAAATGTAACGCTAAACAATTTTATCTACATTAAATCATCAAGGACTGTAACCACTAATTTGTACATCGATCATCACACAAAACCACCTTGATTTTGTAAAAACCGGTGCAATTTTTCTTTGAACCTTTATTTTTGTAATTTAATTGAAATAACGAGCAGCTTTTCAACAATAGAATCTCAATTAACGATTTTTTTTTTCATTGGAAAAAGCATCCTGTCCAGAATATCGCACTCGCGTTAATTATTATTAAATTTACCTACCTGCAAAAGTACTAATCCAAGATAGTTGACCGAATCGACCATAATATCTTGAGGTATTGGCTGAGGGTAACTGTAGGACGGTCTCCATTTAAACTTTTCGGCTTTTGTCGATGACAAAACTTCGATAATAATTATCAGCGCAAAAGGATTCATGGTTGTAGACCATAAACTTACGATTTGAACGCATCAATGCAAACTAAAAGAGCTGTCGGCGTTGACCATCATTCTGCTTTAACGGATTAATGGTAGGATTGTAATTACATGGAAGGTATCGCGAATTGGTAGGAGAGTCCCTCTTTTTTTAACTACATTTTACGTGGTCCGAGATTTTATTTTTCAATTACAATGTCAAGATCGCTAATTTGCATAAGAGTTTGGTGCGCTGACCGATCGTGGGAGTAGGTATCTTATATTTTTGAGACCGACTTACCGACTAGGTACAGGAAGTCATCGGCCCTTAAAATTAAAATTTGTAAATCGAAAAAGTCTAATCATCAGTTTCTATAGATCGGAAATTAGTTATACCGTTAAGAATAATCAATTGTGTGTATGGGTGCTATTATTATTGTTATTATAGTCAGCGTCCCAAATTTTTTATTTAATACAACCTTAAATAATATCTAATTTACTAATTGTATACTTATTATTTATGTCCAAGCGCTTGTTTTAATGAGGCAGGCCCTGAATATTACATTTACACAGAAAGCTTTGATTACAGCTTTAAAACCCTTAATCTTTTGCAAAAATTAAAATTTTGTATCATTTACATTATATAATTTGTTTAACAATGCCGTTACATTAGAATATAATTTCATATAATTGCAAGGGCATTTAAATTAGACTCTTGTTTTTGTAGGCAGTTTAAAAACTGACCATCCATAGAAAACATCGTCAAAATCAATGGATTGTACCTAATTGAAGATGGTTTTTTACAAAACGAAGTAAAATGGAGTCAACTTTTATATGTAGGTAGTACTTATAACACTAAATAGAGCTCATATATAAAAAATAAATGCACAAATTCAATTTTTTTATTTGTGGACCAATTTTTCTTAAATTTTAACAGAAATTGACTGGAGTAACTTCAAGGAAAGACTGTTAATGTGAAACTGCGCTTTTTGTAAATCGTTTACGATTACTTTTTTGACTTGTTAGACATATATGTATGTTTAGGTCTCTCCCAGAAAAACGTCATGAATCGCTTTGTAAGATTTTTTCTGAAATCCTTATAATTCTTAAAGGTCTTTTTGAAAGTCGCCTTAGGAAATTGATAGAAGTTCGGCAGAAATTGTTCAATGTTTCTAGTAAATTTCCCAAGAAAGTTTTTTTTCACAATTGTCCTAGAAACTTTGAAATATGTAATAACTTATTTAACTTGTTCCAAAAATCCGAGTAGCACACCGTTAGCATCTTTATTTTTTCCATAAACTATGGTTTTGTTTCCGTAATGATACTTAATGAAATGTAATCCCTAGATGAAGATACCTAATATAAAATTAGTGGCCATGCTTTTTAAATAAATGGAAATACGCAGGGTGGGTACTAGAAAAATATACATTATTAAGGATCCTCATTCCTTTGAGCCATTAGTTTTGTATTGTTGTCCGTCCGTCGGTCCATCTGTGTGCGCTCTTTTTAAAAGTGACCGATCGTGTCGAAAGTTGGCGCACGGATACTTTGGACATTCAGATAGGGCGCTGTTGAGTTTCAGGAAGCTGACTCAACAGGAAGGACTTCGAGTGAACCGGGAACAGGAAAAACTGTGGGCCAATATAATAGAAATCAACATGTTTCACTCCCTAGGCCATGCGTCCAGTTCTGGCCTTCAATATAGATTATTCCCTTTGACTCTTAAGATGTGTAACAATTCAATATAACCCTGCGCTGTGGCAAAATGAAAAAAACGTACCCAAAATTATTCTTTTCACATGAATTTGGTATCTCAATACCCAAGATATGCGAATTTGATATCAATTATGTCAAAATCGTTGGAAAAAAGACCAAGAGAATTCTGTCAATGCCCAAGACATTGCGAGATTTAAATAAATGGTTATTCAAAAAGTCATGGTAATACAAATTCAATGGTAATACCATTGTAATACTGAGGGTATTTCGATATTTCGTTGTAGGTATATCCAGTTTATTTATGTACGATGTGCATATGTTTACCTAGGCTAAATGCCTGTGATAATTGCACAATAAAAGGCATTTTTCTATTTCAATTACATTTTAGAAAGTGAAAATAAATCATTTCAATTGAAATATAAAACAGAGTACCCGCATACGGTTATTTAATTTTTAGATAGGCAACTTATAACGCACATATGCGAAAGGTGACATGACTATACAGCAAACTGATACACAGCAATTACAAAATCATTCACAAGTTATCATGTACACAGACGGACGGACGGACAGAAAATCAAAATCATGAACATCATGAGATCCTTAATAATCGGGTGATTGCGAAATACGACTATAATTTTTGTTTTGTTCTGGAATTATCGAAAAATCGATGCAAATGAAGTGCTTGTGAGTGCAATGTGACAATGTTGGAAGTGGCTAAAATTAAACCTTTCACATACGTTAATGTGCAGGTTTAACACTGAAAACAACGCTAAAGAAATCATTGTTATTCCGAATGCACTAGACATTCATGGTGTCTTTACGTTGCCAGAGTTATGATACACATTTACTTAAAAAGTAAATATACTTATAGGTTTTATGTAACCTATACATATTACTCACCTATTTATGTCAATCTTTTATTAGTTTAATTGTTTGATCCGGCTAAGGTACTCCAATAATAATTAATACTGATTGTCAGGTACTGGGACAGTCAAAATCAACAGCTGGACAGTGACTGAGTCAGACACTGTTACATGGGCACATTTTGTATTAAAAAATTAATTTAAAATGTACTAATAAACAAACTAAATTGAATTACTTTTTCTTGTAAAATAGATTTTTAAAATGCAGTTTAGTACCTACAAAAATTATTGTAATAAAGCCCTCATCAAGAAAGTGACAAACTTTAGAAACTGAAAACGTTTACGTGCAATATAAAAAATTAATGTTCCAAAAATAAAATAGCACCTTTCAATCATAGAAAATAAACGATAATTATTTAGTACCTCTTTTTGTGTTTCGTTATTGGTAGGAACTCTATGAAATCTACCGACCACATGGTTATTTATAATATCAATTTCGTTAAGAAAACGTCAAAACGCATTATCTAAAATCATAAAAATGCACCAATTTGTGCGATTGCACATTACAGACCTTTAAGACCGCGGGCTTCACTAACAGAAGATCTTGGCAAATAGCAAAGGAAAGAATTAACCAGACTACTTAAATATACTGGGCATAATAACCAATGTTAATTCGTACATTTAATAGAATTGCAGCTATCTCTCAATTAACAAATTGTGGAATCAGAAATCTCCGCACCGACCGATGTCATAGTGACGTTTTGATGAGAGTAGTGATTATATTTGAACATCAATAGATGATACTGATTCAAATGACGTAAATGTTGTTTATTTACAATTAATAAATGCGTTTAACGTCATTTAATATAGGGATTTTAACGTTAAAAATTCGTATTTGGCGCAATTTCGTTCGTTGATTTGTTATTCATTGCGCGCGCATAATTTGGAAGATGGCGATCGTTCTGCTTACAGATCGCTGTCAGTTTTAAATCGGCGAAAATCAACGGCCTTAATGGCTTAATTAGAGAAACGTGTATTTATTGTAAATTGTATATAGTTTCTTGTATAGTTAGTGATAATATTTTGTGTTGTGAGTCTCAGATTTATGTATAAATAGTGATTGAATATTTGTGTTTGTGTTCCGAGAGAAAATCTATAACAGAGCCGACGCCGACGACCCGAAGATTGAATATTGCCGATAATACATTTTATTAATGTTAATTATTAACATTTAATAAATATAGGTAGGTTAATTGAGTAAAACGCCCAACTTTGGATGGTTTCTTTGTTCCGGTTGGTGTTATTTCTTTGTGCAGAAGAACTGTCAAGTAGCCATTTGTTTTGTGTACTTACTACCGGAATGAATTGAAATGTCATCTTGTAAACAACTAATCGCGTTAACCTCACTTAATACATGATCTTCATTTTTCTAATTGCAGTAGTAACAAATGAAGTGGTTGGGAGACGGAAGCGGTGATGCGTTTATAAAAGCCGAAATGGATCGTAGCCCTCAGCGCACTCAGGACGATGCAGCTGTCGGCTACGTTTTTCAAAGACCACCTGATCCAGAATTTCCGTCCTTTGGGCAGAAACAAGCGCGTTGGGCTCTTGGGGATGACAGTATAATCGATGTTACTAATGTATGTTGGTTTGCATCGGTAAATTGTAGATTGACCCGGTAATTTTAGAACCATGACAAGTGGAAGTACCCTGTCAGCAATAAAATTGCCACTCCACCAAACAGTATGTCCTATATGAGTCCGAGCGGTGCCGCGATGCCCGGCCTGTATGATGTCTCCCAGAACAAATCCGGACAGCTCGAACAGTACTTCTACTATCCCGGACACTTACCTCGAGGCGTTCCTTTACCCCCTCAGTACGTGCAGCACTCGATGTCGCAGCAAATGCCCATGCAGCAGGGTCAGGTAAGTCATGTCTTCTGGGCGCTTTTAATTCATTCAAGTCACAAATGACATTGTACCTTGACTGACTAACCTGTTTATTTTAATTCTTGGTTGTTACAACATGAAATGCAATGCAACTTTCTCCCTCCGTTGTTTATTATTATGATTATATAAAATAGTTGCTTAATTGAACGGTCCCCTCTCGAATTCTAACTAATATACACTTTGTGATAAATAGATACTCATTCATTTTTTATAAAGTGCAACTAATTGATTCTTATGTAATTAAGAAAAAGGTAAAGGACAGATAACATTGTCTCATTTATGTACAGTGTATGTTCAATCAAACCTTTTAAATGATGACATGTTTGTTATCTCCACTTGATGTAAATAAATACATCAGAGGAAACAGAATCTTAGGCTATTACTTTTCCATTATTATTGCTTAGTGGGAATCGAGGTGGTAATTAACATCTCTATGGGATGAGTCAACAGTGTGAGTACAATGGTACTGATTCTTGTTTGTCGCCCAGAGGCTGCATTCAGGATAGTAATCGAGATAGTAATTAATCAAATAAATAAAACATGATAACGCCAAGAAGAGCTTTTACTATCCTGCTGAAATTTACGGTATTTTGGAATGAATCATCCATTTATGATATGGTTGATAATGATAAGTGATAACCTATCACTGTCCATTTATAGAGTTCATCCTAAGGTAAGCAAACCTTTTGGAATTAAGTATAAAGATAACACTTACTTTCTCCTATCAAGTATATTAACATATAAGTAATCAAATGTCATCTCACCTGCAATATTAATAATTCTAAAAGGTAAGACCTCTGATAGTATATTGGTGTTGTGGCATTTACTCCGTTTAAATATACTTAGGGTAAACGATACTAACTCTAAAATTCTGTGGGGTTCCACAAGAGTTAATATTGGGATTAACACTATCTTGAATTTACACTTGTCTTTAATTGTTTTATCAGTAATACTATTTTTAATGCTGCATGTAAATAAATTGAGTTACATGTTCTTGATCGAATGCAGGTTGTTATAATAATGTTGGACGTTTACTCGAATATAATCAACCCATACGGATTATCGGTTTTAGTTCTGCAATAATTTTCGGTTCCGGTTCGATCTTCGGTTTTTAAGTGTTCCAACATAATTAGATAAAAACTGTATTATAGGAAAAAAAATAATACTCAAAATTAAGTATGGAGTGTCCCATTTTCAACACTTATAGGGTTTCTCTGTCATTGTTAGCGATATCAAAAAAGTCATGATTTTTTTGGGCCAACCTTAAAATGGTTAAATCACAATTTGAAAATATTCGCTCGCTTAAAAAATACCCATGGGAGAAAATTAAAATATTGCCAATTTCAGAATGATCCTTTTTTTATAATGATTGTTGAATAATCAGCCGTTTTCAAAATGTGTATATGGGGTCAGGTAAAAAAGTAGTCGCACCTTTTTAAATGAAACGCATTGTATATTTTACTCTAAAAAGATAGCATATTAAATTAAATTAATTAAAATGATACTAAAAAAAGAATCAAGTGATTAAAAAAATTTCAAAAACAGATTTTTGAATTATATTATATTATTACTTTTTTGGTAACAGTAACCATTACGGAGACAGCCTATAAAACTGGCGAAAATGGGACAAACTGCACATTATTATTTTGCATCAAAACATCTTTTAGGTTTACCTAATTAAAAATTCTATTTAGCCTGCGCGATCGTTTCGCATCTCTCTCTCTCTCTCTCTCTCTCTCTCTCTCTCAGAGAAAATGCGCTCAGAATAATGTTAATTAATGCAGTAATCACTGCAAAAGTACCTTTCGACTTCAAAGAAATTCATCCACGTCCTGACGACCGTGACATGAAACTTATTTCAAGTATTAATGCTTTTAACCACTTGTCCACAATCCTACCAACTCTGTGAGCCCTTATGCTTTAGTGTATTGTACCTTATTTATAAATCAACTGTTGATTTTTAAAATATGCGATATGATTGTCTTTACTAGACGAATCTGCAAGTCATTGAATTGTTCATTTCCCGTTTTAAATGGGAAACATCGGCTTTAGAATTAAAAATGTCGTGTGTACCACTCTAGAAGAAATAATTAAAAAAAATCTCGACAATGTACTGGTCTTAGGGGCCCCACAAGAGGTACCTTATACTTACACTTGGCAATTCTGGGAAAAAACTACGACCGCAGCTATCTAACTTTGAAGTCGAAACTACGGATCTTTCGAGGCACTTTTGAATCTCGGCTTGGACTGAGTACGAATGGGTCCTACGATTTGTCTAATAACGGTTCTTTTATATGTTGGGATGTCAGACATAATCGAGAAGGGATTTGAATAATAAATTTTGTGTAAGAAAAGACAACATAAAATAAAGGGTGTTTCCATAAGAAAGTGTCCATTTTGGACCACGTTGTACATAAAAAACATCCAAATCATCGCTCTACTTCAGCATCGACTTCAATTAATTTAACACGAAAAGTACATGTGACAATACCAGAGTCAAACACTTTGATTGTTGTATACACAGGGCATTTCGTACTTTTTTCCCCCCATACTGTCATTCTTTCAGTTGTGAGATGTGTTGCCTAACTGTAGGAGTATGTTACCACAGCGGTTACGATAGATTTTTAAAATCTGCACTTGATATCCTGAAAATTTCGAAAACCATCTTCTAATTTTAGGGTCATTCAACCATTCCCATAGTGCACTCCATCCGCTAAAAATGTTCGGAAAATCACGAAAATTTAGAATTTTGGGAAAAAATCCTGTTTATTAATTTTTTATTTATTTATTTATTGTCCCTCTCCTTTTGGACCGTCAACAGGCTTTCCCCAATTAAATAAGTGACCCGAATAATGCTGTTTAGAGGTGCCCCTACTGAAGGTCTTAAGATGTTCTATACTACTCCGGTATTTACCTTTCGAATTAGGAAAACTGCAGACAAACCTAATTCGGAGCAGCCGACAGAATGCTTGAAACTGATCTAAGGAAATTCCCATCTCTGCCACAGATGAAAAATTCACCTCAACTTAGGTTCGAACACGCAACCTCCCAGCTATGTAGCCCAACTTTCTATCACGGAGCCACACTGACGGTGTCGCCAGTTTCGCCAGACATTTGGGTAAAAAGACACTAAATTAGTAAGGATTTTGTCTAAATCTTCTTAAATTCATAATGAAATAAAAATTAATATTATGAATTATTAATTACCTACTATTATTTCCCAAGACAAAAAAATTAAACAAAACATTTTCACTAATTAATACAATTTAAAGTAAGCAAAACAAAAATAATTAATATTTTTGGTCGGCCGAAACCTAAAAATCGCGCATCCGAGGTGTGTGATGAGGCGTGCGGTGCGGGGCAGAAACGACGGCCCGCCGCTTGTTCGAACGACCACCTGACTGGACAAATGTAAAAAGTCGGACACCCATTAATTTGGCCGGACACGCATTGAAGAAGCCCAACTATGTCCGCCGTTATCTGGACGCCTGGCAAGGCTATTTGTGGAACAATTTTTTTTGAAATTGCAGCAGTGGCTCCTATTAAAGGCAAGTGAATGCGAGCTTGTCTTCTGAAAACTACAAGAAGTAAAAAATGTTTTCTGCGCAAATAATTACTTGTTTGGTAGTACATATATTTGTGAGCAAACAATTGCAATTCTAAATTATTGAAAAAACACTTGTTCTCAGTATCGGATACATATTTAGACGCGATTCTACTTGAAACATGCTAGCTAGTATAAAAAGCCTGCAAGATAAATGCAATTGTAAAAACCTCATTGATTTTATTAACAATAAAAAATGTCCTAAATTTATAAGAATAGGTATACAATAAACAAGTACAAATTGTGCACATCTCTTGTGCAGATAAAGCGCATTTTTTTAACACCCCTGCGCCCCAATCGCTCTTCGTGAGTAATCCTCCGACACTCCGTTCCCAACATATTCGCACTTAAAGTTTTGAGCTTACCATGAGAGATGCCTAGCCGAGATGTTTCAATAACCGTGTGCGAGTAGTCTTCTCAGACATTCAATGCTCAAGATATTCGCACTGTAAGTTTTGACATTATCATAATAGGTGTTTTATTTTTTTAATTTTAAACTAAAATATTTGTGCACGAATATTGTAGGTATACCTCTCCGCGTAAATGTTTGGCCCTTCTACAACAAAAGGTTGCCGACCCTTATTCTAAAACATTCGAAAGCGTTCGGGAACACTCGAGAACATTCGAGAAGTATTGTTGTTGGCAGTTTTAATATCGATGCGCTTGCGTTATGTTGTAAACTATAAATGTTCAATAATAATTATTGTTAATTATTTGTAAATAAATAGTACATGTATACATGTACGTTACAATATACACCGTCCTAAATAAGGATGTCTTATCATGGGGATTTCCATAACCATAAAAGATAAAGATAGTCAAATTAGAGAAAAGAAGAGCAATTAAAGAATTATCAACATGCTTTTAAAGAAAACCAGAAATTTCTATTATGCACTTACAAATTTATGCCAGAAAAACAGAAATTTGCGGATTTGGTTTTTATGGAATCTGTTGGTTTCAACAGTATGGTGCACCCGCGCACAGGTTGTATTCGTAATAAAACATGCTACTCAATACAGCGAGTATTTCTTTTACGGGCAATATAAAAAAATAAAGTTGATGAACTAGTTGGCCAGGTTGGCCTATTAATAATGACGGAGGGTCTATTATTATTATTTACTTACACTTTTCTCAACTATGTCACATAATTTATTCATTACTTTGTAACATATTTTCGTGCTTTAAATATCAAACAATATAAAAAAGGCCTGAATAACAGAATGGCCATAGCTACATTACAAGCGGCCTTTGGCAAAGTATATTAAATTGGAGTTATCACAGAATAAGTTTATATGGTTCTATTGGGAAGCAACAAGGCAGCCTAAATTTAAACGAGCCGCCATCTAATATTAATTCGTGGACCTACCAAGAG